CAGAGGTCTTGGCGCAGATGTGCTGAATGTCTGGCACAAAGCCCAAACGCACATGGCAAGTCAATAAGAATCTGGGAAATAGTCAATATCCAGAGAATTTTGTTAATGCCAACAATTTTTAACTTATTCTTGGTGGAATCAACCATTATCTTTGGTCAAGTCTTAGCTAAGATATCATTAAGAGACTGAGACGGTGGTGTCATCCTGTAATTCAGCTACTAGGAGGTCACGAGTTGTGGATATTTATAGGCATGTACTGTGGATGTGATACTTCGTGGTTTGAATTAACGCCCTTACTACGACTATCCGCAGTACTATCCTGATAATTAGACCAATTTTTTTATACTTAGGAAAAATGTGGTTCGGATTCTACTATAAACTGTAGGTCCCTATAGTTTCCATTAGCCCAAAGTATGGGCTATTAATTGACAGCTGTGTCTAAGGAATATGTCAGCCTTAGTCACTAACAAGGATACAAAATCGTGCCACTCATCCATCCTACACTCATCTCCATGCATACTGGTACTTGGCTTAAAATACCTACTTTGTATGGTTGCCATTTCAAATTAAAGTATTAAGCCTAAGGCAAAATTACTCATAATCATAGAGGGAAGCAACTTTCCACAAACAGATTTATATCGTCAGCGAACTAAGGGATCTTGATAACTCTCTTGATGTCTTTAAAGAATATGTACAACTAAAAATATCTGTAAATTTCTTTTGATGTTTTCATGATAAATATGCAATGCAATACAACAAAGTAACTTTTGAACATTAAAAATAGCTGTTAACAACAAATTTTTCGATCTTTACAAAAATCTGAAGGGTAGGTCCAGAATTGATGGCCTCTCAAGTCCGTAAATTGCATCTGTGATGTTGTTTAGTAAGTTCAACGCTAAATGATTATCAGTTAACTTATTTTATCCAATAGTGTTATTAATACTTATGAAGTCAAACGGAACGGGGTGAAGCCCGTGGATAACAGCTAGCTGTCTAGTTGATATAAAACACGTTTTTGAAAATAATTCGATTGATGCTTTAAATGCAAATGTTAGGCATTTATTTTATGAGTTATTTAACTTTTCATACAACAGATCTATGGAACATAACAATAAATTATTCTCTTTAGCGCTCCTTTAGCGAAGCACGGGTATGTCGGCTAGCTATAGTACGCTTTCGCAACGGTACACAAGTTAGAATACATTTAATTGTTTGATGTAATAATTAAGTCAATAGCCCAAAAGTAAACACATCCGATTTATTGTGCATCCTATGTTCAATTGTGTTTTGGATTTTGTCACATAACCTGAAAACCAGTCAAACGGTTACATGGAAATTGTGGGAAATTTCGCTCTACAAGTGCCTGCTGCATCCCTGCATTTATCCCACTGAGCTAGATTTATCCAACAGTGTTGTCATATTGAGGGAGTAACACTAAATTCAGGGGCGTAATCTCGCTGAATAAAATTAAAAGTCTGCAGCAACACCTATTTCAAATTTTAAAGACAGCTTTGTCTGGAGCTCCATTTTTATATATTCTACTACTGTATTTAACTTATGGATTTTATTTTGTACCTTTCATATGTGTTATATTTAGCTAATAATCTTAACATATAAAAGTAAAAGCCCTCACTCAATGATTCATTATTAATCCAACTTCCAGACTAGCTAGAACGTTGAAATTTGGTGTACTGATTCTTCAGGCATTAAATAGGAAAACTAAGTAGTTTTTATCCTGATCTGACTTTTGGGTTCCACCCAAGTGGTTCTGGAGTTTCCTTAACCTTATAAGTATCTATATTATTAAAAGACTTTGTTGGATTTTGTGTGCAGCAAATTGACCCATAAGTTTGAATGTTTATAGGCATATTGGGTATCTATATATTAAATATAGATACCCAATATATATAATAGGCAAACACGAATTTTGTGACGTATCCGTTTTGAAGCTGCTATGCATCCGATCACCACGTAGATAAATGCTTTCCATTGACCTACCTTTTTACATTGATTGGCATATCACTGATGACAAATGATCACTATAATGTATCTCAAAACATATATAAGACCTAGAATAATACAATTTTGCATTGGGACGACAATCCATGTATATGGTGTAGATGTACAAAGTTGGGGGTTTTGCAAAGTTCTAAATTCAAGGGTGGTTTAGGGGATTAAATCTATTTTAAGAATAAATTCGAGTATGCAAGGTATTATATTTTGGTCTGTAACTTATAAGCTACAATGCTTGGATCTTAAATCTTATGGAAGATCGGTAGTGTAGAACTAAATTATCCACAACTTTTGTATTTCAAGAGTGTTTTTCTATCTCAAACATATTTCGAGTAAAATAGGTTTACATTCAAATAAACTGTGAAAATTTGCTTGTTCCGCCACCTAAAAACTAGTCAGTGTCCGTACGTTTAACCATATGATTACCAAATCTTTTATTTTATTAAATAGCATTATTTATTATATAATAATAATGCATAAATCAATAAAAGCTGTTAAAAACCTATCAAGTGTACTATCGCAAGTATAGCTACCGACATTATTACATTTTAGGAGCTTGCTCCCGTAAACATTTGAAATCTTCTATTCTAAAAAGCTTTCAGTATAGGTTGTCATTAACCGGAACTGCTACACAATTTGTTGTAAAACGGTGATAGTTTTCGTTAAACGTTAATAGAGTCAATCTTCTTATATTCAAAAATAAATTTAACCGATTTTCATGATTGAGGTCTCAAATTGAAGGTGTGCACAGATTTCACTCTACGCATCGGCATATACATTGATCTACTGTATTACTCGTCCAAAAAACATATATTAAACTTTTTCGAATTCTTACTTCAATTTAAGATGCATTTCACCAGTTATAATCCTACATACTTTGGTCTAAGAACCTTCAGTGAAATGCCGGCTTTCATTTAAGCTATTAATTAGTTATCCAAATCGGACGGACTACAAGCAATAATTGCAATGTGAACAACCAACATATAAATTATTTTTTTATAAGGGTTTTCTATGATTAAAAATCAATAGGTCCACTATTGTTTATGTTTTTTTTCATGATTTTGACGCAAAATAGTAAGTTAATTAAAGGTTTTAATTTGAGCTATTTATCGTTTGAATCAGTTAAGACCAAGATACTCAATAATAAAAATGTATAAATTTGATTATTGCTCGAATATGATTTTCATTTCAACGTTGTAGAGTAGCATGGGCCCTCTAGTAATTATTAAATGTACAGAAGGGACAACAAAATTCAAGAATAATATCAAATCAAGAGCATGCCGAGACAGTAACGGGGAACATCATATATACAGTATATCACTAAATAAAACAATGTTTTTGTGTTACTTTTAATCCTACTTTAGACTATCTGAAATACTTTTCAATAAAGTTAGAGAAAACTAACTGTACCATTGGAAAATTTGGCTTGTAGTATGATTATGAATGAAAGAAGATATGAATACTTTAGTATTTTTGGTAAAAACATCATTAGGTTGTTCCAGAGAGGGTAGTTCCGTTCCGTAGCGAAGTCAGTGACAACTTCAGCAGGCTTATAGTAAAGAATAAAAGACGAAAAAGTATGTCGGGTGATGCCAACGGCAACAGCTAGTTAAAATCTGACCCGTTAATACTGTAGATTTAGTTACAAGAGAAAGTAGCCTAGCAGTGACCCAGGGGCATGGAGAGAAACAGGTTCGCAAGATGATGGACTTAATATCGTATTTTGTTATTTACAGTATTTCACCTATGAAAAGTTCTAACTAGATATTTTATACATATATTTCCTTCGGCATTTATACTGCCTACTTTGTAGCCGTAAATATTGGAATTACCCACATTACCCTTGTATGGGAATGTTTATTGCTCCAGACTTTTGGGTTGGCAGCACTGTTCACCCCATAACAACTACTCCCTCCCCCAGAAACCTTGCAGCCAATGAGAGCAGTCGATGCCCCCACCACAAGAGCAAGAGGGCGTTCATTACCTCACCAAATTGAAAAGTAACCAACCTGACCGATTTCAATATCGGGCAGGTAGGTCCCTTCACCAGTTTGAAAGGTTACCTACTTGAAGGGATCCCGTCGACAATCGGAAAATGCGTAATTATTGCGATTTTAATCCGAGACGAGTAGACAACCGTCTGTGTGCAATAATACGGCGCATGAGCAGTGAGCATTTTAGTGTTTTCTCGTTGAAACTGCGTTTCATCAGCTGTTGTGTTAGCTGTTACTGGCATTGCTAGTCGCAGTTGCAGTTACACTTACACGGGGATACCTATTATTTTATAGCACAGGTAATCAAAAGAACACTTCGGAAGTGTGCAATTGATTCTCCCTTTCTTTCATTCATAATCAGCCCTTTCATATATGTACCATAAGTGCGCGTCGGCGCGTCGCTGTAGATCAGTTTGATGATAGATGGTTTCGATTCTACCTAAGTAACAGAAACAGTTACCTGGCTATTTGATGTATTTCCCAGTGGCAAGAACTAGAATATAATTAATTATTGAACTGTTGTTACCTTTGTTCAATAATTCAAAAAATCGATTATTAAAAAAAAGTTACCTGGCGAAATCGGCGTTACATCACAGTGGTTACATCATTCCCAACTGTTAACATTATTACTTAAAAGTAACAGGAACTATTTCAGCATTTCTGCAACTAGACGGTCGTGAGCTTGCCTTGACGCTTTCACTGTTTCTGTTGTCAAATACAAAATAAGTTAACCTAGAATTTACACTACACAGAGGATACGCGTCCGGTAACCGGTAACCAGACGTGGATTAGGCGTCCGGTAACCAGACGTGGATTAGGCGACCGGTAACCAGACGTGGATTAGGCCTCCGGTAGGGAGGGGGTCCCGAAACGCCATTACCACAATGATACGATGTTCAGCCATCAGTGTTCGTGTTCGTGGTGTAGTGGATAGAGTGCTTGACTGATATGCGAGAGGTCCCCGGTTCGAAACCCCTCGGTAAGTTTAACTTTTTGTCACAGATTTTGCTTTGAATGTAATTTCTTCTTAACTGTACATCTTTTGTTAGAATTTTTGGCATTTATAATTTTATGTTATGAAGAGAATTGAACCTTCATTTGATTTTTTTCACTATCAGCAAGTTTGGTTGGTTAGGTTAGGTTATGACAGTAACTGCCGGACGCCTAATCCACGTCCGGTTACCGGACGCGTATCCTCTGCGTTTACACTAATTCAGTCCAACGAAATAAACTTAGGCTAACTTTATGATAGAGATTTAATTTTGTGGATCAATTTTATGACCTTAGCGAAAATAATGTACAAATTAAAACTTCCATTCATATTAATAGTTGTAAGTTTAGCTTATTAGACATTTTTGTTTGTTTTTTGTTGTGTGAGTTTTTATGATTCATTATTTTAGTTCACATAGCCTTATTGGTGAGTTGATTTAAAGCCTACAGTTCAATTAATAATTTACCTTATAAGTAATTAAAATTTAGAGAGAAAAAAATCTGTCGACATAAGTTAGGCCCTGGCTGCACTTTAGTTTAGTCCTAACTTACCTAGGCCTACACTCATTTGAATGAAAAATATCGATATATAGACTAATCGATATATTGATTATTTCATTCATTAGTTAGGATAGGTTTTACCCTAACCAACCAAACTTGATATAACTTCGGCCTATTGAATAAAATAATCGATATATTCATTCAATTGTAGGACGTAAATTAAAGTGCAGCCGGCCCTAGTGCATTGTTTGCACCCATTCTCTTGTTTGATCATAAGTCATCTAAAAATATTCTATCATAGGCCTAGCCTATTCCAAATTAACAAAATATTTGCATTCAAACTTTCGGAATTTTATTTCGGTGACCAATCTCACCTTAAACACAGATAACTTAAGTTAATAGCCTATATATTTCCTTAGTTTAAAATTTAGGCCGGCTTTACTTTTATATTTTTTAGCTTCAGCATATTAATTTTATAGCACAGGTGGTTTCTTCTCCGTACTGCACGACTGCTTCTTCAAAAGGTTATTGTTTTGGAACTAAGTTTAGCTTGTGATACACTTTTTTGTCATCGTCTAAGGGGTAGGTCCAAATCCATATGGTTTGTGGGTGTGTCGAGAATTGAACCCACCCCTCTTGCACCGTGGTGTAAAACCACAACCACTAGGCTAGCAACACACTTTTTATTGTAGGCCTAGCATGGGCAACTTAGAAACTCACTTTAATGCAACAAAATCTTGTATTAGATTATAGTGACTAACACACAGTAAGCTTAGGTTAGCTCAAACATAAACAAATACATGTAAATTATCCTATATTGTGCTTGTTACCCTAACTTAAATTGACTGTGATATGATATGCGGTGTCTCTTATCTTATACTAAGCTACTGAGCCTAATTCTAATTTTTCCATTCCAGAGAACCTTTTCGGCACCCAGAAGAATGGCTTCAACAGTGATTAAAATAAAAGAAGGTGCCATCCGTGGAAAGGAGGTTACTGCTACGTCATTTCGTAAGAAGAAATATTTTTCTTTCCAAGGAATTCCTTATGCTCAGCCTCCTGTTGGAAATCTTCGTTTTAAGGTAAACGTTTTTCTTTTTGTGTTAATTTTGCTCTATAATCCCATAAATCCATATGTTGTGATTTCTGACTGTGTAAGGTAGGCCTATGTTTAGAGACAAGAAAAAACGATTCCAGATAAGCCTAACTTAGGATAATCATTTTATTTGTTTTGAAATTTAACCTTAAATAGGTCAAAATTACCAGAAAAGTATGTTTAACTTTTGATCAGTGTGATTGAATCTTTTTCATCATATTTGTAACACAAGTGCTTTAACTTAATAATTGAAATTTTCACAGGACCCTGTGCCAGTGACATCGTGGGACGGAGTACGAGATACACTTAAGGAGGCACCACTGTGTCCCCAAAAACATGTAATTCTCCGTCGGTCCTTGGGCGAAGAAGACAATTGCTTGGCTCTGAACGTCTACACCCCTCGGGTGAGTATGCAATGTTGGCAGTGTTACATTTCAAAGCACTTGAATTCATAATCGTTATATGCACATAACAATGTTTATTGTTTTGTCAAGTTACCAGAAGCCGGATCGGCCCTGCTGCCTGTCATGGTGTGGATCCATGGCGGCGGCTTTACCTTCGGGAGCGGAAACACTGATTTGCACGATCCCGAATACTGGATGGAACAAGACGTCGTCATTGTTACTTGCAACTACAGAGTCGGTGTATTGGGTAAACAAATTTTCAAATTTAATTAGTTATTTTGCATGTGTTAATTTGATCTCTTTTTAAAATCAAGTAATTCATAGAGATGGATGGTTTTTTGACTAGGAGTAATAATTAAACTAGAAGCGTAGGGATTACAAACTTATGGCAGCGAGGTTGTGGAATTTCCTACGGGTGTCTCTAATTGCACAGTATAAAATATAGCAGTATAGTTAGTAGTGTTATTGAACTGTGTAGCTCATCCAATGCTTTGCTTGATTATGTTTCCCGGCCCGGTTGGATGGGTAAATTAATCTACAAAAGCCCACCTATTTTTTTTTGTCTGAACACTTTTAATCATCTTTCCACATATCATATCATACTATCATACTAATCCAATAAAGTTTGACTCATTGACATGGGGTTTTGTTTATTTCCTGAAAATGTACAGGATTTGAATGTACCGGTACACACCTCAACACTACATTTTTTTGTCGGTCTACGCCTTAGCCAACTAAGCTACCATGCCACCTTCTAGAAGAACGAGATAAGGGCTCCTAGCAGATTAGATTCATTGAATAAGCAATTCACAATGTCCCGAGCTATATCCAGTCTTACGACTTAATCAGTTTACTTACAAATAAATTTGGTTCAAGGGTTTCTGTCGCTGGGTACTTCCGAGGTTCCTGGCAACGCAGGTTTGAAGGACCAAGTGATGGTGTTGAAGTGGGTACAATGGAACATCGCTCAGTTTGGAGGAGACCCGAACAATGTTACAATGTTTGGTGAAAGTGCGGGATCGGCCTCAGTACATTACCACCTGCTGTCTCCAATGTCTAGAGGTAAGGTTATGAAGATCTTGCTGCAACCAATCAATTTACTTACTACAAAACGGATACACTACATGCATATGTAATAGTCCATCATTTATAGACATACCTTGTACTCAAAAAATCATACTAAACCATGTTTGAGTACTTAACTCATTATGTTGACGTTCAGGTTTGTTCCACCGGGCGATTCTCATGAGTGGGTCAAGTTTAAACACGTGGGCCTTCAGTTCTCAGGCATTGGAAAAGTCTTTCAGTCTTGGAGAAAAGTTAGGTCTGTCAACGTCCGATCCGAAAAAGCTATTGGAATTTCTGCAGAATCTGCCAGTTTTCGATCTGGTCAAGATGCAGAACAAAGTTCTCACTGCTCAGGTATGCTTGCATCGCTTAGTATTAGCTTACTTAGTTTTGCTCAGTGTTTGTTTTCTAACTTTATTTTGCGTAACGTTATTTTTATGCTGCAAAAAATTTAATTTAGAGATTCTCAAGAGTTGTCTTTTACGACTTCCATTAATGAGTTTTTCCTTCTATATTTTGTGATAAATTTAATCTATATCATCCCAAGAATCAGTTATTTGTATTTTGTTCTGCCCTTTTTTAATAAACAATTCTTTACTAAACTAATTAAAGACCTTTTATTTTGTACCTAGGTAGGCCTACCTTTCACTCAGTTTTTGACAGCCCCGCAATGGTAAAGTAAATCACTTTTGAAGAAAACATACCATATGAATGATAATAAAAAGTTTGAACACATGATTGATTTCAATCGGCAATAATTGGAACGAACCAAATTGAAATATATTGATTTTTTAGCAAACCTGAGCCTTCATAAATATAGTTTATAAGAAATACAAACCTACAATTTTTATTAAAAACAATATTTTAAAGGGAACCTAAGTTGCTGATTAGAATGTTTTTTGAAAAGTAGTTCCGCTAGCTTACATGAAAAAATTAGAGGACAGAGCGTAATAGATATAGTACAAATTATAAGTTTTCTGGCCTTTTATTGTGTATCTATAAGCCCCAGGGCACTAATTATCTCACTCACTAAGCTTGCTAACCCTATTATTAATAGAAATAAAAATATTCCCAAATAAATTAGTAGAGTTTTATTAACTAGACTGGTGTGCACAGGACAAGCAGGATCTAAGAGTGTTCCCGTTTGTGCCGTCCGTAGAGTTGTCAGGCGGGGCAGAACAGCGGTTCCTGACGGAGCATCCTCGGACCATACTGCAGCGAGGGGACATCGCCCCTGTGCCTGTTATCTTCGGGGCTAACAACAAGGAGGGCATGCTTGTCATGAATGGTATGTTTTCTTTACTTTTATTCAATCAAATATATTATTTTGTGGAGAGACTAATGCATGGAACTTCACACTTTTAACGACACTTCACATAAGAAATCATGGAAGGTTTTCAACCAATTGTAGAGACCAATAAGTGTGTTTTATTTTCAGGTTTTAAATAGTTTAATATTTTAAAGGGGTTTACACTAACTTCTTGGTAGAAGAGGGCATTTTCCTCCGACTCTTGGATCAAGATACTGGTTTTCTCTGCCCCGCCTGAAGAAAATTCCTCCGGGTGTCCAGGAGGGGGTAGACAAGTCAGATTAGTGTGGTAGACTTCAGTCCCTGAGGTCCCGGGTTTAAATCCCATTAATCACCATTGAATTTTACCAAAGTGATTGTGTGGTGACCTCTAGGCCTAACCTAAAGTAGGCCTAATATTGAAAATTAGTCTGCGCTAGAGTTGTGATGATTGTATCCTAGCATCCTAGGATGTGAAGGGGGGACGTAAAAAATTAACTTGGTGCTCAGTGATAACCTGAAAAAAGGATCACTCAAAAGCACCACAGATATTTTTTAGCATTTGTATTTGTATATATGTGTATGTTTTCAGAGGCTAAATATTTTGTAGTTTTGACAATTAATCCCTAGGCCTACTTCACTAATCAGTAGGTGTGTTTTAGATGTTCCGCACAATGATGAGCTGTTTAAGGTGGTAAACAGTAACTTCTCTCGCATTTTACCCGGAGACCTCGGCTTGCCAAACAACGCGGCCGATAAACTTCGTAGATTCTTCTTCGGCAAGAAAGACATTGGTTGGGGGACAATCAGTGATTATTTCGATGTGAGTCATGTTAAATTATATTCATACATTTGTTTAAACATTTTGAGAATTACCTATTTCCCCCCTACGTTTATTTCCCACATTTACATTTAATCAACTTGAGAAAAAATAATACTTAGGCCGTCCAGAAAGTAAAGAACGTTTCGTTATGACGCCGCTAGGCGCGCGCCGATCTCGTACATTTTGGTATGTGCGTACTCGGCAACTCAGTCGGCATCCAGCCGTGACAATTGGAGCATTCTAGCGCTGCCCATTTTTTCACAATTTCAACTTAAGATGAGCTCTGCAATAAAAAATCCCGCCAGTTAAGGAGTGCGGTCAGTGATACGGTTTTTGTTGGAAAACACTTAAAACCGAAACTTCTCCTCAATTTTCATGGACTTTGTTGTTTAAAATTGTCACGCAACAAAGCGAAAGACCCGTTATCGGGAATCGGCGGTTTTTGCGAACCTTTTCATCAACTTTACCAGTTCCATCAGTCATAATGCTCGGGCGTCCGCCCTTCGCTTCGTCATGACTCATGAGCGTCAGATCGGCCATTTTTAATCTGAATCTGAATGCACCATTTTCTCAGAACTTTCAATCATTACGTTTTTTTCCTTAAACTTCATACCCTTGGCGATAAATGTCTATCGATTTTAAGTTTAATGCCAACACAAACCGTATCACTGACCGCACCTCTTAACTGGCAGAATTTTTAATCGCAGCGCTCATCTTAAGTTGAAATTGTGAAAAAACGGGCAGCGCTAGAATGCTCCCGTTGTCACGGCTGGATGCCGACTGAGTTGCCGAGTACGCACATACCAAAATGTACGAGATCGGCGCGCGCCTAGCGGCGTCATAACAAAACGTTCTTTACTTTCTGGATAACCCACGTATAAGAGTGATTAATTGTGGGATACCCGCAATCAAAAATCAAAGTTTTGTAGAAGGTTCATGGTAGCGAAGTGTTAAAAAAGGTGAAGGATATAAGAGCACAAGGGACATAGTTTTTAAGGTTGTTTTGTGAGGATCACAGGCTTACCTGGATGGGAATTAGTTAAAACTGGCAGAAGACACACAAGTAATCAGATTATACTATACACCAAAGTATTAAAATATTTCACAATGAAAGTATGAGTTGAGGTTAAAACTAAAAATATGTATTCCTTAGTTGAAAATGCTGTCAGTGACAGTGATATGTACTTCTGTTTTGTGTATCGTGTGTTTTGTGTTTCTTGTGCCAGTTTGAACTTTTTCCCATTCAGATAAGCCTGCTATCCTCCCTAAAAATCCGCAATTTGTTGTAAATTATTCCTAATGTTAATGGAAATCAAAATTATTCAGAAGGTTGATATAATTGGAAGGTAAACATTTGGTTATATTTATTGAACTATTCTTTCCACTTTGCCTCTTCTCTAAGAGAATAACTCTTAACATTTTGAGTTCAAAACTTGTCAGTAATTTCAATTTGTTGTCAGTACTACGGAGACGTTTTCTTCTACCTGGGTATAGACGAGGCGGTGCGTCATCATCTTGCTAGTGGCAAAGCACCGGTCTACTGTTATTGGCTGAGTTACGACGGAGGTCAAGGACTTCTATCACACTTCCTGCGTCTTATTTATCACCAATGTGAGCTGAAAGGTACATGAATGCTACATAACAATTTAAAAGTTACTTACTGTCAGGGGATTTTACAGATAAATTACTACTCTTAATTTATTTGACTTTAATTTACTGATTGCAAGAAATTGGGAGTAATTATTTTATTTATTTGGTTATCGTTTTTAGAATTCAATTTAAGTTTTCAAGCTTAATATTTTAGAAGTTCACAATGACAAAATCCATGAGTTAAAGGAATTGAGAAGGTATTTCTGCTGGGGTATACCGTTACTGAATAGTTACTGAGTCTATTCTTAGTTCTTATTACTCCCGTCTTTGTACGCACAGTGTGTAACAAACTAAATGAGTTCATTAAAAATACTTGAGGTGTTTCACAGATAATTATACAAGGAAAACAAGGAACCCTGACAACCAAGTCGCTGATGCGATATCATTGGGAATCCTCCAAGTATTCAAAAAGATAAATGAAAAGATACATAAATGAGAAGCCTGAGAACTGGTATGTGTGTCGTTACGGAGATATAGGTACAGAGTAAACTTGCTTATGGGACGTCTGCGCGCTTTCAGCCCTAGTATGTTGTAGCAAGGAAGGAAGAGCTGGAGTGGCGAACACCTTGCGGAAATTCCTATCGCCCAGGGCCTTCTTCTACCGTGAGCGATGTAGTACATGATTGTGAGGAGGGTGATGTTATACTTTGTCCTTGACACCAGCAACTAGTGCTGAACACCACACGTACCATTGAATTTTCCTCTGTACGTTACTTCTGGTACTGATGTTATTGTGTTTGTTGATTTCAGGAGTTTGTCACGCCGATGATGTCGGGTACATGTTCAAGTCCAATCTTCCCGGAGCTCCGGAACTAACTCCTGGAAGTCCGGATGAACATATGGTTTCCACAATTACTGGATTGTGGCGAGAGTTTGCTTCTACAGGGTAGGCTAAGTAGAAATTACAATTGTAAAATCTGCAATAATTGAATTAGACCTATTGTCGAAATTTTCTGTGGAGCTGTTTCACTCTTCACTATAATACAAACCTTTTGTATCAATATCAATCCACAAGTGCAAAAGTTAATGGTTAACAAGTTTGGTTCTAGAGTGCGCCCATTAATCATTTCACCTTTTTCAAACCATTCTCCATGTTTTTTAAGTTGCTGTTAAATTAATCAGACATAGAGAAAATCACAACACCAGACATGCATCAGTATTGACCCATCCAACCTGTAAGCAGACACTCGCAGAAAAACAAGTGGCATAATAATGAGCGCTATATTTAAACTCCCTTCCAGAACACTTAAAGCAAGAAACTAAAACGCACCCGATTCTCATGAACAAACTAACAGATTTGCTGCTATATTCTGAAATACAGTTTACCTAAACATTACTTGTGAAAGAAAATTTATTTATTTCCCCTTGTTTGTAAAATTTATTTAAATATAACTTGAACATTTTTGTGACACTTTTCTTCTATTAATAATTAAATAGTCTATCCGCAGTACTATCCTGATAATTAGACCAATTCGTATATACCAAGGCAAAAATGTGGTTTGGATTCCACTATAAACTGTAAGTCCCTTTGTTGCCATTAGCTGTATGGGCTTTTAATTAACAGCTGTGTCTAAGGAATATGTCGGCCTTAGTCACTAACAAGACTACAAGATCGCGCCACTCATCCTACACTCATCTCCACTCTTACTTGGCTTAAAATACCTACTTTGTATGGTCGCCATTTCATTGAACAGTATTAACAGTAAACATTTATTTTATTTGTGCCTTTCCATCACATCCTGGTACATAGAACCTTTTTAGACATTACTTCAAGTAGGCCTAGAGTTGTGGCATTGTCACTTGGATAAAACCCAACCCATTGATTAGTGGGATTCGAACCCGAGACCTCAGGGACTGAAGTCCCACACTCCACCACTAGGCCAGGTCGCTCCCCATGAATATGTAAATAAAGAATATTATCTATTATCTTTTGTATATATAACCTGGTAAATTATTATTATAACTCCATTATTCTTTGTACGCTCTCGTAATAGAACATTATGAAGATTCCTGTTTCAGGAACCCAAACAAAGAAGAACAAGTGGTGAAATGGGCTCCAGCAATTTTGGAGGGCTCCAGTTGGAAAAGATTCTTGGAAATCAACAATCCATTGGAAATGAAGAACTCTCGGATGGCACAAACGAGAATGGAATTCTGGGAAACATTGTTGAGACCAGAAATAAAACAGAAATTATAATATTTAGTGTATTTATCTTGTTTGTAAATACATTAGGCTAACTATTAAAAATGGTAGAAGTTGAGGTAGTTTTAAGGTGAAGGTAGAGTAAAGTAGGGTTGCAAGAAAATAACATTATGTAAGGAAGATAAAGGTGAAACAGGTTTTTATTTTTTTACTCAGATCGCAGTCAGTCGGTGGTAGTGATAGAGAGGGTGTGCTGTTTTCCATGTCCCTCATCAGTGGCCAAACTTGTACAAGGTGAATTTTGACTGATGTTGAGAACACCACTGATAGGCATGATTCAGCTTAAATGCTAAATTGAGACATGTTTCAAAAATTAAATTGTCATTTTAGTTGTGCTGGTACTAGCCGATGAGTTTTTAGAATTTTAGAAACCAACAGGTCTGGTCTAATAAAGAACGTTTTTACTTGATCACAATTAAATAGTATATTTCATTACTAGGACCGAAAGTGGCATTTTCCGGCGCGCGCTCAAGTTTTTGTGTGAGGCGAAGACGAACACAGGGAACCCCAATTTCACGTGTGAGGCGAAGCCGAGTATGTGAGAGCTATTTTCACGTATGAGGCAAAGCCGAGGACGGGAATAATGGAGCAAGTGCCGGATAATAACTTTCGGTACGAGTTATGAACGATACTTTTCATCGCGAAGCAAAAATACACAAACAGAATAGCAGACCTCAGTAATATTACAACTAATTTATTTCTCAATTAATTTGACTAGCATCAAAATAAAATAAAATCTTCTAAAAGGATACGTACGTATATTTTCGATTAATTTTAGAACAAAAAAATAAAAGAAAATACTCTAAAGGAAACTTACGTATTTTTTCAATAAATTTGGATTAAACCGTAAAATAAAACAATAAAAGAACTTTTGACTTTACATACAGCTGATCGAAATCATTAAATTATATCGTAACAAAACACTAGCGCACGTAGTGAGTAAATGGATAACTAATTGAGAGCGAGGGAAAGTAAATTTAGAGCGAGGGAAAATCAGCTGATCGATTTTCCCTCGCCCTAAATTAGAGCTTGGGAAACGACTACTTTCATTGATGTCAGATGTTATCGAAAATAGTTACTTTCGTTAAGGAGTGATGAAAATGATTTTCCTTGTTTGAATCTATTCAGTTAATTAGATCAATGTAAACGTGAACTTGACAATCTGCCTGTGATAGTAATGAAATGTCTTTCTGTTTTGTATACTGTTATTATTTAATATTTTGTTTTAAATGAGATTGCTCACTATATGAGTTACAAGAATAAGAAGAATGAGTCCCCTGCGGTTGGAATAAAATAGTGAAAATCTGCCACAAGCCCACAATCGTGGGGAAATCGAAATCGGTTATTTATTTTTGACTGCGCAGTTTTTGAAGATGCTTTTCTTCATACTGCGAGATTAAACGCTTGACCTAGCTGGGTATTAAAAATCAAGCCACTCATCTGATATAAATGACCTGACCCAAGCTCTTGGGCTTACTATTGGCCTGTCCAGGCCCAAAAAATTTCAGGGAACCCTAGTTAGGTATATTGCTCACTTAGAATTTCATAGAAACTGTATTAAGAGTTTAGCTCAATGTGAAAGAAGAGATTTTAAACTTAGTTATTAGAGTAAAAGATTACACATAAAGTACCACTTGAAAAGTGATTGTGGAGTTTTTACGTATTTATTATGAATAGTTTTTAAATTATTGTTTTGCTGTTGTTACTTTTTGTTTGAAATTGCTCAATTTTTTTTCAATGTTGAAAGCTAACCTTTTAAGATTTTATCATGTTAATATAAAATGTACCTAAAGATCTACAGTGTTTCATAATGTAGGTATGTGTGTATGTATATAGATTTTTATTTTTATTCTTCCAAGAAGGATAAGCTGCTCACTGTTCACTACTCATGTTTAGTTGTTAATTAAAACAGCATAGATTAATTTAATAATTAATATTGTCTAATGCATCATCTCTAAATGCCTAATGAAAAATACAAATCTCGAATCTTGACATTGTGATCTTAACATTGGTGCTTGGTCAAAAGTAAGGATATAAAGAAATACTCTGTAAAATACAGTATATTAAATGTATTAGATATATTACATTGTTGTTTTTGATAAGTTTTATAAAATGTTAAAATTGTATATCATTTATACAGGAAATATATATTTTGTTTAAATCACAGTGTATATTATTTCCAGTTCCAGTTTTAACGACAGAGATGATTAAATTGAAAGTCCAGATGTATCATTCAGATGAAGCAAACAAACAATATCCCTTGCAGCAGCAGACCTGCAGATTTAAATTAATATTTTCTCAGTCCACTTCTAAAATAAATATAAATTTTTACAAAATATAAAAAGGATGTGTATTTAAGTGCTTTTACTTTTATGATGCTGTTAAATCCAATTAAAATCTTTAAGGACTTCTCCATAAATAAAACCGTTTTTCTTGCAGTATATTAATTAAGCCAGTGGTTTATTCAATCATGTCAGATTGAACTATTCATATTTTTTTACTTTGTACCTATTCAAATTCTAGATATTAAACTTCAGCTGTTTATTACACATGAATTAAACAATTAAAACCAACTTTATTTTTGTTTGTAATGTCATTGGTTTTGATTTACTTTTATTTGTGAGTTGAACTATATTCTGTTATTTTTATCTTGAAAAATGTTGAAATTACTAAGACTAACTAAGGTTATAAAAAATGCTGTAAGTTTATTAGTGTTAGCTCTTAAGGAATTTTAGTAGATTTCCTGTTTTTCTAATAAACTTCAACAATGAAATTAGCAGTTGTGACATTCCCACCAAATCTTGTTTGAAATTATACTTTATTTTTCAATATTTCTATTAGACCTCTTTGTGCGGTATACAATTTGTGTTGGCTACTAACACGAGTAGACTTAAATTGGGCTGCACTTTAGTGTCTTTCCTACACTCATTCGAATGAATATATTGATCGATATATCGATTATTTCATTCGATGTATCAGGTTTAGTTAGTTAACCTAACCCAACTAACCAAATGAAATAATTAATATATTTAATAATCTATATGTATTGATATTTTTCATTCCAATGAATGTAAGACAGATAGCCTACTAAAGTGCAGCCTTAAAGTGTAAATTTTACATGAAAATCGTTTCATAATGTTACAATTTAGCTAATAATCATAGATAAAATCACATTAATTTTCAACAGAGATGAATATTTTGACACTATACTAACATAAAGTTTGTCTCATTTATGGGGTTTTTAGCAAGCAAAATTCCCATAAATTTTGGGTCCCAATAATCTATTAGGCTAGTTTATTAAAGACCAAAAACAAAAAATTACCAAGCATTAACCCTGACAATATAAGAGATAATAAATTCAAAGTAATCCCAAACTGTTGTTAAAGTTGTTTACACTATCTTACAAAATTAACATGTTGTTAAGTTAATTGTTGTGGTAGAAAAAGCTATGAATTTGTGTATACCAATTACGTTGTTTGAATATGTATTACCAATTCGACCAGTAATTTTGGTCAACGTTATTCCTTTGTAAACATTTTAGTTCTTTTCTTATCAAGTTGCTTAAGATATTTTTTAGATAGTCACTTGACTGTTGAAAAGAAATTTAAATTTATGTTACAACATGCAAACTTACAACTGCAAAAATTCAAGTCCTTTTTTCAGAAGACCCATTTCTCAATTAGAGGAACGTCGTCAAATCCCGTTGTGACGATAGAAGAAGGCCAGCTCCGAGGGAGAGAAGTCACTGCAACATCTTTTCAAAAGAAAAAATATTTTGCATTTCAAGGAATTCCTTATGCTCAGCCGCCTGTTGGGAAACTACGCTTTAATGTAGGTATTTGATTTTAACTATGTTTGCACTTATTGTCTATCCTAGAATTCCTTTTTATGTTCATTTCACCATTATTATTTCAATGTATGAAGGAACTAATAATTGCAGACACATACACATTCATTTTCAGTTTTTACTTGATGTTATCATGCTATATTGTATCTGTACATTATTATTTTACTAAGATTATTATTTATTTCAAAGCAGTTAGTGACGAGTCTAGTATGTAGCCTATTCGAGTAGAATGTGGTGACAACTCAGAGAAATAATCTGACCTTATCCCAAGCATATTCAGCGCTCTTGACTCGGGAGAATCGTCTAGCAACGTATTGTATAATTAGCGTAATTACGTATAACTAGCGACCAAAAATCTAATTCATTGACCACATTGAACCAAGAAACAAATCTTCATAATAAACAAATTTACAAAAATAGCAGAACGAAGCATAACAGCTGGGTTGGTAAATTTTCTTCATAAGAGATACATTGGGATTTTGATGGCCTGTGGGGCAAAGCCAGAGGACTTTTATTACATGAATTTTTGAAGGGGGGCATATACACAAAAAATACTTAATTTTGACACATCCTTTGTAAAAATCCGTCCATTATTAATGGATGAGTAATGTTTCATAGAAATCACCTTCTCGTATTACATAGGTAAGGATGGAGTCTACTCGACTACTTGTTTCACTTGATACTTAATAAATATAATTCTTGACTTGTTTTAGCACCAAAAGCAATGTTACAATGTTAACGCATGGGTATTTGCAGTAAAATCAAAATCAAGAGAAAATTAAGGTGTAAACTTTGATTTTTTCGTACAAAACTATAACCAGGTTTTAGGTATAAGTACCCTGTCTCAGATTAAGTTGAGGCTATCTACCTAAATGGTGGACCAGGAAAGTAGCTGGGTCAACAGTGCAAGATCTACGTCTCATTAAATATACCAATTTAAAAAGTTGAAACGAATAGCCTAATTGAAAAATTGAATCGTGGCAGGACCCCGAGCCAGTAAAACCATGGACCGGAGTGCGAGACGCGCTCAAGGAAGCTCCAATGTGTCCTCAGAACCACATCTTGCTGCATTTGGTATTGGGCGAGGAGGACAACTGTTTGGCATTAAACGTCTTCACTCCTCGAGTAAGTACATAACAATCTAAATAGACTCCTCAATCAAGCACCATGGAGAAATTATCCAAACCAGAACATGAGGAACTGAGAAAGTGTTGAGTTATCAAGTTACTGCACAAAAATAAGTTCTAATGTTATTATTTGTACCAATTTTTCTAACATTCAGGCAGGAAAATATGGTACAGTAAAACCTCATTAACTCAACATCCAGTAACTCGACAGTCAACAGCTGATAGACCAACAGCTGACGGTGCAGTCTAGCTGGCTTTGTCTTACTATTGTGTTTGACTTTTCAAGTCCAAGAATTTCTCTATTTTACAGTAAAATTTCCTGCTACCTATTACATTCATTTGTTGTATCTTTTGGTAAAAAAGTTAATTAATCAAAACCCATTAAAAATTTCAATGTTCTAGATAACTCGATAACCTCTGGGTCCACAAATTGTCGCGTTTTGCTGTAATCGGAAATGATTGTACAACAATGGTACATAACCTAACCTTACCTAAAAAAGTAATTTCAACAGAAGGAATTTTAATAAATCTGCTAGTTTAATAATGCAAGTTTGCCTCAAAAATGAGTTAATTGGTTTCACAACCACACATTTTGTGTGCAAAATAATGGACTAGAGTACAAAAAAATAATAGAATATGGAAGAAAACCTAAAGTACATTTACTGAACTGCGATAAACAAGTTATTTAAGATGGTGTGGACAATTTCTGTCTACATTGAGTGAATGTCATACTCTGGTTATTCAAACCATCCGAAGTCTGAAAATGGATCATAGAATGAAAGAGAGTTAACTGTAATAGAGAGTCAATGTGTAGGGTTTTTAATTCACCTTTTGAAACAAAATGAACTGTAATTAGTGTATTTTAATGAAGGAAATATTTTTTTGCCAGAGATTGTTGCATTGTAATTTCTGTAAAACTTTATAGTGTTTGAGAGGTGTTGTGGGTGTAAGCAAATAAACTTTTGACTGTGGTCAAATCAGCTTGTTAACGTAAAAAAGACAAGCTGAAAACAACACAGGCAGCGGGGGTTAAGAATATGAAACTTCCTCTATCATTTTTGTAAGTTTTTCCTTTTGTATCTGGTTAGCTACCCAAAAGCGCAGATGAGCCGCTGATGCCGGCCATGGTGTGGATCCACGGTGGCGGCTTCACCTTCGGCAGTGGCAACACCGACGTTCACGACCCAGACTACTGGATGGCACAAGACGTCGTCATCGTTACTTGCAACTACAGGGTCGGCGTGTTGGGTGAGTGAATGTGAAAATTATAGAAAATGCTCGCAAAACAATACTTTGTAGAGGCCTTCTACGATGAACCAACAACGTTTTTGTGTTTGTATCGTCTGTGTTTTAATTGTGTTTTTTATGAGTTGCTAGCGTTGAAAATGTTTTCTTTGCAACGAAACATGTAAGCTGATGAGCAATAGTAATCATTGGACTATTTGACGGAGGTAAAACCTATTATTGTCTGAGCAATGTTTGCTTTTTAGAAATTTGTGTGATGATAGCAGGCTTGCTAATAAGAAAGAGACAGATCTGGTACAAGAAACACCGTACACTATACACACAACATTAGAATATTTTACTGTCACGGGCAGTGCTTTTGTACAAAGAAGGCATGAATAAGTAAAGTGTTTTTGTTTCTTTTGCCAGTTTAAGCCTGAAGTATGGCTGTTTACTTACGGGACACCCTGTGTAACTCAATGCATCACTACCTACAATAGTGGGGAAGCGAGCTGGTCTAGTGGTTAGAGTGCGGGACTCCGGTTCCTGGGGTCCCGGGTTTAAATCCCGCCAAATCACCAATGGATTTTATCTTTTATATTGCCGTAACCCCTAGGTCTAGCCTGAAGTAATGAGAAAAATAATTCCAAGCTCGTGCCTAGCATCCTAGGACAAAAAAAAACCCTGTATTGTCATTGTTGAAGATGACTGTATCATACCTATTTTCAGAATTTTTGTGTGAATAGTAAACCTGTAAACCTGAATGGGGAAGGGTCCTATCCAGCCCAAGACACAGAAAATCTTATACACGAAAAATTAGCAAACTGTTTCCTTCGCCATATATTCTTTTCCATTCATGTACGCCTGCTACTGCTATCCTACAAAAAAACCCTAAAAGCCTAAAAACCCAGGTCCCTTCCTCTATCTCATGTTATATTCCCAAACTAAATCTGTCATACTAAACTGGTAAATGTATACTAACACCGAACTTGACAAACAAATGATTTTCCAGGGTTCCTGTCGCTGGGTATCCCAGAAGCTTCTGGTAACGCAGGGCTGAAGGACCAAGTCATGGTGTTGAAGTGGGTACAACGGAACATCGCTCAGTTTGGAGGAGACCCGAAAAAGGTGACCATGTTTGGTGAAAGCGCGGGATCGGCCTCAGTACATTACCACCTGCTGTCTCCAATGTCTAGAGGTGATTGCTAGATTTAAAAAGTTTATTTGTGTTTCTACGTTGCAAGGGAACGGTCCAAACCCTGGTCTCGTTACTAACGTAAACCTTTTGTTGGATAGCATTAATGACAAATGCCATCTGTGTTCAGAAACGATCTCACAGAAGTGAACCAGCGACCTTCAGATTTGAAGGCGAGCACTACAACCCAGCTTCCCAGAGAATAACCGAGACAAGGATTTTCTTGCATGTTTTTCAATTGATATTTATCCTACCTTCACAGCTGGAAGTTGGGTAGAGAAATCGTTGTGACAATATTGATGAAATTACCGATAGGAAGTCATGATTGAGTAAATTTCTCTTTTAAGCACAAACACAGTCTTGTTTGTAAAACCTTCTACCCTCAACCCAGTAAATTTTTATAGTGGATAGGTCGAACAGCAGGTTAGCCTGATTAAAAAAATAATTTTTAATACAAAGAAATACCATTTTGAGAACTAGGGGAAGAACAGTATATGTGTGTAAGTATTATGACAAATTCCTATTTCCTTCTTTTTTTACTCAAAACTTACTGTTACATTGTGTGAACCCAACTTAATCGCAAAATGTCAAGCATACTTTTTCCAGCCTGAGACTTCTTATGAAAAGTTCATGATTTAACATAGATTTAATCATTAACCTCCTTTGACGCTTCTATAGCTTTTGAAAAGATCACTTGTTCCTGATATGGATTAATGAAGTACATTTTGATTTCATTGATTATTGTTTTTTCCTCCTATATTTCCTGATACCTACATGTATTGAAGACAAAAATACTTTTGATGACCAATTTCTTTTTTAAATTAGTTCCGTACACAAAAATAAACTATAAGATCCTTATCCTTGTGTTCATTTTAACATTGTCCAGCACCAACCAAGATTGTGTACGGGTTTGTTGTTATGCCTTGTTTGGTTGTAAAAAGGCTTGTTGCAATTTTTAGATTTGATTCACGGAGGAATTCTACAGTCTGGGTCCAGTCTTTGCACTTGGGCTCATAGTTTCAAAGCACTGGAAAATTCTTTTGATATCGGCAAGAGGTTGGGTATGTCTACATCTGATCCACACAAACTCTTAGAGTTTCTGCGAGGTCTTCCGGCCCTGGAAATGGTCAAGATACAATATGACGTTATGACTGAACAGGTATTGTGAGGTTTTAATGGTAAATGTGATAATTGTTTTTTTTATGGTAAAATAAATTGTGATGAGAGATAGCTTTGAAAATCTTGTGTTTTACATCTGGATTATAATTTAGTCATTCCATTTATATGAGCCAACGGTGTTGAAAATTGTTTTGTTAAAAACTTTAACAGAACATTTATACCCATTAGCCACTGAGTGAGTGTGTGTGTGTGTGTAAAATTCTACTTACTCCCTTAGTTTTTGTTACTGTGCTCGTTAATGTATCGTAAAATGTGTTATTGCTTGCAATAAATTGCCCTTTCAGTTATGTTTCGTCGAAAGTTGGTTCATCTTTATTTTCAACAATTCAGGAGTAAAATCAATTGTTGTAAATGGTTTGGACTTTTGTGCTACAGTACTTCAAAAATAATAAAAAATACAAAAACCGACTTGTTATAAAAAAGAAGCAGTGCAAGGAATAGCTCAATAAATATCCTGTTAGTACACAAGTCAGACATTGCGAGACACATGTGGAAACTTTCTCACACCTTTCATTGGTTCATCCAGGATAAGCTGGACATGCGAATGTTCCCGTTTGTGCCGTCTGTAGAGGTGGCAGGCGGGGAAGGACAGCGGTTCTTGACGGAGCATCCTCGGGCCATAATGCAGCGGGGGGACATCGCCCCCGTACCCGTCATCAGCGGAGCTAACAGCAAGGAGGGAATGCTCATCATGAACGGTAACTCGTTTATTTGGTTTACTGTTTGTCTCAGTTATAAGTGCGGCAGACTGTTAAATATCTAATTCCTTTACTTTTTTGTGAAACTTTGTGTTTCAATGCTATTTTTATTTTTTACATATTATGTAGTTATTGAAGATCTCGTCCCCTCTATATGGACTGGCTGTAGCTAATTTATAAAAAAAGAAAATAGTGGAATTAGCCCCTCGCAGAATGTGTCAAAGTTAATTCCTACCTCTAAAGCACAAAATACCAACAACTTTGAACTTTGAAAATTTATTGGACATTTGTTGCTCGGTTATCATCCACAATCTTTTTTCAGAGGTTAACTTCACAGACGACTTTTTCAAGTTGGTCGACCAAAATTTCAACAACATTGTCCCATGGGACCTCGGCCTGCCTCAATGGGCTCCGGACAAACTTAGGAAACACTTCTACGGCGACAAACCGATCAACTGGGACACTCTTGATGAAACTTTGGACGTAAGTTGTTTCTAGACTAAGAACACATTTTACAAGAAAATAGACCTTTTCGTAATTTACTGTACTATTCAAAGTCAAAGGGCGACCAAAATCATTCTACTTTGGTGGTGAGAGAGCCAAAAATATGCTAATTTTATATACAATTGTTTAAACCTGTGAAAACTGTCTACATTTGTGATAACACTGTTCAGAAGAATTCAAAGTACCAAAATGATTTTAAAAATGTGTGAAATGACAATGTATAGAATGAAAATGAGGGATAGCTTACCAGGTAGTCACACAATTTATGGAAATCATTTTCCCATTTATTTAGTCTGTCAAAGCTTTAAATCCTCGCTTCATAATTATTTCTAACACCATTTAAATATTTCTCTCTGTATTTTAGAAAGTGTGATATGTCTAGGGCCTAGTAAGAACTTTTCTTATTTCATTCTAGTGTTTGATCTCACATCTTGGTCTTGTGCTGTAATTAGTTAAATTATTCCTAAATAAGTTAAAACTTTGTGAAAATTTGTTGTGATTTTGTAAAATATCATTTCAGTTCTACGGGGACATTTTCTTCTACTTGGGAATAGACGAGGCAGTTCGTTATCACGTTGTTAGTGCCAAATCACCCATCTTCTGCTACCATCTGACCTACGAAGGAGGTCAAGGACTTTTAACACAGCATCTCCGCCAGAAGTATCCTCAGGCGAAGCTCAAAGGTAATAAATCGGCTTAGCTATGTATTCGTCAAGATAGAAAAGTAGTTTGTAAACGGGCATTCTGATTCATTATTGTGTGAACCAAATCAGAAAGATAAATTTTTGCACAGATTCAATTTTATCCGATGAAAACTTGTAAACCAATTGGTTCACAAAACATATGCGTTTATTCTGGGCTTTGGTCCCAAGGTCTCGGGTTCAAATCTTGTCAATCGCCTAATGCTTTTATCTAGGTGATAATGACCCTCTAGACCTAGCCTTAAGTAATGTGTAAACAGTTGTGGGCTAGAATTAGAGTCCTAGGGTGTGAAGGTGGGACACGAAACAAAATATACGTAGCATATGATTAGTTTTCTTTTGATAAAAACTCTACTGCGCTGACACAATTAATTTGTTATGGATCAACAACCAAAAAGTGTATGATACCATACTAGGTCATACTTATTCATATGTACTTATAGGATTAGTAGAGTCTGTTATCTCCTCTCAATTTATATGATTCCTCTTCACTAAACTATTTTCCACAGCGAAGCTTTTCCATAATTGATACTCAAATAATTTGCGAATTATTTAGAACCTATAAGGCATTCTAGTTGAAAATTAATGCTGTAAAGCTGGGATTTCCTAGAGTCTGTCTTAGTTAATTTAACGGTACTGTTTTCCTAGAAGTGGAAAGCACCGCCACTGAACAAGCAGAAAATTGCTTCTCCGCACTCTGCGTTCCACTTTTGCCCCTGGTAAAACCAGCTTTACATGACTTTTGTGTGCACTATGAATTAGCTGATTTAGAAAGAGTTGCCTACTCATTTTAAATCTGTACATGGTTGATCATAGTCACTATCAACATTTGATCTTGTTGGCAGGGGTTAGCCATGCAGACGATTGGGGCTACATGTTCAAGTGTACTTTGCCTGACACACCGAAGATAAGCCCGGGAAGTACGGACGAAAAAATGACCTCGACAATAACTGGAATTTGGAGACATTTTGCTGAGACAGGGTAAGTTCTTTCTGTATTGGTGGTTTGTAAGGGTACAAGGAGAATATTTATCACGTTTTAACCTGTTGCACTGTCGGGTGTATCGTTCAGGTCTTTCTAGATGCACATGTTTGAATTCCGTACATGTGCAATCTTTATTGAGCTTTATAATGTGTGGCTTACCGGTTGTAGGCTCGCCTTAAATAAACCGTGTCCAGCTCGGGTGGAACGTTTACTTTAATAGGGATTGAACACAACATTTGTTTTGCTTCTTTTCATATAGGAAGATACATATTTTTTTTATTTTGGTTAAATACGGACATATTGTGTTCAAGTACATGTATGATAGAAGACATAAAAGGACATAATCTGAACAAATATTTAAATAGAAAAAAGTTATTTGGGGTCAATAGTTTAACAAAACATCATCATCGTATGACTGTAATTTCTTAAATCACAGCGTATTTTTTTTAACGTGACCAATATTTTTCTGTTTACAGTAACCCAAACAAGGAAGGCCTAGAAGTGAAGTGGGAGCCTGCAGTAGCGGAAGGTTCCAGTTGGAAGAATTACTTGGAGATCAACAATCCATTGGCGATGAAGAACACTCGCATGGAAAAAACACGGATGGAACTCTGGGACACTTTGTTGTGGGCGGACACACAGAAACGTCCTGGCTCTAGCTAAGTTTTTGTCAATTTTTGTTCATTAATTGCTACGTTAAATGTTTTACAGTTGCGAGACTTTGTTTCTGTTTTTAAGTCAGATGTCTTCGAAGACAATCTGTATTGTTACCTATGTTTAAGACATAAAAATAACAATCAACTTTAAAATTTTATGAAAATGAAAATAAAAACAAATATTTAGAAAGTTCTTGGTTTTTATTTGATTTTAACATGCAATAATGAAATCGGCTCTTCTCCATCGTTACATAGATAAGATGGATTTCCAAATTCCATGAGTTGTAGAGTCGATGGTGTGCCTAGGCAATTTACCCTTGTAGGGTCCGAATTAACTTGGTTTTACTAAAGAGATCATTAAAAAAACATGAATTCTGTCAGACAACACTTTAACAATTTTTAAGTTACTGTACTTATTTCATTGTTTAGACAATCCGTTGTAGTTGATTTTTTTAAGAGGTTGGCGGCCTCTTTTAACCTTGCATTTGCCCGCCCACTAAGACTAACTGCCCGTGCGTGGAATGTATCCAGCATAGCAAGGGGTGAGCCCGTACAGTATGAAGGTGAACTGTACTAACACAATTTTTACGACAGTGACCAGGATCCGAACCCATGATAATGCTGCCTTGGGTCCAAAGTCCGTGACACTCCCAACTAAGCCACCAACTGACCATTTATACTAGAACAGATCGTTCTGACAAAAACCTTCATTTGTTTATTCTTACAATCTGTCGTGAAATAAGTACCAGTAATGACTTTAAAAATTGCACAAAAAAGAAGACATCATTCTCATGATAAATAAAAAATATAAAATGTGTTATATTTACAAATTTTAGTTTACTATTACTAATACATATACAACTACAGTCCTGGAAGTCTTCTTCTTTCTTTAATTTCCTGAGTATTCTTTGTGAACTCTTGATCTCTTTGTACAATCATATCTTCAGTCTTCTTCAGGAGATTTTTCAATGTGTCCACATCTTTGGCAGTACTTGATGCTGATGCTGGAAAATTGACAAATTCCATAACAAATGAAAGGGTTTTCTCTACATAACAAATTAAAAACTACCAAAACACTGCAATTCTTATGAATCTTAAATATGTTTATTGTTAAAGTGAATTTAAAAAGTATATATACTTTTTGAGGGTATATTTTAGAACATTTTAGTATCCAACCAAAAATCTTTACTCATGGTATTTATTTATAGTCGATAGCACCAGAATAAATCTGCAATTGTAAAGTTTTCTAAAGAAAATGGATAAATTTAAATGAACGAGGTCATAAATAATGACTAGAGCCTTAGGAAAATAACAATAAATGTAGAATATGAGCCAAAAGACCGAAAATTCTTGACAAAGAAGTGAACATAATTTTACCTGTAATCCTTGGCAAGAATGCTTTCTTTAGATTCTGTGCTGGCAAGTCCACCGCAAGAGTAAGGACAACAGATGCCAACATAACAACAGCAAATTCTGTGATGTTCAACTGTAGATGTAAAAATAAATATTTATTAAAATTTGCTACAGAAAACAATGTTTAAAATTAAAATAATTTACAGAAGTTTAAATCAATACAGTATGCTCCATGCAGACAAAAGAAGTAGAGAAAAGACATTTGATAACATTCAACTAATATAGATTTACAACCGCAAAATGGTTTGTTGCAACTACCGACGCAGTAGCGTGAATTCATTTTTTTCTGTCCTAGGACGCTAGACTCAAGTCGGAGATGGTTTTTCAGATTAGTTCAAGCTAGACCTAGTGGTTGCGGCATTAGATAAAATCCATTGGTGATTTGGTGGGATTTAAACCTGGGACCTCGGGGAATGAAGTACCACACCCTACTTGATAGACCAGCACCATCCTCGACGTTAATCCATATTGGAAATGTTGCAGTTATAGGGATAGTTTGATTAATTTAAATTAAAGTTGTGATTTAAAACTGTCTTGCATAAAGTAGATTGCATGGAAATGTATAACAATTGATTACTGTATGGAATACAATAATAAAGACTACAAACAGCTGTTATCCATTCTTACATAGAATTTTTTAAAAGTCTCGGTTATATTACAAAGTGTGTATGTTGCTCGCTTATAAATATAAAGTTAAGAGGATTGGCGGCCTCTTTTAACCTTGCGTTTGCCCGTCCACATAGACTAACTGCCCGTGCGTGGAATGTATCCAGCTAAGCAAGTGAGCCGGTATAGTATGAAGGTTAACTGTACTGATAAAATGCTGCAGTAGTGACCAGGATCAGAACCCACAACATTGCTGCCTTGTGCCTGACGTCCGCGACGCTACCGACTGAGCCACCGTCTCACCAATACCTGATTCTCTAATAACTATTGGTAACAATTTAAATAAGCATTGGGTTATCTATTAACAATACTATCAGATGAAAAATTGGCATTAGACCAAGATCTTGAACTAGACCATTCTATTACAAAACAACGTAAACACCTATGGAATTGAAAAAACACAATAAAAAAAAGATTTCATTATAAATGGTTTTACCAGTGTGAAGAAGGAGTACTGTTGAGATGTACGTGTCGTAGCGACATTGTAGAAGAATATAGGGAACTGAGTTAGGTAGACTGCGTACGAGAGTTTTGTGAACACAGCAAACCATCCCCAGCCCAGCAGCTGACCAAACCAACCTGCGTAACAAATATCAGTAAAGCTCGCTTTCATTGTGGTGACATGCAAGATCGTGTCTCTGCTGACACAAACGCTTCAGAATGTGTTAGTCCTGTTTCTTAAGTCTTATTTCCTACGTCTTCACCATCAGATTTTATTGTTCCAATTTGATTTCTTGCTAGAGACAAATCCGGATTTTTGACATCCAAATTATCTACGTTCTACTGAAATATGTTCATCTCCTATTCAAAATTAGAAGATTTAAGTACTTGTCTTCAAGGTAAGAGTGCTCTTTAAGATTAGAATTCTTGTTTTCAGGGTTACAGTGCTCGCCTATAAAACTAAATTTGCCGAACTAAAGTCTTTGTGTTGCTAGTGCTCATCTTTGAGATTAGAAAATTCATCTTTCTAATGTGAGTTCTCTCTCGTTAAAATAAAATGTTTACCTACAATATTACACCGCTTAACCCCAAAGAAGCAATTAAATTATGATGAATTTAAATAACGGTCCACAAATCTTACCTCCGTATCCGTAATGTGAGGCGAACAACGCCCAGCTGACGAAGAGAGACCAGACTATTGGTGCGAGGGCGTTGTACAGAGCTGCCTCCTGGGGGTCGTACACGTAACTAGGCCAAGACATGTGGTGAGGTCCGAACACGGGGAGGAGTGCAAACAGCGCACTCATAGTCCAGCCTAGAGCCACCGTTGTCTGCGACAAGGTACAGGATTAATTATCAACAAATAAAATTGATAACAACTTTGCGGGATTTTCACGATCCAGTAAGCGGGATTATTGTTTTGGTCATATGAATACACTTGGCATGCTCTGGCAATTCGAAGAGCTGGTAATAACTTACAATTGACTAAATTAGAACTGTCCTAAACCTTGAAAAAGTTTTTACAAGCAAGATGTATTTAGAAAGAACTGGAACTAGGAGAACAAAACATTCTGTATATTTAAACATGACTCAATGTTGAATGTAGAGTCATTGTTAAAAATAATAATCTACCGAGGTTTCGATGGTCGATTAGATTTCACCTGACAAGAATGAGCTAAGAGAGCAAAAATATTTTGTTGTTCGTAATGTCAATATTATATTGTGTAAATACATACATGGGAGAGTTTACAAGTTTTGTATCGATGGAAGAAGTAACCAAGTGCGATTCCGAGGCAGTACACTGTCGCTCGATGACTCGGCAAAATGTAAGTCTTCTCTGCTGTCTTGAACAACTGCGAAATTCTGTGGAAGGTGTAAGAGCTATAAGTTTTAAATATTTGAGCAAATGTAATAATGAGAATTATGATTAAAGAGAGATATCAAACTATTTCACTTGATGAGTAAAAGATAATACAGTAGTACTGTAAATATTTAATTTGCAACAATTTTAAATTAAATCAAGAGTGCATAACTTAATAACGAACTAAATAATGAATAAGAAAGATTATAGTAACAAAACTTTTACTGGAAAATTAACAATTTATCCATAACCACAACGCTAGCCAGTTCAGCTATTGTAATGCTTGTATAGCAATCTGAAAGTTGCCGGTTTGATCTTGAAAAAAGTCATTAGCTTTTTGGCTAGCAAAACAGCTGTTCTTAGTCGGTAACAAAGCTACATAGATAAGTTGGATTTGAGTTACACAATGTCGACACACCAGAGTGTGTATTTTAAAGGGAAGACGAGTGAGGGACAAGTGTTAATTTAATGAGATTATAGCATTGTTATTGTTACTGACTGCAATCAGCTGTTCTTTTATTAAGATTAAGAGAAAAAGCATTTATTAAAAATCCCAATAATCAAAAACACCTGATCCATTTTCAAACCATCAAAAAGCTTGTGACTTTCTAAAGTATTGAACAAGCAAACCTTTTAAATACTAGGCGAGCATTATATCAACTAATTAAGTTTCCAAATAAAACATTCATTGCGTCCCCATCTCATAACAAAATCAAAAATATATATGTTCTCATAACATGGGCGTAACTCACGGGACTCCGTAGTAGATAACAGTAGCAAGATTTTCAGAAAGAGCGACAGTGTATCTGAGAACAGAAGACCAGAAGGAAACTGCCAATAACATCAGGAACCCCAGCGAGGGACGTCGCCACAGAACATAGACCAATAATGGAGCCATCAGGAATAACTGCATGTCTATACCAATCTGGTGACTGTGCGTCAAACACTGTAACAAATAAGAATTTATATGTATCAAACACTGGAACAGACAAGCATTTCCATGTGTGGAACACTGGAACAAACAAGCATTTCCATGTGTCAAACACTGGAACAGACAAGCATTTCCATGTGTCAAAAACTGAACAAACCAGCATTCCCATGTGTGAAACACTGGAACAAACAAGCATTTCCATGTGTCAAACACTGGAACAGACAAGCATTTCCATGTGTCAAACACTGGAACAGACAAGCATTTCCATGTGTCAAACACTGGAACAGACAAGCATTTCCATGTTTCAAACACTGGAACAGACAAGCATTTCCATGTGTCAAACACTGGAACAGACTAGCATTTCCATGTGTCAAACACTGGAACAGACAAGCATTTCCATGTGTCAAACACTGGAACAGACAAGCATTTCCATGTGTCAAACACTGGAACAGACTAGCATTTCCATGTGTCAAAAACTGAACAAACCAGCATTCCCATGTGTCGAACACTGGAACAAACCAGCATTCCCATGTGTCAAACACTGGAACAAACCAGCATTCCCATGTGTGAAATCCTGGAACAAACAAGCATTCCCATGTGTGAAACACTGGAACAAACAAGCATTTCCATGTGTCAAACACTGGAACAGACAAGCATTTCCATGTGTCAAAAACTGAACAAACCAGCATACCCATCTGTCAAACACTGGAACAAACAAGCGTTTCTATGTATCAAACACTGGAAAAAAACAAGCATTTCCATTAGTCAAATACTGGAACAAACAAGCATTTCCATGCGTCAAACACTGGAACAAACAAGCATTTCTATGTGTTAAATACTGGAACAAACACGCATTTCCATGTGTCAAATACTGGAACAAACGCGCATTTCCATGTGTCAAACACTGGAACAAACAAGCAAATTTTAGGAGGGGAACCATCCTCCTAATCTCCCCCCCCCCCCCTCTGTAACCGCCACTGGTATATGTATATACTGTATTTATTACTGGCATATACTGTAGCTAGTTGACTAATATTTTATTAACTTCGGAAAGGGTTAGATTTTTCTACTTCAAACAAGAGTCTAGAAGAAAAGAGAATCTAATGTACAAGCCAATCTCTTATATGTTGGGTTACATATTCAATTATTTAAGTATCCCCTAATTAAATTGCACCAGTAACAATCAACAATAAAAAAAAAAAAAAAACAGTGCATCCTTTTTAAACTTCTCAAAATTATTATAAGGAAATACTTTTGAATCTTGGAGATGAATACACTGTTAAATTGGCATAGTAGACTTTCGGGATGTGTTGCAGCGATTTATCTTTGAGGCTGATTTCAATTTAACTGGAAAATTGCAAGTTCAATGATGCAATGTCATTTACCGAAGACAATATTCTGTCTACTTTGACTGAGGAAGTTTACCATAAGATTATGTTACTTGTTACTAGGATATCTTCCTTAATGGGATTTCAACTGAGCTTAACTGTAAGGAAGGAGGGAGAATAGAAAAAAACAATTTAAAGTACTGTTGCAGAAACGGAAAACTATTTTCTAGCAATACCACTGGAAGCCCGAAGATTAAAGTCTTTCTGCTTTGTTAAACTCACCATCTGGGTGAAGGGGAAGTGGTTGTGTATGAAGAGAAGATTGCGCCACCAGTAGCTATGGCACAAACTAGCGTACTTGTTGACCAATAGTCCCCACATTGGTCCGGAACCCAGGCTGGGCAACACGGCAGAGCAAAACACAATCAGTGCTGCCAGGCTTGGAGCCAACCTGCAGAAGAATTAGAAATTAGAATTTAGAAAGAAAAACAGTTAAATTTACAAATTCTTTTCTATTTGTACAGTTTCAGAAACTAATTTGCTATCTTATGCTGAATAACTAAATGAATAGTGTTCTCGTGATAATCATGAGCCTTGGGAAAAGGCAGTAACCTTTGAAGATCAAAACTGGACCCAGCTGTCCTTGATCATTAGGCTTTTTAAATAGTCCTGGCTATAGAAACAGCTGATCTGAGTCAGTAACAAAGGTTACTCAATGTTTTTCACTGTTCTACACTCATTATTGTTCTACACTGGGCTGGGACGGTGGCGTCGTCCTGAAATCCAGCTACTAGAAGGTCACGAATTGTGGATATTTATAGGCATGTACTGTGGATGCGATACTCCCTTGTGTGGATTAACGTGAGCACTACAACTATCCTGATAATTAGACAAATTTGTTAATACCAAGGCAAAAATGTGGTTCGGATTCTACTATAAACTGTAGGTTCCTTATTGGCCATCAGCTGTATGGGCTATTAATTAACAGCTGTGTCTAAGGAATATGTCAGCCTTAGTCGCTAACAAGACTACAAGATCGCACCACTCATCCTTCACTCATATTTGGGCTAAAATATGCAATTAGTGGCGTCCCCATCTTATATAGATGATAAAATTGATCATTCACTTTTATTATTGGCTGTTGGATACCCTTGTACTAAGCTAAAAATAGACAACTTTTTGTCAATGTCTGTTAACATGTTATGATTTAAAGTACAAAGTAATCAAAATAATCATTGGTAATATTTTTGGATTCGTCAAGTCAACTCACTATGGTTTTATTGAAATAGCCTTTGATATGTTTACCTGAAAAACCGAGAGATTAAAGAATCGACCAAGTTGAGAGAATTGCTTCGTCTCAGCTCTCTCAAAAATGATCTCGCAGACAAAATTCCCGAAAGCAGAATAAATGAGTCTGTGTACAGAATGGCTGTTCTTCCAATCATAGACCATGATTTTCCTATTACCTGTAACAGAATTGCAAAAGTAAAGATATATTATATGTCTGTATACAATGATTGACTTAATAACCTTTATTTTTACTTTCTCCTATACATAGTATGGTTTTACGTGGTAATATCCGTTTTGCGGTTTTCAAAGTGATGTCTGTTTGTGGATGTATAAAGAGCAAATACAATCCTTTGTCCACATATTATAGGGGGAGAAAGTAAAATGTTTTACACAAATTTTAATTGTAAAAATAACACAAATTAAAAACTACTTGCCTGTGCCAGATCTGTGCGGTTTGTGTAAGGCAAGAACATAAGTGCCATCTGTTTGTGAGAGAGCAACAGTCCGAAGGCATTCAGAGCTCTAGCACCATGCAGACCTGCAACCTCATCCTGCCTGGCCTCGGTGTTCAGAAGACTACGGATGTTGCGGGTGAGCGAGAACGCTCTTAGAATTTCCCTCAGGTTGTCTGTGTAAAGGAAAAACTTGTAAACAACAGTAGAAAGAGTAAAGTTAACTGCTTTCATTATTGTTTGTTTCATCGTTGTTTTCTAACAAAAGGTTGATTTCACGATCGAAATTAGGTTTTGGATCCTTACTAAAGATGTAAAAAATGCTGAAAGTGTTTAAGTACACCCAAAAAATGACTTGGATGTTAACTTACTAAGAATTGAATAAACAAAAGTTAATACAGTCAAAGAGTCTAAACAATAAAATAAAAAAGAAATAATAGACATAATTATTACATGGAAATTTATTCTAGGTTAAGAACTATTATAATGTTCAAACATTGTTTAACAGCTGAATCGGTTCATTTAATTTTCAACTTATCTTATGGATAGTGCTGTAAATGAAAGGCAGAATCTACAACATTAGTGTTGTGTTCCAAACATAATTACTAACAATATTTCTAATTTGTTCTATTATCACTAACAAGGATTCCAAGTTATTGACTTACAGAAATAAACAATTACCTGATTGTAAACTAAATCCAGTTTTAGAGCTGATCATATCAGCTGCTGTCCCAAGCACGCAGAGGAGAAAAATCAGAATAAAGAAGCTCCTAAAACAAAAATTAATTGGTTCAATTTTTGATGAGGTTCAATGATTTTACTCTCTTTTGGAAATAACACATTACCATAAAGCTGAAATTTGCAAAACAAAATTAATTTAACCTGGCCAATACGTTCCTGTCCCATACAAAACATTCCTTTCCAAAGCTAAGGTCGTATTTTACTCAAACTGTAAACGTTTTTACGCAACACTACATTAATTTGATGAACTTCCCACGCAAGGATTTAGTCCAGAAAACAGCTGTTTGCCACCAGCTTATTCAAATGGGGTTTCATTGCGTACTACTGTACTGCAATGAGTTTTACCGGACACCAATCAGCTGATTATACCGTATTTGGGTGGCAATGAGTGGTTATAACAAAAATATAACCTCTCTTAGAGGTTATGGCTAGTGATTTTTAGTCCTTTAGTTGGTGGAAATATATAAGGATTCGTACAGATTTAGTAGTATGGCGTAAACTATCGTACGTAACTCGTCCAAAATGTGTATACCGGACTCGTATGGTAATCCCGTACTCGACTTCGTCTCGCACGGGAACGACCACACTCGTCCGGTAAACACTTATTTTCAGGACTAGTAACGTAATATACTATTGAGTTTAGCAGAGGTATAAAGAGCTTTGGCAATCTTAATGTTTATTTTCCAATACAAATTAATCCAGATTCATAAGAACTTTTAAGTGTATAACTACACCTGCCCAGCCACATTAAAAAAATACAGACATTCTGGTCATGGTGGCGACAAAATGGCGATCAAAGTGTCATCTGCCACTTTCAAAGGACTCAAACCATATGGCAAGAAAACATCGATAAAAGTTATCAACCTTGGGCACACTATGGACACATGAAGAGATGGAAGTTTTCGAGGTGTTGTCTTCCGAATTACTTAACGAGAGGCTACATACCTTGTTGCCAATCTAATCCTAGGTCGACTGAGTGACGACCGGATCCGACACTCTTAAGGTGTCATTACAAAGCCCTATACCTTAGACTTGAGTCTGTCACTCCTAAGAAGTTGTCAAAAAGTAAAATATTTTTATGAAAAAAGACTGCATGGCTGCGGGTTCAGGAAAAGACTGACTGTCGCTGCGTCCTTCACCTCCTACCCTACCCCTCTCATTGTTATCAACTCCGTTGTCTTTTGATAATTTCTCTACATATGAGGTTGCTTGCATTATGTCTGACTCAACTGTTTTTCTTGTAAGGTCACCCTAATGATGATGATGATGATTATGATCTAGCAGCACTCACCATCCCAGTAGAGAAGTGAATCTAGACATAACTGCAGGATCCTCCCTTGCCTGACATAATTCAGCGTCTGCCCGAGCTGTGATCACAAGTCCTCTCTGTTCTCGTCCGTTCTCCAACAAGCTGTCAAGAGCTGCCTGTAGATGCTTGGATGTACAAGCCGATGGAATACACACAGCCCAGTTTACCATAGACCACCTCGGCAACCTGTGTCCTGGCTGGAATAGAAAGGTAATTTATCTCCGTTAAGTTTTTCAATTTTGTTTCTTTCAATATCTAGGTGGCTATCATAGAGTTACAGGTTTACCAAAAGTATAGGGATAATATTTTGATTTCACACTAAGAATAAGAATGAGAATTTTTGCCAGCTTGTGTGGCATCTTCAGAAAGGCCTTCTTAAGTTGTTTCACTATCACTATCACTATAGTATATACTTACAAACGGAAGATATTTACATATCGGAGGTCACTATAATGAACAACGCGATGACACCCTCACACTCATTTTAGGGTCGAAGTACATTTAGTCACACAGTTACCTACATTGTGTACAGAGGCAAGCTGGTCTAGTACCACTGGACTTTGATCCCGAGGTTCAGGGCTCAAATCCTATTAATCACCAATAAAATTTATCAAAGTTATAATGATGCAACCTCTAAGCATCCTATGATTTGAAGATGAGTCATAAAAAATAATAATAACAAACCTACATCGTTTACGGAGCTGGTCAATGCGTGGTGTGCGTGTAGCCGGGTGTCCAGGTCATCCAACCTCGATGGCAGTTTCAGGTCTACGGTGATCAAACAATAGCGGCCTCCCGCATTCATACACTCGTCAAAATCCCCGAGTTGGTTGATATTTCCCCGCAGAATCCCTGAAGGGAACTTTGCCCAGGAGTCCAACACTGCAAACAGGAAATGTAATTAAATATTTGGATTTGTTAAAGAGGTTTGCAGTCTTGTTTAACCTTGCATCGTCCCCCTTCACATAGGTTTTAGACCTGTATGTGGAATGTATTCAGCTAAGCAAGGTGAAGGAGTGAGCAAAAAAGTACAAGATTTGAACAGTACTTATTGGCTACAGAAAAGCTTTTGGATACAAACATGGGTATTATGTATTACCATTGTGCACAAACAATGATTTTAAGGGTTAAGAATGGCATTGGTAGAACTTTTCATGCTTAGTGAAAAACATTTTTAATATTTGTAACCATTTAACCTTTATTTTATTAATATTTTCATACGTTTTTCATTGCACACGTTTAAACTATTCTTGAGTACTAGCAAAGGAGCTAAAATCTACTTTCGCCCATTTATTATTATTATAAATTTAATACTCTGTGCTGTTACAGAATGCCAGGAAAACAGTGTAAATTACAGCCTTCATATTTGGCACCAGTGGTAATTTCCCCGTCAATCCTGAAAGTAAATATACATTGACCCTTTTGGCTTGAAGATGGGCCAATACTTGGAATAATATCTCTGTGGCTTAGTGCCACGGGGGTTATGTGGGCGTCGCTAACTGTTTGTTATATTCTAGACAAACATTACTTTGTTTGGTAAAAAGTGATTGAAAAATATGTTAAATTTTTAAGGTTAAAAAAATAAACATGGACTAAATTAGGTTTTTTATAATACGTAAATTATGTAACTTTACTCAGGAAGATATAACAATTACTTTAGTATAAAAAGATTAAATTAATTCAATATGAAAAGTATTAAAAAAACTATTGCTGTATCTTTGCAGCAATGATATTAAAAGTATTAAAAAGATTTAAAATGTATTTTGGGATTATGGTATCTAAATAATACCAATAATACCCATACTGTCCAGGAATATCCAATACTACCATAACTAATATCAAGTATAGTACAAGGTAATAAATGTATTGAAGTATTATTATGATATTAATATATTTAAATCGTTGAACATTTTCAAAGAATTAGGCGTATGACATAAAAAGCCAATTTAAAAATATATCTGCAAATCTATAAACCAAGAGAATCTATTAGAGATCTATTATCTATTGTCAAGAGGAAATGATTAGACAGTGTTCAATATGTTTTTATATATCAAAAACTAACAAATTTTTCTTTAATTTTAAAACTTTCAGTGGTATGTAATACAAAAAAATGAATATTTACTCAATTTCGTATAAACATAAAATGAAACCATCTTGGGTCACATAATGTTTTTGTTTACAGTCAGAGGCACGTGAGAGTTATAATTAAACTCAGACCTGAGACGAGGAAGTAGGGTTTCTGCAGTTTCCTCAAAATAACTCTGACTCTTTGATGCATTCGTAAAGTCACTGTGACACTTCCATCCACATCTGGCTGCTCGAGTAATCCAGATTTTACCAGAGTTGTTTATATTTAACTTTTAGAATTCAGTTGAAACTAGTTGCTGAATAGGGTACAAAGATTAAAACAAACGATTGTTAAAATTGGTGTAATTGTGTTTTAACGTCCAGCTTTGGCACAATATGGAAGAATGTTTTAAAATAAAATTTTCATTTTAATTTTACCAAAGTAAGATGTCCAAAAATAGTTGAGCAAAAGTACAAGTACACCGTGCTTTGGTGATTTGTCATTAAGGGGATATTAAAGTTTTATTGATAAATTGTGTTTTCACAAAACTACTTTATATTATAAGGGTCATAGAGTTATGCAATGGATTACGTTCGTTTGATCTTTGTTTTTTGCTGCTGATTTCTTGTCATTTAACCAATTTTAGCATGATTTCAGCCAAATAATACAAATGATTTATATTGTTTGTCCTATGGCATTAAAGCCAAAGAGTGATTAAGTTACCAAAAACGGTATTTAAGAGATTATCGCAAACATTTTCTATCACAAATAAAGTAGCTTAAATTAAATCATGAATGCAATTTTAGTTGGCATTAGTGCATCCAAAATGTAACTAACACGAAATTCCCATAAAACAGGCTTGTCTATACTTGCACTAAAGTCACATGTTCAATCCACACTGTTGATAAATAAAGAGAAAAAATATAAAACTCACTCTGTAAGGCTGGAAGTTCAAGTTTCTCCGCAGCATGAAGCAACTGCAGACTCTGTGTTCTGCAGTCGTCTGTAGTGCTACGCAGCAAGTCTGTGGCAGAAGGCAGCCATGACAGAACCTCACTTAGGGTGAGTTCTGAAGCAGGTGCAAGGTCTGGAAAAACAGTCGGTAAATATTGTGTCGATTAGTAAGGATTAGTAGTGGACTGACTTGAGTCTCCGAACGCTGAGAGTCCATCACTAGACGTTAGTGGTATTAAATTAATCCAGTGCTAGTAAACTGTTGAGATTAGTTGTGTAAACGTAAATTTACCGATGTGGAAAGGCTCGCAAAGGTCGTGAAATATATCACTTACCAACAAGGTTCTTTGGGGAAAGCAGAGTCGGAACACTGTTTCAACGCGTCCCCGCCTCACCAGTACTGGTTGAGATGTTCAAAATAACAAAAGCAACAAGGAAAAGGGTTCTCGTGCGAATGCACATCTTGCTTAACACTCTTAATGACATGATCGATACATATCAAAAGTAATATTCTGTAGCAAAAATTGTAAAATCCTTGAGCAATTGGGTAGTACAAATTTAATGGTTTTAATAATTCATTTTAATGAAACAGCTGATCATAGTCAGTAACAAAGCTACACAAGGCATCTCACTCTATTCTACCTCATATTTAGCTCAAAAGCATAAAACTGTGTTCTTAACTCAATTTAACGATAAATAATGATTTCACATTAATGCCAACCCGACCACACGATCATAACCACTGTCGTTTTAGATAATCATTTTCTGGAAATCTACAATATTTTATTTGGGAGTCTTAAGTTTTGCGATAATAATTTTTACAACCGGCAACTGCACAAAACGTCATTCCACTATTTTGAAAACATTATAAAAACAATAACAATCAAATCAAAACAAATACATACTAAAATGACAGTTACAATCAGGTAATCTTTTTTTTGCATTCCAAGTGACGTCAGAATATGACGGGAACAGCTCAACTATGTATTTTTCCTTCCACCATGACACAAGGCATCTCACTCTAGTCTACATCATATTTAGCTCAAAAGCATAAAACTGTGTTCTTAACTCAATGTAACAAAAATAATAATAATGATAGTATCGTTTTTTTTAAGGAGCTTGGTGGCTTCTTTAACCTTGTATTTGCCCAGTGCATTTGCCGATACAGTAAAAGGGATCTGTACTGATAAACTAGTCGCAGATACAGGATCTGAACCCGCAACATTACTGCCTTAGGTCCGAGGTCCGTGGCGCTACCGACTGAGCCACCGACTCACGATTCACAATTCTCGGATAACAGAATATGTAGATAAAGTTAATGTTAACAGTTAATTATCTAGATGATTAATTCCTTTAGTAAATAAGTACATACACTATCTTACCAAACAGAATTTGACCCTGACGATATTTAATAAGCTTTAAAATGAATAAATAGCATTAGAAGAATTTGATAAGTTTATTTAATTTTTAAAAACTGCCATCAGAATACATACTTTATTAAAAACCTCACTTTTGAAAGTAGATAGAGCCAGCATGATTTCATAACAACCTCATCACATTATTTTTGATTAGAGAAAAGTCTTAAACCCTTAATTACTCAGAGTTAAAGTACCGGTACACACATTTTTATTTTGTAAAAACAAAACGTTCTATCATATTTAGAACATATCTATGTTGCTTAAACAATTTCTTATGTACTAATGTTCCCACAACATTCTTTTCTCTTACCAGTAACATTAATAGCTTCAACTCCAGAAGATACAGTCCCTACCAGAAGCACACCCAACCACAACATTGCTACGAGTGACATTCTCAGCTCTCATTGTTCTAGTAAACAAATTCAGTGAAAGTTTGCATCTAATTCAAATCACACTTCCCATTTCTCAATCAGTTGTTAATTGAGTAATTGAATTTTAATCCTGATTCTACTTTAAGACTGTTGTGTAAAATTGATTACTGTCATGATGGAGTTAAACACTTTTGTGTTAATCTAACGTTATACTCCGTTCACAAAATTTAGGCGGTTTTAGGGGAAGAAATCTATCCCCTCCACTTGAACCTAATTTTAAAAATAAAAGCTCAACAGCTGAGATTTGCCAATATATAAATCAGCTGTGCCATATACCATATATTAAGTAAAAAAAAGTAGTAAGGGAACTGCTCCTAAAACCGGCTAAATTTTGTGAACGGTATATATTAACTTGCGATGGGGTGAGAATGCAGAAGATCAAGAGTATTCTATACAATTTAATCCAATCAGCTGTTTGACAAAATAAATTTAGAAGATTCAAGAGCAAAATAGTGTTTGAGAATCAAGTGAGGTAAAAACGTAGCCATTGTGATTTTAAAACGTTTTTATAAGCTTGCTTTCTTGTCCGGTAGTTTTGCAAGTTTTGCAATCGATATTAAACCAACTTCCCTGATGAGCTATAGAGACTTGAAACTTGAAACATAGCCCACAAATGGATGACAATGCAATATTAAATCATTTTATTTTCAGATTTCCCTTGGGATACGCCCCATGGGCTTCCAAAGTTTCAATGTTTATATTTTGGAAGAATGTAAATACTTCTTATTGTTTTAATAAATACTGATAAACATTTATTTTCCAAAGCCCCAACCTAAAAGTCTTAGTTCCTAAAGCAAAGATTTATTTAGTCTGAGTTATTTGTCCTTTTTACGGCAATTTATTTTACACCTGAAACATAGCAATGAATTGATGAATGAGTTGGGATCAAAATCTGGTTGTGAGTCGAGGTACACAATCTATTTTTTAAATGCAGGTGACTGTCTAAAATATTCAAAGTCCAAACCTAACAGGTTCAAACATGATCGAGTCTATTTTAACAATAGAATATTTTTTTTGTTTCCATACATTGAAAAGCATTAACACAAAATAGAAATTTAAACACTTATTATAATTCTATTTCTAATACACAAAGTCAATCCAATGTCAATCTCATAAGCTTAGTTTTTGGATCGTACACTTGTTAGACTGCCAAATGAAATATTTCCTCTAAACCTACTTAATTTCAATTGGGCGACATATGTACTTTCTTCTGAAATTGTTTGGATAATTCGACTTTCAGTAAGCATTACAAAACAATTGTTAATTTATGTGCATTAATTTTGCTGTTGTATCTCTTTATACCAGCTGAGCTTGAAACTATAACCTTTATTGTATAGTTTCAGTAGAATCTAGATTAATTAATTAATTTAACAACCAAAAAATATTCTAAAATTTTATTATCTTAACTTATTTAATTAAGTTTTGTAGTAAAATAAGTATTTTTAAACAATTTATTGTGTTATTTCCAAAAATAATTTTTGTGTAGTTAAGAGGAAATATTTTTCATCACCCTGTATACAAAAATAGCTTATCTCTGTAATCCGTAAAGCTACCGTTACCGGTAAGCTTACGCTTTACAGAAATCGTTGATTTCCAATCTATCAAAACGTATGATTTTGTCCATCATAATAATATTAGTTTTACTGTCCCAAAAAAAGGAAATTCCCATTAAGCTCAACAGAACATTATTGCAAAAGAAGCAACAATGTATTCAATCTTAAATACCATGTAATATTGTTCAAACAGCTGATAACTTTGAAAGAAAATGTAAAACTACGCTAGGAAAACTTTAGAGAACAAGGCCATGGTATAATGTTTCATTATTTAAAACCAAAAATTTAAGTGTGGTTATTTTTATTGTAATGAAATTTTCATTAACTACTCATCACAAAACTGATCACCAATTTTTCATTTTTGTATAGTTTTTCTAAGGTTTTGTTTTTTGGCAAGTATATTGAAATGGATGAAAAAATCTTGTTTGAAATTAACTAACAATTTGGTATGCATAAAGAATGTTTCTACTAGTGTACTTGAAGAATGTCTGTTTCATCGTGTTATTGTAACACATTGTCTTACATTATCCAAACTTAAAAACCAACGAACATCAGCAAACAATCCAAATCTACATCTTTAGCATAATTTTCCCACACAACAAATTAAGACTAGAAACAACCTGTACACCTATTTCAATCAGATTACAAGACATGTCCTAACCCAACAAGTTCTACTGTCAATGTTTGGCGAACTGTCAGGTATTTCTAAACGTAGCAACTATGATGAGAGTTCCCAGTGAATGGTGCACCTATAAATAACACTTGGCTCCGAACATTGCGGACTGTCCATGTGATGGAGACAGTTGCGGGGACGTTTGCGGTACATTCCACATGTTCGATTAAAACATAAAAGACAAAAGTGTGATAAGACGGTTGTGAACATTTTTGTGTTTGTGTGTTTCTTTTGTGTGAGAAATGAAAGTGGTGGATTTCATCCTACGTTTGTCAGACCCGCGGAAAGTGATCGCTTGTTACACAATATTTCTCGTCGTTCGTGCGATCGAGACAGACGAGACGCAACACGACGATGTTTTACTCCTCTCGGAACTTTGTGCGGACCAAGCCTGCGACTTATCCCTCGGACCTCCGGTGGATGTTTTCACCGACTTTGATTTTTCCGAGGAGGACAAACAGTCTTTGTGGATCAAAGAAAATTTATTCGAAGGTTAATATCGTGTGTATTTGTTTCTACAGATTTTTTAAAATTTTATCTATAAGAAAACATTTAATTTAGGACTTCAAATTAGATCATACCTGTCAGATAACAATCAGTTTATTGCAATAAGATCACAAAACACAATTTTGGAACATTTACACACAGAATGTTTTGAAAATCTATTTCTAGACTAACTAAGCACTTAGCAAAACTCAAGACCATTAGTATTCAAAACCCAAATCATCATAATATATACTCCAAACCAAAAAATATTTATTTCATATAATTTCAAAGCACCAATTATGAACATACCTCTAATTTATAGACCGGTGTCCAAATAAAGGTTTTAATAGATTGTTAGTTAATTTAGCAACTCTAGTGACATGTTTATAACAACACAAACAAGAGTATTTGTAAGGTTCAAAAATTTTGTTATACTTGTTTTAAAATTTAAATTCACTCATAGCTTTATATGATATACAGTACACTAACGATTGGTCTTATTTAAATAATCTCCTTTACTGGTTCCAGTGCAATAGAACGTTAATTTTTTAACCATTTTCTCCAGAGTAGTTATCATATATCAACTTAAATCATATACAGTGTATCCTCGATAACAAGTCACCCTCAATACCAACAGTGATATTCAAATAGGTACCCATAATTTTTATACCACTCTCAATTACATGTTATTGCAAACCTTGATAACAAGTCTACCTTGGTAACAAGTAAAATTTGATATACAAGACTTGTTATTAGTTCTACAGTATTTTTTAAGTCGTAACTGTAAAATGACTGATAATAAAGTTGATTCCAGACATAAATATATCATATTTGGAGCCACTCCATGAGTTGCCCAAGCCCGTAGTTGAAGGAGAGTGGTGGGGGAAAGTTTTCACTCCGATGGCGACTCCGGCGTCCAAATGTGACGAGCAAGTGCAGCAATACCTGCGCGACCTACGGCACTACGAGCTTTGGGCAATGCAGAGTAAGTGAGCAATTCGGTTCGATTCTGAGAAAAGTCAATAACTTTTAGATGGTCTGGAACTGGACCCAAGTGTTAGCTGAGTTTCAGACAGTAGAATTTCAAGTTATATTGGAGTATATCTCACCTTTTCTTCTTTAGATCCTCCAATCTTGAAAAGCACACACCTTTTTATTTATTGGGTGCAATTATTTTTTTCATATTGACAGCAAATTCTGTAACAATAAAGTCAATTATTTTTAATTCAAAGAAGTCTAATGTGTATACTTTAAATATCATTTTAGTGCCGAAACGTATTTTATTTGACAGTGTGGGACGCAACAGCCAAACCAGCCTCCGGTTTGTTGAGTGGAAACAGTAATCAGCTGGGAGACTACGACAGCTGTCTTGCTGTTCAGTTAGAAGCGCTTGGTGCCGTCGCTGGCAAATATTGTCTGGCGCACGTTGATCTTGAGGCGACCAACGACGCAATGCCAGGTGTGAGATCAGCTGTTACCCGACTACAAGCTGGGGCGTTTGTACGCAGCAAACACTCTGACGTAAGTGTGTTGAAGTTTATTTTACTGTTGCAAAACCATATTAAATTACGTGTTATTAAATTTACGGAAAGTAAATAAAAGATACGTCTTATAACACTTAAAACATATATTCACGCTTATACTGTTACTCACAAGATGGTAAATATACAAAAAAGATGGTAAGTGGTGATCGATTTCGATTAGACACTCCAATCCAATCAGTTCATTCGCTTATTGGGTCTGATAATGATTGGAGTGTCCAATCGAAATCGATCACCACTTACCATCTTTTTTGTATATTTACCATCTTGTGAGTAACAGTATAAGCGTAAATATATGTTTTAAGTGTTAAAAGACGTATCTTTTATTTACTTTTCGTAAAACCATATTGTTAAATTAAAATCGAAAGTATAATGATTTTGATATACAGGGTGTCCCGGAACTCTCTACCAATATTTTAGGGCATTGATCCTGGGTAAGAAACGTACCTAAATATCATATTTAAATTGTCCGGAAGTCCTTAGTTACTCACACAGCCACCATTTTGTTTTTTTCAGTTATTAATTCTTTTCTAAAGAATGGTTAAAGATACGAAATGGAAACTTTGCACAAACATTTATGACAACTAGACAAAGCTACAAAAAAATTATGACAATTTTCCAAGTTCATAAAGCAAAATGGCGGCCATTTAAAATTTTCTTTCTTATAACTCAAAACCCATTGATTTTACCAAAAATTTAAATGGCCACCATTTTGTTTTATGAATTTAAATAATCGTGACAATTTTTTGGTAGCTTTGTATAGTTGTCCTTAATGTTTGTGCAAAGTTTCCATTTCGTATAACTAACCATTCTTTAGAAAAAAATTAATAACTGAAAAAAACAAAATGGCGGCTGTGTGAGTAACTATGGACTTCCGGACAGTTTAAATATGATATTTAGGTACGTTTCTTACCCAGGATCAATGCCCTAAAATATTGGTATAGAGTTCCGGGACACCCTGTATAATATTGTGCACACTACCTGTAGGACTACTTAATGTACAATGTTCAATGGACAATGTTCAAGGCATGTTGATTGGTGGGAAGACCTTGGGGTTCAAGGCACTCGACTCCTTCGAGTTTAAGTTCAAGGTGGTCTGGGATTGATTCAAACCAGTATTTGCCCTGGGCAGGTGCAACACAGTGGACTCAGGGATAGAAGGTGGCTGAAAAGCTGGCACAAGGGGCTTTAGCCTCAATCCTTGTAGGACTGCAGCGTTTCTGTGGAATCTCTCAAGGGTATGTCAGTTTAGTTATGTCATGTGCTCAGGAGAAACACGGGACAAGATGGGTTAGGCTTTAGCATCACCGGTTTGGCAAGTTCACTATTTTCACTTGGATGGTATTGGAAATTGGACAGTCGTCGCCAATGTTTGATTATAAGGGAGGCAACTGAGACAGATCGCAGGAATAGTCACAGATCATAGCATCCCGATATTGCTGCAACATTGAGGATCTACAATGGAGACACTGCATGAAGGAAATTTGGGGAGCCCGAGGAGACTGCAGACCATCTACTCTGACTGTACAGTTCTGAATGATAAAAGATAAAGCATTCTTGGAACAATGACAAGGGGCAGACATTTTCTTCAGGAGGAGCTCACAGACAGGATGATGCAGATCATCAAGTCACTTTGGTATGACAGGCTCTGCAGCATCAAAAAGTGGAGTGCTAAAATCCTCTAGCTGATGTGCCCTCAAACTAGGTCCGTAAAAATTCAACCAATGGTTGTACAATGTTTACATGTTTTGTTTTGTTACAGCCAGGTCACTTTGCTCCGAGATGGACTACGCTACACTGGGGCCTCTGTGTACCTGCAGCGTGTGACGACCGTGAGGTGGAGGCTGGTCTAAGGCATTACCTGCAGGGCTACCAACTGCCAGGAGTGTCTGTGGACTCTGTTATCAAGCCTGGCATGTGCTACACCAGCCAGCAGAGCTCAGTGTTGCCACTACACACACTTGTATCATTGTAAGTTTATTATTTGATTAAATCAGCTGGTAACTGTCAAAATATTACAAAAACATCAGCTGTTTGTGTTGTGGATCTTGCTCATCATCAGGCCAGAATTTAAGCTGTAGTGTTTAAAATGTGTTTAATGTCAGTTTATAGTGGTAAGTTGTGACTATCTTCCCACCAGCATTGTATCATCTAGTCTCTATCTGGTAGACCAGAACCTGTGTGTTCCCTTTGTCATGTGCCATAAACTTCTGAAGAACTCCCCCATGATGAATATTTAAACTCCATACTTGAAATTTTGTCTTGGTGATGTTCTCCATCTGGGGCGAACAAATCAATGCAATCAATCAATAAAGTTTGTATAACCAACTTGAATTTAGTTGGTTTAAAATTTGTATTTTATTCTTTTTATTTATTTTATTCAATATTCATATTCATTACCCATACATACCTCTTACACTTGATTTGCTGATTTATGACACATATTATACCTACAGTTTTTTCCAGAGGCTTTTTCGGAGGATTCCTTATGCTTGCTGTTGTCTCAACCATGGTTGACTCGAGTAACAACTATCCAGATCTCAACAAATTAAGTAAGAAACCCTCAATAAATTATGTAATATGTTTAACAAATATAAGATGTTTTATTCCTATTTTGGTACTGTAAATCTAAAGGCAAACAAAAAAAATCAGGGAACTAATTTGAATAAATTTTTGTTATCGTTAGTTGAAACGTGACATTTGACAAAAAATTAATTAGTCATACTTTCATTTTCAAATGTATTTACTCCACTAAACTATCAAGCAGTAGTAAATGACATCTCGCAGGGACGCAAGACCGAGCGTTGCTGGCGTTCTCACTCCGCCGCAACTGGTTGTCGCTAATGTCTCGGCGCACAGACGACTTGCCTGTGATCCACGGTGTGCGCAGCGTGTTCACGGTGCTGTTGTTCGCCGCACACAAGTTAATGCCACTTGCTCTTACTCCGTACTCCAACCGCAGTCTTCTCACTCAGGTAGGTGAGTCCGTCTCACTCAAATTCTATTCTAAACTATGGATAGAATTAGACTAACAATCCATGTTAAAACTGTAGCTATCTTCTCCTTTAACTTTAAATTCAAAACATTCATTTTAGAGAGATTCCTGAACAAATAAATCCTCTATTACTCTTTTACATTTTATTATTATACAAATAAAAACAATAAATATTAGTTATAACAAATTATCAGTACTACTACAATCAATAAATCTTATTAATTACAACCCTACTTCGGCGTAGCTTCCAGATTATTTTATTTTTCATATGTTTAAACTTTGCAGTACTCCCACTCGGTGTTGAGCGCAGTTCTGCGTGCATCGAGTGTTTTCACCGACTCATTCCTACAACTGAGCGCAGTGTTGGCTGCGTACAATCTAGCACTTGAGTTGCAGCGCAGAGGCACCATCTTGTGGCGCCAGCGGATACTGGCACGACTTGTCAGGTGGGAGCATGCTGCATACTGATTTCTTACAAAAATGTTCCTCATATTATATTCAACAGTTTTTTTACAGCTATTATTGTCATTATTAATAATACTAAAATCTAAGATATTATTAGATTACATTTTTATTGCACTCGGTAGGTGTGGTTTCATTAGTCTGAAACCATAGATCGATTTACAGTAGTTGCTATGAGAAAAAAATCATAATTCACCTTTCTTCTTTCTAACTCTTAGAATTATCCATTTTCTAACTATTCCATCTGTAAAAGTTGGAGCTTTTGACACGTTTATAGAATCCTTGTTTTATGTTCATTATTGAAGTTGGTAAGTTGAGGCAATTTATTATTTATAAGTGGTGTTCCCATAGGAGTCAACAAAATGAAGCGGAGTTATCAGGGCATTGTTTTACTTTGTCATTTACCCCCACATCAATCTTAATTTTTTACCTACATTGAGACTATTTGTGTTCGGTAGAGATGATTATTAATGCAGTGATGAAAATACTTTACAGGACCTCTTTAAATACCCGGTGTGCGCAAGATTTTTTAAGTATGTTGGAGACACAAGGGAGAGAAAAACTCCTCTCTGAAACCGCAGGTCTGGTAACCCACCTGAAGACAGGATTATAGTTGACATCCCAATAAGTAAATATTCATTTTATAATCATTTGTTTGTTTTGTTGGCTAGACTGACGCCGGCTCTCGTAGCCGTGGTGGTGTTTTACGCTTACGTCATGGAACACCTCGGGTCCGGCCCTCAGTGGACGTCGTCCATCACCGTCAACGCAGACCTATGTAAAGCCAACCTCTGGAAGAATGTTCTCTACATACAAAACTTCTTCTTGTTTGAGGATATGGTAATAAACAAAATCATTTTATTTTCTTCATTTCAGTTTTTTAAACATTTGTTTGGTTTTAGTAAATGTTCTTGTAAGTTACGATGAACAGTCTGCATATAAAGAGTGTGTAGATAAAGTTGAACAATATGGGAATGAGAACATTAACTAATCCTACTTATAATAATTAGTTATCTATCTGCTCCTGAGATCTGCCAAAAAGAATATTTAGTAAAAAGAATACAGGAATATTCTGTGATATTTAATTTTCCATCCCAGTTTCAAGAACTTGATTTATATTACGTAATTTTGTGCCACCCTAATTTATCTTCTTATCACTGACAATATAGTCCATATTTACACATGCACGGTCACTAGAATTGCAGCCGGGCTGATTGGACGACGTGACGATCGGATTCAAAGCGGGAGGTTTTTCTTCCTTCCTTTCATTTCTTGGACGTTAAATGTGTTGGCATTTTGGTTGTTTTGACCGGGTGGTTTGGACTTTCCTATGATGTATGCTCTATGGTTTACAATCTCTGTAGTGTTACCGTTTTGTCACTTTCCACTTGTTCCATACTTATTTACAAATATACTCTTTTCAGTGTGCGCCTCACACACACCAACTGGCGTTGGACATGCAGCTGTTCCTACTTGCACCACTCGTCGTCTACTGTCTGCACCGATGGACTCTGCCTTCCATCGCGACAGTAGGTGTGCTGCAACTGGGGGTGGCTTGTCTACGATACTTTGTGCATCTCCACTACAACATCTCCGACTTCATCTATCATAATATCTCGTAAGGATTTAATGCTAACAATTTGATCTTGGAATAGGTGAAAATATATTTGGTACTAGAGTGATTCAAATTAACATTGTCTTTTTGGAATGTTCCCATACTGATCTTAGGACATACAATTTGACTGTGGGAAAGGTTATAACATTTTATAGGTTTGAAGAAGATCAAGTAAAAACTATTTGAATTCAATGCTAAGTATATTAGTTTGTGACATTGCAATGCTTGAGTTTTAGCTGAACGTTTAGACAGAAATTTTAAATCTCAGTTTATTAACAGTAGAGTGAAAAATCCTTGGCAAACTTTTAAAACTTCCAGATTTAAAGGAATGTATTTGACTGGATAAATTACCTTTTACATGACAAGTTTCCTGCTTTACAGAGTGACTGACTTGTACCGCAACGCTAACTTGTCCTACAGTCAGTCCATACACAGAGCCATCCCCTACACTGTCGGACTGCTTACGGGGTTCTTCCTTCAGAGAGTGGGCAAACTTCACCTTACTTCTGTAAGTACAAAACTATACTTTTGCAAACAACTTAAAACTGTACATTATCCATGACTTTATCATTCACATTAAGGCTTTAATAGAAAAGACCTGTGCGGAGTGCTACTGAATGTAAGATGTTACTCTTGTTACAGAACCAAGCAGCTGCAGGATGGGTGATGAGTGCGTTGTTGGCCGCAGTCTCGGTGTTTTATCCGTCACATCTCGTAAGAGCCGACGCTGTGTACGATTCACGAGACGGAGCTTGGTACGCAGCCTTGTCACCCTTCACATGGTCCGTCTCCCTGAGTTGGCTCATAGTAGCCTGCAGCCGCGGTTACGGGGGTGAGTAGCCTCTTACATCTCAGCATCCTAAAGAATTAATGGAGCCAGACAATAGATTCTGGCTATGGAGCCATGTCTATAACCCACCAAAATTTTTAATGGTGTGCAAATTTAGCGACCTCTAAACTCCCTCAGCCCTTTACGCCTTACAAAAATTTTGATGTCTAAAGCCTTAGACTACGGAAATCTAATCATAGAAAGAAGTTTGTACTGGACGGGAGAGATTTTCTTTCACAAAGCCTTTGCCTACTATGATGAGCCTAATAGTCTCATAAGGCGGGATACAGCTAAACGAGTAGTGGATAAAGTAAGGAACATGGATTTGGCTCGGATACAACTTGCTTGCTTGGCTTTGACAAGAACGTGTTGGAGAAGGTAATTGACGGATAAACCTTGTAACAGCTCTACATGAAATCAGAATCAGAATACTTTCATAGAGTACAAAATAGGCGTCAAACATTACAGAGATTTAAATATAAAACAGCATAAAGTTGTTGGGCTTTGAAAGACTTTAAGGTCTCAAACACTAGCAAAGTTGATACTGATGTTGGTTTTTTGCTGTGGTTATAGAAAATGTCAACAGGTTTTGTGGTCATGGTAGGCAATAATTTGTCAGGATGGTAGAAAAGCAGTGAATTTCCATCTTGTATAAGAGTATGATTTTGCTTGTTGGGTTTGTTTGTTTGAGGTTTTTGCCAAAGCAATCTCGACACCTAGAAGCATCGGTCCACCCGTCTCTTGAATCATTGTAAATGTTGTGAAAGTCATCATATTTCACTTTCACTCCATCATAAAATCAGAAGCTTTGATTTCAATATTTGTCAACTAAACAAATATCCATCCATAAGTTTTCATATTTAAAACTGTGTTAAAACTTAAAGGACAATTTTGTAGATATTGTTTTCAATATTTTGTTTTATCAGGTTGGCTACACTGGATGCTTTGTCAACACTGGATGGTCGTAGTAAGCAGGTTGTCCTACGCCATTTACCTCACACAGTTCATCATATTTTTCTATTATGTTGGTAGCGTGCGCTCCAGTCAAGAATTCAGCCTATTCTATGTGGTAAGTTGTTAATTTGAGTTTTGTTCGCTAGAGTTCAGGGTTGCTATAGAAAAAGGGGGGGGGATGTAAAGAAGAAAGAAATTATCCAACAAGGAAAGGAGGGATGGGTACAATTATCTTTTTGGGCACGTAACGCTTCACAAGCAAACTGCGGGCCTGCTAGAGCAGTTTTCATAGGAGAAAAAATATCAAAAGGTTGAACATAACTTTCAAATTTACCTTACAAACATTTCTGTTGAAACAAAAAAATATCTTTAATTTGCAAACTATATAGTTCGGCCGCTTAGAAAGCGACCTCCTCCAGCATTGGTTTAGCATTAGCGCGCAGGTCTAAGCGGCCGAACTATAGTTTATAATTGCTTGTCATTTCATACATTACTTTGCAATGTTTCAAATCCCTCATTTATTTCTCAGATTGGGGTGTACGAGGTGGTTGCAGTTTTGTTGATCTCCGTCTTCGTCACCTTGCTGTTTGATCTTCCGATGCAAGAAATCAAGAACATTTTATTACCGAGCCGCAGAGGTGAGAAAAAAAAACAAATTATTGGATGGTTTTCTATATAGTGGTTTAAATTAGGCCTACCTTGTTACTGTCAAAACGATCCTTTGTCACAAAGGATCGTTTTGAAAGTAACAAGGTAATTTAAACCACTATATAGTTAATTCAGACGATCCAGAGGCCATTCCACCATGAAGATGGTTTTCTTTGCATATTCCCTTTGTCAATTTTCCCTAGGTCATAGACTTTACGTATAAAGAGTTTGTCCTGTTTTTCAAGTGTACATGAACTGAACGAGAACACATACTGCGGATTCTTAATAATGTTGAGTACCTAAAGATTTGTGATACATTTTCACATTATTTTTAAAAATCTTGGTAGTTGAATCCAACAATGAATTATAGAATATCAAATAATATTTAACTACGCTATCTTAAATAGATTTTTAATTATAGTATTCTTCAAAAGATATTTTATCAATATTGTAGTGGTTATCTTCAAAGTAGGACAAAAGAGTATTAATCGCTTGTCTGAAAATTTAGTTTAATTCGAATAGTATATTAAGGTGCAGCAAATTCATATTCAACGGAAGACTTAATGTTAGGAATGTTTCTACTTTTAAATATTTAAATATTTTTCATTAAATTTTTGTTACAGGAAGAGCAGGAAGCAGCGATAAAGTTTTATGACCAATGTTCAAAGTCTCTCTTAAACACACATGTATTTAATAATTAAATAATTTGTGATAACTTGTTTGTTTTTACTATTTTTTGTTAAGTTTTCTATCAAGAGTTGTGAGATTAATCAGTACAATTTTTGTGGTATTTTTAGTACTAATAAAAATATTAATAAGTAATTATTTTTAACAGTTATTTTATCTTTCCTGATAATTAATTTAGTAATGTTAAATATTTGTAAACATTGTATAATCATTGCTATTGGTGATTATATGTTTGAATCTAGATACTTACTTCTTGAAGTAAAAAACAATAACAAACAAAAGTAGCTATTTCTAGCACATTTAGACTTCAGACATATATACTTCACTATCTAAAGTGAATAATATTTGTTAAATACAATGCAAAGAATAATATATTTTGTAATTACAAAAGTTAATCAATTACTGTAACCATATAATCTATTATTAAACTTTTAAATCAAAGGAAAAGCAATAATTGAAACTTCAATGAAAATAAATAATTGGATTTTAACACTTTTTATTTCAAAATAATGACAAACCTTGGACGGACTTCACATACAAAACACACAAACAGTCAAACTATACAGTTCTAAAAATTCCTAAAATACTTTTGATATTTTACAGTCTAAAAGTTACGTTGGAATATATACACAAAAACGACGGACTTCAAATTCCACCATATAAATTCACTGAAAAAAGGTCGCTAAAGCAACGACAAACTATGTTCTATCGGCACTAGGAAATCTAAAGCGATAAAAAAATCTGACTAGATGAAAGAGCGAGTTTGCGGCAGACTCGGTCAGAGTTGTGAGTAGCAGGAGAAAGCGAGCTCATCGCTGAAGAGGTTGTCCGGGAGATGAAGCTCCGTGTTGAGGTCCGAGAGGAGAGAACTCGTTGCGTCGCAATGTTCGGTGTCCAAACCCGACTCTGACACTATCTCCTCCTTCGATACAGGGTTGAGGAATTCTGCAACAGAATTTCCAAACATCTGTTAGGAGAAGAGATTATTGACAAATATATGTCTGTAGTCCTAATTTCCATCAAGTGCTGACTATTTTCATTGAAAGCACAACATTGTCTAAGTATGCAACATGTTAAAACATAAAAATAAATATATAAAACACAACGAAAACAAGGATATAATACGAAATAAACAACGATAGCGCTATCATAAACTAATCGGTCCCAGCGGCGGTAGACTCTACCCATCTATCTATTGCCATCGCCAGGACGGATTGATATAGTGCTTTAGTTTCCCTGAAAAAACTTGTCAGCATTCTGTCAATAAAATTTCAACAGAAAAAGGAGCAAAGATTGGCATAAAAGGAGTCCAAGGCATATGGATTGTTATTAGATAGGTAAACTCTGAAATTTACATTCATAATATTTACCCCTTTAATACAACAGATTATTCATTACCTATTAACTGTAACTATTTTTAGTTTTTGTTTCCTCATCTTTTGAAAATAAAAGTTTAAAGTATTTTAAAACATGTTAAACTAATCAAACCTGTTTTATACTTGCTTGTGCAAATGTTCATGAGAATTGTAGTTACAATATTTTAACTGATTATGATTATGTTTGTTTTCTTTAGTATATGAATATAAATATTCTTTGTGTTAAAACAAGAAAGCCAAAACTCCAAATTAAATTAACCAATTAATCCTCATTTTCGTTAACAGGTATCTTAAATACTTGTAATAAAAGAATATGTGGTAATAAAATAAATATTTTTATACTTTATATTTTTATTTAAAATGTAAAACGTTTAGAATAGTTTTCCTGATCATCACTTGGAGATTTTAAAACCTTTCCAAGTGAATAACTTGATTTAATCGTGAAAGTTAAGAAGGCATGAGTAAAATCAAATTAATTGATTGGGAAGACAATCGCCAAACAGAGAACAAACTACTTAACACTCTAGGATTATATTTTATGTTCTATTAACAGTAAGATTACAAAGAAGATAACCTGGAGAATATAGGAGGGAAGACCAGGATGGAGGTAGGACAACAAAGGCGCGGTCAGGGTCAGATTTTATACCTGAAAATAAATTTTACAAATTAAAAACAAATTGTACAATACCAAAACATGTTTCAAAATTAATGGTGGAACAGAACATAAACTTTAGACTTTGCTTGTCACAATTGGGCAGTAAAAGATTGTGTTTTCGTTTAAGCACACAAAATGTCAATACTAGTACTGTGGAATTAAGTGTTTATTGGAATTAATACAAGTTCATTTTATTGACATATCGAAGCTTGCACTACGGTAATCCAATCTCAGCAAAGCAAAAGATGTGTTTCTTGTGTTCATGATAAAAGTTGGAATCATTTATCACTGATTTACCCTAAACCTGGATGTAATTATGACTTTGTTCAGATTATCATAATGTTGATGATACACAATACATTCCATTGTGAGATTTAGGTCAGTTTATCACGCTTTTCCTCCTCGCCATCACAAGCTACAACGCTCACGCTGGAGGAAGACCCTGTGCACTGTGCAATAGGAACTTCTGCACAGTGCTCGCCGCTCAGGCTCTTCCTTCCTCGTCACAAGTATATTGGTACGTCACACCAAACTAGAGCTGAAAGCGCACGGTCGTCCCACAAACAAGTTTCCTGTACTTTACTTCTCTGTGGGTTAGGGTCTGTGATACATTCTCCGCACTCACCGTTTGTGTTGTGGTCGTTGACGAGGTATTGAACCTCCACTCGCCGCTTGACTCCACTCAGTATCTCCTCCGCCACTCGTGTAAGCGGCGTGCCCGTCTCATCAGTCTCTACAGGTTCCATGATGCTCGCCGCAGCAATGGCCGCCTCGTCCATACACTCAACTTCTGGAGGCTTCCGATCAACTTCTTCGGCTTGTGAGTGTCTTTTCTGAAATGTCAAATAAAAGCTGGTCAGATGCAATAGCAAAGGGTAATCAGATAATCTTTTGTAGAAACGTTAGTTTTAAGTTTTAAGATTAGCACTTGATGTTAAAACCCAGCTGTCTTTCATCATCAGTGGCGTATCCAGGGAGGGGGCCCAAGGGGGCCGGGCCCCCCCCGAATTTTTTTTTTTTTTTTTTAGTTACCCTGTACACACAGCACACGGGAGCGTTGCAATGCGCGTTCTAGAAACACTCAAATGGGTGCGTACACACTACACAATACGTGTTGTTATTGTATAAAATGCCGGATTACTGGAATGTTATCAATAAAAACACTTAAAATGCAATTAAAACACGTCTCCGAAGATCGCGCGATCGGAAACCGCTATTGCCGCGATCGGGAGTGACGACGATGACGTTTCCGTAATCGAGGGAAACGATGATAACGTGTACGGCCGCGGGAGATGTTCGTGATTTTGACGCGATCGCGCATGACGACGATGACGTTTCCGTGACCGTGGGAGATGTTTATGATTTTGCCGCGATCGCGCAAGTCGACGATGACGTTTCTGTGACTGCGGGAGTAGACAATGATGTTTACATGGCCGCGGGAAATGATAAAATCTTCGCCGCGACCGTGAAAGACCACGATAATGTCTAGGCCTACATGACCACGGGAGATGTTCATGATTTTCCGCGATCACACAAGACGACGATGGCGTTTCCGTGACCGCGGGAGAGAATGATGATATCTACACGGCCGCGGGAGATAATCAGAATTTTGCCGCGACCACGGAAGACCTCCCGCCAAAAGACGCCGGATTACTGGAGTGCCGGAGTGGTACAGTGCCGATTATATAGGGTCTTCTGTACAATGTTTTATAATTAAAAAAAATGACGACAGCTGGTACATATAGTGTCTACTTCAGTATCCAATAGTCATTGCGTGTACATTACATATTTTTGGTCGAGTTTTCGATCACTGGACGACCATTAGTATGCTTTATTCTATAAGTTGAGTGCAGTTTTATTAGCTTGATTTATTTTATTAAAATTACGTCACGCAGATTAATAGTAGTTTAGGCAACTTGTTTAGATTTCAGAACAGTAAAAAACTAATTTTTAGTAGTAATACACCAATATTATTCTCTACTTTAGAGCCTCCAGAGGTGTTGTAAACTGCAATTTATCACCATAAAATACCAAAATTTTTCCAGGGGGAGGACCCCCGGACCCCCCTTCGGTCCTGGGGGGTATTCCATGCCCCCCCGACCCCCCGGATCGGGCCCCCCCCAAAGCAGAATCCTGGCTACGCCACTGTTCATCATTGGGCTTTTGATAAATGGCCTTGGCTACAGTACTGTTTGAAAAGTTATCATTATCAATTGATGGGACGCCACTTAACCCAAATGAAGGGTGAGTGTAGAATATATTATCATCCCATCCCTTCAACATTCATCCCTCACTCATTCTTGCCTTAACCCAAGATCAGGCAAGGTGGAGATTTACCTATACCCATGAGTCAGAAAATGGAGTGATCTACCTAAGAGTAGCCTACTTAAGGTCAGACATTAGAGGGACCTACCCAAGATTCAGGTGGTGGTGAGACGCCTTCGTTGCTTAGTGTCCACAGATGCCCGGCGCCGTGACGTGACTTAATGCCTTTACGGAAGTGTGGGTTGATGCTGAGGTTGTGACGGACTGAGTTTTTCCATCTGTCATCACTTGGACTGTAGTAAGGGTATTTCGCCCTGGAACATTAACTGGGTATCATTCAGATTTAGTGCTGGTGGTTCTAGGACCTTGTCAAGAACGGCTACCCTGGGGACCCCCAAGAAAGGAAGGAGGTCTGGGGGGTTGTCCCCAATAAAATTTGGTAATTTTAAAGCCGATTTGTGACTTTTTGTAGCCAATTTTTAAGTCTAGACCTGTGTCCAAAACCTTTGTTTTTTGCCGTTAAACCCTGAGTTCTTGTAGGTAAGAAGTCAAATGCCAACACTCCCAATCCATTAATGAAACAGAGGACATTGTGAATGATTAGAAAATGTATTTAAGAAGCCCCTGAAGATTTCACTCGATGTGTAAAATGGATAGGGTGACACAAACATCTTACCATAGACAAAAAGTGTCTATGATCTTACCTACAAGAACACAGGCAACAAAAACAAAGATAAATCTAATATAATTCAAGCTCTTGAAACTGGGAAAGCAAAAAATATTTTTAATCAAACTATGATGATCGCATGCCCGAATTTTAAAACACATTGTAGGCTTTGGCTACATCATCAACCATATTGTTTTAGTTTTGCTGTTCAAACTAGAACTAATACACATTTTCACATGAATTAGGTGTAGTTTTTATTTTAAATTTATTTTTCCAGGGTCCAATAGGGGAGGTTTTGCCCCTTTAGCCATCTATGGAAACCTACTGCATACTGCTCAAGTACAGTACTTCAACCAGGAACATTAACAGAGTTTAAGCCATCGAAATTTGGTTTAGGCATGGAACAAACTACCAAATCAAGTTTGCTGTTTATGAATTCTAAGGGGCAGGCTTGAACAATATTGTATGGGAGCAGGATTGAATTCATGATCTTATTCAGTGAGGCGCTGGTTCACACTTTTTGAATAAATATCCACAGAATACAAGGTAAGTGGTACATAGACTACAGCATTGATTAAATATGATTATTTATGATAATTATAACACAACATTTACAGCTTGGCTACAATTACGTTATGTCAAGTTTATAAATATCAAATATGGAGCATTATAAACATCATTGCTTCTTTGATATAGTGACGTAATATCGGGTAACAATTTTGATTTACAGAACAATAGAAGATCATGTGGATGTGAGTAGAAAGGGGTTTCCACTACCGTAATTTTAAAAAACTGGCAGGGTTTCCATTGTCAAATAGTGTAGAATACTTAAATACTTTATACTTTTAATAGATAGCTTTGTTAGCAAACTACTTCTCACGTAGGCGAGAAAAAACTTCAAGCAAACTACAGACCCATTTCCATCCTACCGACAATATCAAAATATCCTAAAACCCTATCGATCAGCCTATTCAGACCCCTACGTCGCCCTTCTCCACACTTCTGGATAGACAATTGCATAAACACGTGACCGAACGAGACAAAATCGCAATATCCGGTGCGTGGGGACAGGTGAACGGTGCCAAGCGCCGGCTGACACTCCCCAGACCATGGCCGATCATAACATGCGCCACGCTCGTTTGTATTTTATAAAATACCTGTCAAAACACCCCAGTTTGGGCCGCAGTGTAATTGGCTGATGAGACCCGAGGGGAGTGTGGGACTGGTGGGCAAACGAGACGATTTGATTGTTGTAAGAAAGGTTATGTTTTGTTTTGTTGGTACACCACCACATTATCCCCAATCATTGCCTATACGAAAAGTGGTTCCCCTGTTTGCAGATCAAGTTAGATTGTGGGGCACTACTGGGCAAATGTTTTGGTACACCACCATATATTACCACGAATCATTGACTATACGAAAAGTGGCTTCCCCGTCTCTCCCGATCAAATTAAATCGTGAGGCACTACTGGACAAATAATGTGTTTTGATTGTTGTAAGAAAGGTTATGTTTTGTTTTAGGATACCAACAATCACGTTTTGACTGACGAACACTTTCCCGTCTTCGCTGATTGATTTTAAGCACCACGCAAATTCGGTGTTTGATTAGGTAGTTGTTAGTGTAGTCAACGATAGTTGATCAAAACCGAAAGTTTTATAGGCTAACGTAGTCCCGATACAACGTTACGGTTTCCTAGATAAATTATAGGCTACATCAAGTGACATTACATGACCTACGACACAGTCAAAATGAGCCGACAATTTTTATTATGTTTCGTTGTTTCATAGTATGATAGTTATCGGGGCATCAATAATTATGAATGAGTTTCACTTTTAGTTTACGGTGATTACAAATCTTGTGTAAGAAAGAAGGTGGCAATTTACAAGACCATACTCTATGCATAGCGCAATTGATTTAAGCTTTTTTTTGTTTAAAATTGACTACAGCATTAACGTGGACGTGTAGTGCCTAGTTCACGGTTGTTGTGTCTGTAAGAGTTACTACCTCTAGTTTTTGCAGTAGTATGCCTAACTCATGCTACAATAAAGTTTGCCGTTTGTAGTTCACCGGGTGACGTGAGACGCGACGCCTAGAGGTCAGCAGTAATTTCTCAGCGATGCAGTGGATGCAATTCTTCAACACAGTAAAAAATGCGGAAAATGTCGAAGATGTATTTAAAATTCCATATGTAATTTCCAAAGACATTGATTTAGATATTAGCTTGCAAAATAATCACTGAAGCTTTTCAAATGACGGAGTTTAAGACTGGCAAAATTTTACCAGTTAAAGAAATATGCTTAGAAGAAAGAGCGTATAAAGATGGGGTGACCAAAGATAGGACACAAAGAAACCTCACTCTGAACAACAAAGTGTATGGTGATTTCCTAATTTCTAATATTTATAATGCAGTGTGCATCATTGTCTACATTATTCATTGAAAGTACCCAGTTTCGAGAAATTTTCATTAGAAGCAATAATAAAAGCAGTGGGACCTCCGTACCTTACTGGATTTGGTAGGAATGATAGATAACGGATTCGATCTCTTTTTCGACGACCTAAAGTGCGGTGTCCACCTCTTGGACGACCAACAGGCCGTTCTTTCATCATCGCATAGACCCACGTATTGTCTTTCAAAAACCTCGAAGCACTAGCTTTCATACAATGGCTGAAAATGTAAATTTACCGCGCCACTTCAGTAAACGAAACATAAATAAACAATCATCTGTTAGTTGCATTAACCAGCTGTTTGTAATCTAATGAATTAAATCATGTAAACTTTGAAACCATGTAAAGTTGGCCTTCCTTCTGAGGAAATCTGCCTGTAGGACAGAGGCCTTACGGAATTCGATCATACCAATAATTTTCGGCAAATCTACACACTCTAAGCTTTATTTTAACGTACCATATGCTTACATATTTTTTTTGTTTAATAGCCTTAAACGATGACCACAAATGGGACCTCATAGATTTAATAATATAATAGATATATATCTCCTGCGATTGCGGCAAAATCGAAAACTTCTCTCGTTGTATCGGCGAAATCATCAGCTTCCCTACGGTCGCGGTGAAATTTTTGTCTTCTGGTGTCACAGCGAAACCTTGAACTCCTCGTTTGTCCAAACAAAACGATCTTATCATAAACAATAGCTCCTAGTCATATAACCAAACATCCCTTACACACTAAAGTTCAGGTTTCAATTTTTGTTGAAACACCGTGCAGAGAGATGTTCTGATATCGAGTGCTAGGGGTGAGCGTTATTTAACGTATCTGGATAAATAAAACCAGTGCTAAAGTATCACATATAACCTTAGTAATAGGTTATTGATAATACCCTATTATTTTTGTAATGTATTCTGTTCTCTTTGAAGTCGCGCTTGAAATAAATGCTGATAATATCTTTCCTAATAATACGAAATAATAGTATCTTGGTAATAGATTACTAACACCTTAGTACTTTTATAACGTCGCGCCGTCTTAACTATTAGAACGAGCTAGTGAAATAACGGGAATGTGTGTTCTTAACAGAAACCGGATGAAACGTACTGAGGAAGTAACAGTTAACAAAAATAATCGTATGCTTCCACCTATTACCGAAAAGATAAGGAACTTGTTTGAGTATTATTTTAACAGTAGTTCCCATCTCTACAGTAGGACTATGTATTATCTCTGTTTTCTGTGGTATGATGTAAACTGTCTCCTAACCTCTCCTGAAGTTTGGCCAACGACTTTCGACCCGGGTAAGTCCCAGACGGCCAGGAGACAGGTTCCATCATACAGACTATAGTAGTGGAGTTCTTGGAATGATCTGCAGTTTCCTCGGAGGATGTATCGACTCGGAGGTCCGGAGGTCGATAGCGAGCCAGGCACCGAGCGGTACCAACCTCCCCCCTCGCTTCGGCGGTGTTTATAAACAACCCCAGCTTGAGATACCAGATTTATAGGGGTCCTTTAACTGTATCGCGATAAGATTTCGACATAGCAATCTTATATTTTGTGTTGAAAACTGGAGTGATTTGAAACAATCACTTTAAATCACTGAAGAACTTTTTTACAGGACGTTACGTAGACGTTCACTTTGGGTAGATTATGGGTGGATTTTGAAATTAACGTTTTGTAGGTTAAACTAGAATCAAAGATTAAACATGCTCATTTGCTTATCATCATGGATCAGATCTTTTAAGCCTGGTTACGCTTTTAGTGGTCAAAGTCTTCTCTTGTAAGCGTATCCTTGTCAGGCCTACCCAAAAAAATATTCCTGGAGCCACCCCTGTGTTTACTACAGTCTGTAGTATAGATCTTGTCTCCTGACCATCCGTTTACCTGGGACTAGTCCAGGTCTTAAACAATTGGGAAGTCCCCAAGTAGACGGAGAGTCCGGAGACAGGATCCATCATACAGACTATAACTAACTACTGTATTCCTACCTCAATAATATGTAGCCTATACTTGAACATTACTGTTTTGTCTCTCTTTGTCTCTCTTACTGTAGTATGTTGTACTCTTTTTGACTGGAATAGTAAAACTCACCATGTAACTTTTACTCTTAAGTAAGAAAACGTGTGACATCAAAACAACACAAAAACGTTACCGGGCCCAAACTAAAAACAAACTAGAGCTGTGTGACGGTGTTGAACCTGTTAATAAAATTAATCGGTATAACGAGTTTGATGTAAGGTAGATCCGATTTATAAGATTTAAGATTGGAGAAACAAAATTCAAGGATAGAAAGTTGAGTCTTAAAGCTACCAGATTTAAAATCGAAGATTCTTAGATGCATTAAATTGGAGATTAGGGTTTTTATCGATCTTTAACAATAATGTTGTCAAGCTGCTTGTACAACACAGGACTGCATGCGATGTATTGTCTGTCGTCTGTATGATGGAACCTTCTGACCCTCCGTCTACATGGGGACTGAATAATGGTTTAAGCCGTGGACTAGTCCCAGGTAAACGGAAGGTCAGGAGACAGGTTATATCATACAGACTATAGATAGAGTTTACTTACGATATCCAACTGTATATCCCGGAGACTGTCAATTCTCCCTGTTCCTTCAAAGCCTTCTCGATCAGTTCGGTGTACGTGTAAGGAGGTTTTCCGGCCGGTTTCTGGTAGAGGGCGCAGGAACCTGGGCAGAAACATTATACTTTGATTAAATTCGTTATTGCTCCATTCTAAATTTAAGATTATGATACTACTTCAAATGGAAAAGGTAATTTAATGAGCTATAGACTATGGGTTTGATCGTGAAGTACACATTTCCCTCGTGCTGCAACTCTTCCAAAACGTGGTCAGTATTTCCACAAAAGTTAAACAACAAAACAAAAGTTAAACTGTGAAACTTTCCAACTAACTACAAAACTGTAGACCTTCTTTTACAAATTTGGAATAGTTGTTTGTGAATACATAGAACCTCAACTAAAAGACTCTTGATAGAAAATCTTCTTGACAATAATTTCAAGCAGAGTTAGAATCCCATTAGTGTGCTTTTCCGTTTCAACCTTTCATAGGAAAACATGGGAAGTGAGTGTAACAAGTCCAAACATATGTCCATAGACATATGTCAGTATTTGAAAAAAAGTCTAGAATAGCATACCGTCTATAAGGTAATCTCTGCTATTACAGAAACTAGTTTTCGGCTCCTACATAGAACCAAAAGGCGGTACAAGAACGTTTTTTATTTTCATCAAATAAGGAAGATCGCCAAATTCAATGCAAATAAAAATAAACATTTAAAAAATTAGACACACAGGTACACTGTACATTTATGGTAACTGATAAGTTAATAACGACGATAACCCGGCTGAGTTTGGGTCAAGACGTGGTCGGTGCACGTTTTTCGCGTGAAGAAAATAAAAATCCACCTGATGATGGCTCCATGTAGGAGTCGAAACTATTTGCTTCTGAAATCTTATGGATTGTCCCATCTAGTTAAACCTATTTAGATATTACTCGGCAATCCGGGGGCTAACATTCACAATGAACCTATGCCAGATCTTGGGTAATTACAAAGTAAAATACTTCCTACAACTAATATAATGAAAACACGTACATTTGCAAGAGTCATCTTTCTTGGGCGGTGGTTTGTCTTCGGGGGCGTCAAAGAGGGAGGACACTTTGAAGTTGAGCAGCCACGAGAGGTTGGAGTCTTCATCGTCAGCGTCCTGAGGACCCGAGGTATGATACCCCGACTCCAGACTGGCCGGGCTTCCTTGGGACTCCGCCCCAACCTCCTCGTCTCCGAACAGCTGGATGTAGTCGCTGATGGTCTCATAGCTGCAGACGTCCGAGATGTCCACCACCTCCGGGAGGCTGGGGGCGGGAGCGGCCCGCTTGGCCACGGGGGCGGAGTCCCCTGGGTGTTTTCGCTTCAGCAGCGACCTCGGGTGCGACGGGAAGTCCTTCACAGGTCCGATCATTCTTACCCATCCACCGTGGTTCTGGAAAAGAGTTACAAGATTATGATTAAAATGATGTTACGGGATACAATGGAGAGTCAGTTTCGCAAGGCTATAGTTTGTATTATGGTACCTGTCACCTGTCTCTCCGTCTAACTGAGGACTGGACAATGGTTTGAGACCCGAGCCAGTCCCACGTAGACGGAGGATCAAGATACATGTTTCAGCATATAGACTATAGTTTTCTGTTAGTGTTCAAATGGCACTTGTCACCATCTTTGTGGTCATCGTTCGTGGCTTATAGTCATAACAATTTGTAAATATTTCTACGTTCTACCCAGATTAAGTTTAAAGTTTACAGAAACCGATGAATGAACGTTAGGTCAGATCAATTGTTTCAAACTCCCAGAACCGTCCAGACAAACTTGAAACTTTGCACGCCAAGCACCCTGCCACTCGACGAATAAATTATAACGATTTTTCGATATTAACGAGTAGTCCTTAAAATTAATCAATTTTTAGCGAGCCACCCAGAATTCACTCTGTGTTTTTTTTTTGCAGGTTTAGTCGATTAATACTGAATAGTAACGCATTTATAACGCATAAATCAGAACTGCACTGTATTGCTGTAAATCTAAAATTAAACTGTCAAGAGTTCCGTCAACAAATTCACGTGATAGTTGTGCAATTCCAAACGTTTCTCGCGTGTCAAGAGTTGGAAATCAAACTGTCTCTACTCCGCTGGAAAAGTGGAGGTATAGTGGTAGATGGTGGGACTTCGGTTCCCAAGGTCCCGGGTTCAAATCCCACCAATCACCAATGGATTTTCCAAGTGATATAATACCAAGAACTTCTAGGCATGGTGTGAAGTATTGTGTAAAGAAGTACAGTACCGGGGTAGAGAGGAAAGCTATCCTACTTAACTATTTAGTAAGAAAGCACCATAACTGACCTACCACCATAAGCACTATAACTGGGTAGTATATTTTACCCACTTATAAACCCATGACACGAATGGATTCAAAGTGACATAAGAATGTTTAAGTTTAAACTGATTACAAAATGACTACAATTACAAATCAGGATGTGCTTATGTGTAGCCTCTATAGTATGGTGAAACCTGTTTCTTGACCCGTCCACCTGGGACTGGCCCGGGTGGACCCGGTCCGAAGACCTGGTTCCATCATACAGACTATATATGTATCCTAAGTCACATATCTCTCGAAACGCCCGAGTAAAATCTACATTTTAAGATATACTGTAGATATTTTATTTACACATTTAAAAATGAGCGGCCCATTAGAGCCGCCTTGGGGTGAGCCGTGGGAAACATAGGTCGTGTTGCGTGATAATAATGTCCATACGATTAAGCGTTAAACGCCAGTAATCGCTGACACGGGCGTTCGAAGCGTGCGGAGCGTGCACGCTGCACTTACACGGACCACTGGACTACGGACATTGGCAGGTGCGAAGTTCTGAAGCGGTGAACCGTGAAATGTGGTGCGGGTGTAGATAAAGGTTATTGATATTGTACACAAACCCAACCCCCGAACCTATAACACCGTGGAATTGGACTTCGGGGGGAGACGGGCAACGGAAAACACGTTTGTTGTTTCTGTATATCCCAAACATAGTATGAATTTAAGTGGTCAAGAAAATAACCGGTTGTGATATATCAGGGGGTATTTAGTGTATTTTGACAGATTAATTAACTAAAAACAACAAACATGTTCATTAATTAATTGTCCTGGTACTTACTACAACTATCCTTGCGAGAGAGGGAAAAGAGGTATGCTACGTTACGTAATAACTAGAGTTTTCGTGTACATGTTTAATATATTCATTTAGAGTTTCCTTTCAAGAGTTAGGTACAAACCATAGTCTTGTCCAACGTCGATGTTTTTGTATTAACCTCCATTAATTATGTTGATAGAGAATTATATAGATTCAGAATCGGTATAGATAGGAATCAAACCAGCGACCTCTAAATTTGAAGGCAAAAGTGTCATAAAACACTAACCAACCAGAAAAGAGAGCTTGATTACAGCATGGTGAAGGAGATAGAATTTAGAGGCTGTTTGCCTGTTTACCACTGATAGGGGATTGTCGGTGCTTCATTTGATAGTATCACATCGAGAATATTAAGTCAAAACAATAAAGTTGGGTTAAGTAATGAAAATTAAATTAAAGAAATTTTTGATGGACCTTACTTTTTGGCTGCGATCGTTGCCGGACCCAGACCTTTTGTCATTGGGTTAACAAATGATGCTTTCTAACACAAGTTTGACGTTAGATAGAAACAAGACCAGGGTTTGGACCAATCTTCACTAAAACCCGTAAAATCTGACAATATAGTAAATGACACAAAGAATTGAAAGGTTATCATTTCTGTATTTGAGGAAAACTGTTCCGGTACATGAAACGTCTTATAAAAGCCTACTAAGTATACGATATGAATACTTGCACGTCTGTTGTACATGAAATCGTCTGCATACATTTTATTTGCTACAAACTAGGAAAATAATATTGATCAGTGCCTATGGCAACAAATAGTTTGTTTATTTAGTTTGCGTATCCAAGCAATTTCAAGCAAATTGAATAGATCTGTTCATTGGCGAGATCAACACTTCAAAGTCAAAAAGAACGTTTAAGTTTTGTACGAAATTTTAGAGTAATCTTAAAGTATGAAGGGCAAACATACTAAAGAAGGATTTTATGTGAATTGTGTGTGGACTTAAAAACGTTTACTAAAGTTTAAGTTATTAGTTTGTGTTTTACTTAGTGTTGTGTTTGTTAAAATGTGGACAAGTTGACTTACCTTGTTGAGGACGAACCCCGTAACATTTCCTTCAACTTTAGATATTTTCAAACGTTTTGTATACATAACCAAGAATTCTACTTAAAATACTGCGATGTCAGCTGTTTTACTTATTTAAAACAATAATATAGGTTACAATCGAATCAATGTATATTTTGTAGAAAGACAATCAGGAAAATTTTACTCCAACCATATTTTTTACCTACATAATAAGGTAAGGAAAATCTACTTTTGAGGAACCCGTAAACCTTTCGTTGAGAAATTCATGGTTAAAATATAAGTTTTTGATAAATTTCGTTTTAACGGCACGAACCTTAAATGGTTGTTTTTAATCACATCCCATATTGAATATGCGTCTGCTATTGCATTTGTGCTTATTTACATTGTGTGTTTACTTTTTTCATAAACTAACCTCTTGTTTCTTGACCACGAATATTATAACAAAAACTGTATGTATCATAAACATAAACGAATTGTGTCACTGGCCCGAAAGTAAACAAGATGTTATTAATATTTAAATGGAACTGACAAAAACGCTCGAATCAGCTGACGTTCGGACGAAAACATCCGAAAACATTCGGACCAGTGACATCATTTGTTTATGATCCATACCGTTTTTGTTCTAAAATTCATGTTCTTAACCTAAATTGTATACATTTAGGCTATGATACAACTAACTATTATTTCTCATGAAACACAATTCAGTTTAACATCTACTAGTGTACCTGTTGCTCGAATTCGAGCAATTGCGAAGCATTACAGGCAACTCAAAGATTATGGAAATACTCACGATCTACACAATAGTTGGAAATAATCAAAATCTTTTGTAATCTTATCTTTTTTCAAAAAGATGATCTTGTTTTTTTAGTGTTTTCTACAAATTTCCCCCTCTCATAGCCGCATTAGGTTGTCTATGATAACGATTATAAATGAAAAAAAAACATTATTTCTATTTCTTCTACTTGGTTGTGTTCTATGACTTTTTCTATGTTTCAGTTGTTTGCAAATCGGTTATTTCAATGATTGCTCAATAAATGTAGAACAGTGTTGATTCAGTTTTATTTTTAGTCCAAATCAAACTGTGCAGGATTTCTCGCTCTTTTCCATTGTAATAATTAGGCCTACACCAACCCAAGTTTCGTCTACAGATGCAATATGCCAACATCACCTACGTTCTACGTACAATCTCCAAGAAGTGGTAAAAAAGGCAGAAACCAACCCATACAATAGATATAAGTTAACTCCAAAATAAATAATTAAGAGTTACTGTGATATTTTCCACTGATTTGGTAATAGAACATTATATTGCAAAACATGACACGATGCAGAAGAAAATCCATTTTAAACCCCATTGCAAATACTGTACTTCATTTTGACAAATTCAATAAATCACAATTCAAATTAACAGCTGTTTCGTTAAAAAGTAGTGTAGAATTATGCATATGGTCGTAATGTAAACAAATCTGAAGAGGCAACTTTAAAGGCTTCTGGGGCAGAGCCCCAAGGAAATTTACTTCGTTCCTTTTTGATGGCTCATCTACAGACCAAGAGCTTTCTTTAGAGACCCCTACCAAGTTTCTACGCCCAGCCGTTCTCTCAAATTAGCTGTGACAAAAACCCCGTTTTCCTCCATAAGAATAACATGGGATGGGAATTTAAGGGCCACTGGGGCAGAGCCCCAAGGGAATTCACCATGTTTCTCTTTTGATGGCTCATCTACAGACCAAGACCTTTCTTTAGACACCTCTACCGAGTTTCTACGCCCAGCCGTTCTCTCAAATTAGCTGTCACAAAGAAAAACAGTTTCAAATTAATATATAGATAATAAATGGTGGGTGTGTAACTGTTTTAACAGGACATTTAAAGAGCTATATTATTTCATTATGTATCCACACCCCTTTTGAACCCCGTTGCGCGCGTTAAAAACAAAATTATATTATGACCATTCAAATGGTCACACAGATTTTGTGATTTTTTTAATACTGAAACTTTAAATATATTACGAAGTATACCGGTAGAAATTTGATACTATTTTCTTGTAACTGTAAACTTTAACCCTAATTACTATCAATTTGAATAAATTATTTTATAACACTATTTTCGGTAAAAAGCAGAAAGAATATTTCCCTCATTCTTGTTTTTATTGAAGTTGTATTAGTTGTTAATGTGTTATTTAAAGAAGTTATTTTGACTGTTCACGTTATTGGGGGTGTATTTATTGTTTATTTCACAGCTGGGCAACATAACTTGTAGTTGGTAGCAAATTGACGTTCACTTTGTTCGTTTGTAACTACAGAACATATGCTAACCCTAGGCACCGGACCATGGCTTGATCACCTGTTGTCGCCGGGAAAAACTCCCGCGCTCGTACGAACATCTGTTCCGTAATTATCAGCTGTTGTATGAGGCAAACCGTCAAGTAAAGAATTTAAAACAAAACAAGAAATCAGTACGAATTTGTAAAATAAATTGCTCCCACATTGTAAACAATTAAAACACCTTGTTTAACACGGCGAAGTTCTTCGCAGTAGTTAAAGAATTCACTACAACATTCTATAGCTACCGTTGAATCGTATCCAGCTAATTCGAAATTAATAGTAGGGTAAACTAAGTGCAGGTTAATCAGTGAATTTAATGTTTGATCCATTGAACTTTACGCAAAGTCATATTTGTACATTAATTTCTCCACATTTTCCAGACCTCCAGAAAACGAGGTTTGCTATTAAATCAGCTGTTTTATTGTTATTTGTCATCAGCTGTTTATATCGTTTAATTGTTGTCTCCGACGATATGTTTAGCTCAAGCACTGAATTGTCTCCTAAAGTGTTCTGAGATCGGTAAACGTATATTATAATATAGCTTCTTATACATATTAAAGCGAAAGTATTTTGATAAACAAAAGTAGTGGACTAATTTCAAGTTTTTAGGTGGTTATATTTGTAAAACATTAAATAAGAAAAATTACCTAATTGTCCTAACGCAATATATTGGCTGACTCATATTTGTAAATTTATATTAAAATAAATTTAATTAAAAGGTTGCTCGAAAAGAAATTAGAATATGCATATTCAAAACCAAACGGGTACATATATTGTTTTATTTTATTTTGAAAATTTCAAAATTTAGAAACCTTTTGTCATACTAGAGCCAACACAACTAGAAAGTATTTCACTAACTCTTTTTATAGGTTTAGTGACAACAATAATTTAATACGCATAGTATTTAAAACTCTATTGTTAATAAAAATTTCTATTGAATCTATTGAACACCTTATTCAACCAGTCCAACCACTTATTTTACTAACACAGTACTTACAACCTTAGGATTAAAAAATTAACATTACAATCATATTTAATTTTAGGAAGTGGAAAAACAATAAATTGTTTTAAAAAGATTACATTTTAGTACTCTTCTTTTTGGGACATAAAAAATGTCAATTAAAAATAAATAAACAGTTTAGTAAATATAAGAAAATATTAACATTTTGTATGAAAAAAGGCCCTAAAAACTCATGCAACTTCTATACCCAGAGACTTCATAGTACTAGATTTCAATGTTAGATAGTTTATATTTTTAATTTTACAAGATTGATTTTGATAAAAATTATGTTATTCAGGCAATTTAAAGATGCTGTGATGATAGAAAGATAAAATAAAAAAATATTATACACTGAAAACTCTGGACAGGTTTTAAAGAAAATCGTGTAAAAACTCAAAAATACTCATATTCCATCACATTTGTAAACCTACTTTTCTACCAATTTACATAAACACAATGTACATCTTTCCTGAGTATCTCCACTTACCTTTGATGGTTGATAGAAACTCTGGGAGTGAACGGGGAAGCGCGCACAGCGAATACAACTGGCACTGGCGAGTGACGTAGGAGGGGACTGAAGAATGAAGGCTGCATGGTACAGTGTGGTACAGGTGTTAGGGGTGCCTGGGTAGTCCGGCAGGTGGCGAAGGCGGGAATATGTTCCAAACGAAGATAAAGTGACGTAATTTCAGTGTAATTATGGACGAGAAGTATGGCAATGTGTGACTATGTGTTTGCTATTGGTTTTGTTTTGCATTTTTTTAAGAGGACATTCTAAATTCCCACATATTGTTCCTATCTAACTTCGACCTTTCGTTTACGAATGATCCTTCCCATTCATTCTCAGTACACAACATAGAACAGATTTCAAACCTTTAAAAAGTTCATGCAAACCAATTTTGAAATTAATTTCCCTAAGAGTTTAAACAAATTGCGAAGGCTAACTCAAAATAAATCAAATCAACGGTATCAGCAAACTGACACATACTTTCTCCCATTATCTTGTCGATACCCCTTTATAATGTGTAAGCGGTGTTTGAATTAACTTTGGTATTTTATGGGTAAAATCATAAAAATTGCAATGACTTTTGAACTGCAATTTTTACAGCATTGGGGGTGTACAATTTTGTTTCATGTTAAAAGGGCCATACTGTAACATACTAAAATTTTTATCATAATCGTTCAAGCTGTTGTAAAAATCCAATTTTTCTTTTATTTTTCGTTTTTCATAGGAAAATCACTATTGCAACACCTAGCCAGACTTCGTTCTCCTAAACTTTTACCATAGATAAAACATACTCCCTTAGTAGATTTCTCATCCTTATGGAACAGCTGAAGACAATTTTATTGTTAGTTCTGTACGGTTTATGTAGAGGTCGTGTTTCGTTTACAATTTGTTTCCCTTTATTACAGCCATTTAAAACCTCGTTTAACCAAATAATACGATCTAATCATAAACAATAACTTGTCCCCTAGTTATATAACCAAACAGTAAAGCACAAATCAAGAAATTAACGCTAAAATAATAGAAACAAAGTTTCGTTGACACTAGCGCCTTTGTGTCACGTACATGAACTAGACACGAAAAACGTGCTTCAAAATTTACAATGGGATGAGAAGTCTAATGCTTTTACCTTAATCGGTAGCTGCAACAGGTCGTTATCATACTCTTCAGTTTCACAAAGCAACCGGCGCAGGTCAAAGCTCCACTTCTATAATAGCCTGAGTACTAAAGAACTGGAAAACCTCAGAGTGAACTTTGAAAGTACAGACCACATAACAAGGTTTTACCATTGATTATACATCTCCCAAGCAAAAGTCGTCATATGTCTACATATACGTATTGATCTTAGGGTATATATAATCAATCGTTTCATCACGAAGAATCAATAAAAAATAGACAACTTGAATAACAACACGGGTATCATATCAACCAAAATTACGTCAGTGCACCACTTTATTGCAATCTAGTATAAAATCTTCTCGTGAAGATACAATAATAAGTAACAAAATTACTAGATTTGAATAAATAATTGATAGTAATTACTGTATACATTCATTTTTCAAGCCAACTCGATGTCTGACTGTTGCATCTGTTTGTAAATTAAGACAACGGTCAAAATAAAGTAGCCTCAGTTTAATCTATGATGGGCAGTTTATCCTATGGTTAAAGCTACATGAAAACTAGTCATGCCTGCTGATGCGCAAAATGAATAAAACGAATGGAATAATCAAGGGAAGCGATTCTCTGGTTCCGAGTTCCGACTGAGTTGAGTGTAACTGTAACAGGAATTTAAATATCCCATAGTGTCATTGCAGTATATCTTTTTACATTGTCCAGCAATTAACAAATGAAAGGCGAAGGAAAACCTTCTAGACTAAGCTGAGGAAAGAAAATTGGATCACTCGACCCTTCTTGACATGTGTTTTTTTACCTCCAGGGTGGCGAATTTCGTTCAGGTGACCGAGGGCGAGCTCAGCGCCCTAGAACAAGTTTTTTTGTACCCTCATATGTTGTCCTCCAGTTTTTCGTATAGTCCTCGCCACCCTAAGTTGAGGCAGCCCAAGGCCGCACTAGATATACGCCGTGCGGCTTTTGGCTGCCTCATCTTAGGGTGGCGAGGCCTATAGTCCTCGGTGGCCGCGAAATCTGCTCTGGGATGAACCACCCTCATGTCAGAGTCAGCTGGTCATGTGGTTTTGTAATCCCCTTATTTTGCACGCGTTTCAAAAGTGGCAAAAAATTGCAGCCATTCACCATAAAGATATCTTGAATTTTAAAATGTTACCAATAAAAACTATATATTATTAGTTTGATGTATATTTTTAGTTAGATATTAGTTTGGTATAATAATTGCAAATTCCAGAACTCTTCAAGACTGCACTGTTTTACTCAATGGTCTGATTGGAATATACACTATCATCTTAAAGACCTTTATTTTGATGTGCATATTAGGCTGTGCTAACTTTAAAGATTTTCTTCTAACTAGCGGGCCGTCACTAATACGCTACCAGTATTGCAAATTCAAGAAATCTATGATTGGCTGTCATTTTTAACTTGGTTTTCTGGTCTTGCTATCTAACCTCAACATAAACAGATAGCTGATGACAAATGGTATCCAGGTCCAGAATTAATCTTGTTAGGAGTTGAACCAGCATCCTTCATATTTGAAGATGAGCGCTGTAACCTCTCGGCTACCCAGATAATTTTTACAATCACTTAATTTTAAAACACTTTCACAATGTTCTTTGTTTTCTGTGCTATTAATATTGATCCAGCCAATTTAGGTCTGATAACCTGGACTACTTTAGTAAGCTTGACCAGAAGTGTTTTTATATGAGATGGGTCTTGGGTGCTCCCAAGATGTGGACCACTCCAGCTGATTTTACTGAGCCTTTTCTGTAGTCTTCTTTCTTGTCTGAGACCAGAAACCATCTATCTGCTTACTCTTACATAGAAGAAGCATTGACTAAAAGATAGAAGTAATGTACAGAGCAAATTGTTTATGGCACTACTGCTTTCAGTTCTAGTATGTTGTGTGAGCATGAACATTTGCACTGGAGAATATATATACTTATGATGAAGAAGGAAGATCCTGAGCGGCCATCATTGTGCTGAAGCTCCTATCGTCCAGGGCACAGGGCCTTCTTCCATCATGAGCGATGTAGTACATGGAGCCAAAGGGGAAAGGAGTGTGAGGTGGTTTGGAGAAGTGGCGGTGATGGGGCTTTTCCCTAGACACTAGTGATTATAATCCGTTCGAAAAATTTAGGCGGTTTTAGAGGAAGCAATCTAACCTCTCCACTTCATCCTATCTTTAAAAAAATTAGCTCAACAGCTGAGGTTTGCCAAAACTTCAATCAGCTGCAAAATTACACGCAAAAAAGTAGTGGGGGAACTTCCCCTCAAACAGACTATAGTATTAGACACCACTTAAGCGCACCATTGAATGAACCCTCTGTACCTTACTTCTCTGTGTTAAAGTGTAATGAGGCATATAAATCCTGTAAAAACATTTGAAAACACTCATTATGTAAACTGTATCAAGCAACAAAACAATACCTAATAGACCTCACTCTTAATTACAATATGCATTGCTTATTACTTAGAAAGTGTACGTTAAAATGAGGGGAAAAATATTGTCATTAGTTTATTTAGCATCAGTTTACTTGATCGAACAATTAATTTAGAGAACATTAACAATCAGGGTTTTTAAAATCCATATTAGTTTGATTCAAAACCAGCAGCGCTGTGCCTCCATGGGTTTTGATGGCTGCATTTTTGGTCCCTGCAAAAGGATTAAATATAGTTAGTATTTGAAGAAAAAACTCAAAATCTGGTTGCATATATAAGTTATCCCAAATAAACCAACCAATACAACTATGAAGCGAAGCAACTTCTTACCTCCAACCACTAACTTTATCACCGGATTTAAATTTATGCTGCTGGTCATAATTGAGCAGTGTTGCGGATGGATGCCTTCTTGATCAGCATTGCGTTATTCTATTTAATTCTATTTACGGAAAGTAAATAAAAATACCTTTAATAACAATTAAAGCATATAATTTACACTTTTACTGTTAACTCACAACAGTGGATTTTCCAAGGGAGGGGGGCTAAAGCCCTTCCCCCATTAGACCCTGCGAAAATGAATTTAAACGTACATTTCATCCTAAAAACGTAACGGCGGTTTTTGGATACATTCTAGGCGTTAAAAATGGCTTTAGAAAGCCACCAAACCGCTTTAAAAATACAATTTTTTCCCAGGGAAAAACCACTTGACAAGGTCCTAGATCAGCCAAAGACTCACAAGACGGTAAATAACTATAAAAGATGGTAAGTGGTGACTGATTTCGGTTGGGCACTAGAATCATCATCATGAAAGGATTCGCCTACACGCAATGAGAGTTGGTTAAGGAGTGGGTCAACAACAACTACGAAAGGATATAATTTAAAATACAAACCAATGATTGTGCACGGAGCTTGTCTCCTTCAGCGTTGTACGGCTCCGGGAACAATTCCACTGGATTGATCCATACAGCTCCGGACTATAAGCTCCAGGACCGGGGGATTCAGTCTCTGTGGGATTGTCAAATATCATCACATAAAATGTTTATTTTCCATCGTCAGTGATTGGTGAAAAAATATTTACGGCATAGAGAAATACATCTGGTTGTACATATTTCATACCTCAAAGATTGCTACGAATCTAAAATGGATGGACCTTCTTCATTAATATTTATTACCAATACTACTTTAAATTCTCACTTCATTCTACCCTCCCTTTTACTCATTTGGGTTCAAATACACACTTAGGCGGCATTCCCACCTCAATTGGTCATGGTAATAATGCATCTATTTAGCCGTACTTACTTTTCTTGGGGTACCAGCTGCCGTGTTGCAGTTTCGCGCCCAGTTTGCAGGAAGGCACTGAGCTGCGGCCGTGTCTCGTCAGCTCACTCACGTCGTAGCTCTGCGGCCCCGGCATCTTGCGAACAGAGGCATCTGCTGGCCGAACTCCAAAGCTATATGATGGACCAGAAGTTCCCAGTGTTGAAGGAAGCATGTAGTAGCCAGGTCCTGCGGATGGTAAATTTAATTTCTTGTCATATTTAAAATTTATTAAAATCCGGTTATTCAAATTTAGCCAAGCAAACTTTTCAAGAAGATTTAGAAGCATAGGCTCTCCAAGTCTTATAACTCCTATTGAGCTTTAAAGAATCACAAAGGAAGTCTTTCGGGAAAGATTTTTCAGTGGCTTCGTCCAAGCTCCCATATCAATCAATGTTTCGTAAGTTGCCACTAGGTACTGCAATTGCCGGCTGACAGTTACGTGAAGAGACGCTGCTCGACCGTTGTGTCCTGAGAAGCAACCGTAATGGCCGCATCTGAAGGCTCCCATTTTTTTAGTGTTTAAACTGTGGCGAGTAACAGGTGGTCTCATGTGAAAGAAATCTCAGACATCTTTTTTGGGTTAATTTGGACCTATAAGGTCCAAGAAGGTTTTGGACCACTGGGTTTCAATTTTATAAATGAAAATCTGTGTCAAAATATTTTCATTTTTATCTTCATTAAATGTTTATAAATTTAGAATTGAATACTATAAAGTAATAAATTTAAATAAACTTACCATCTCCTTTGCTAGCTCTTGAAATGCTCATGGTTTCACCGAAATAAAATATCCACCAAATTTACGTTGGAATCAAAAATTCAGTTTAAATCAATTAACAATGGTATAATATATTATAGAACTTTTTAAAATTTAATTTGGATTTGGATAGTGTATTTTACCAACCAGTTTTGAATGTGATTTCTTAGCAACCAAAACTAATGATTTCATTGTAAACAATCCTGATAAAACGATAAAAGTAAACATAATAGTTTTCAAAATCATTGGAACTAGTGTAATAACTCGGGATACGTTTCTAACTTGTTTTTAACATTATGCTTGGGTTGTCCATAATAAGGTCTTCATTAAACTCCCGTCACAATCAATACCTATAGTTCGGCCACTTAGAAAGCGACCTCCTCCAGCATTGGTTTAGCATTAGCGCGGAGGTCGTTTTCTAAGCGGCCGAACTATAGGCCATGTTCCTTACTTCATCTATTATTGTTCTATTTTTCTTCCTTCCTCTTAAGTAGAGTGCAGGAAATAGACAAAGGATTCCACCCAAAGAAAAAAGGATTTCACAGCTATTACAATCCATAACCTATTTCCGCACTTTACCCTCACTCATTGCATTAGGACAAAAGCCTTTTATCATCTGATGATGAATGTCGGCATCAGATACGTGTCTCGTGATAAAAACATCATTGACCTTATTTCGCACGCCACAAATGATTCAATAGTTTGAAAACAACTTTTTTACACAAAGCAAAGCATACATGTCAGCTACAGAGCTACAAATTATGGCAAGAGCTACATGTGAGTGGCAAGAAGCCTCGTTGCAGCATACAAAAAAACTACGGTTTTATACTTAAAACAGCCCTAACTTAAAAATCCGCCCTCATAGTATAGAAGAACATTGTGACAGGAGTGTCAATTTTCTTTCACATTTTTTTTAATACTACATTGTTTCATCTTCTTAGGTTGAATGGGAAAGCATACTATGCAGTCTCTTATTTTCTTTTTGTAGTCAAAACCCCTTTGCTATAGATTCATCCTCTTTATTTTGAATAATTTGGGTTTTTTTTTAAATGAAATTCGATAAAAATTTGGATACAACACATGACATTTTTTATAGTATTCCAATCCTGAAGATACAAGATTTCATCCAAGTTAATCAGGTTTCTATCGATTTGACGTACTTAAGTACGAAATCAATTTTCTGTTTAAAGATTATTTCGAGTAGGCTATACAATTTTAAACCGCAAACAATCTTAAATTACATGGGTAAAAGAATTTGAGCGATCACGGTAGAAAGGTAAGCGTATATTGTATATCTTTTTACAGCTAGTATTTACATGACTTAGAATTAATTGTTAAGTAACAAAAACTAGTCGTTTGACTGGAAGAATACAATTTCATCTGCGATGATGGACGTAGACTGTCTTGTAGTTCCATCTTCATCCTTGATTTCTCCGTAGGAAAGTTTGCCAGTGATGTAGATGCGCTGACCTTTCCGCAAGTAGGTGTACACTGTGTCTCGTAGCGAAGGTTTGAATACGGAGATCCGATGCCAATCAGTTTTCACCATGAGTTCCCCTGTAATTATAACAGATAGATAGGCCTACTTTGATTTTTTTTAAGCAGAAAATGTTTTTAAACTATACAAATTTTATACCTGGTTGCCAAATTTATCATCTGAATTAGCGATCAACACACGTCTTTGTCAAGCCCTAAGTCATAAAGTTGATGATCCTAAGATGTCGTCAGAAAGTCTTTAAATCACACAAACGAACAATAAACACAGAAAAATATTTATATATATATATATACTACATGGCCATGAAATTAATCATCTAGGAACGGCTGTGGGTTCATGATGTAAGTCTAGACTACCCACACCCCCGACCCATAATTAGTTGCAGTATTTCTTCAAAAGAATGTACGTATTAGTTTTTTTTTCATTTGTATGTTTGAAAGACTTCTTGACGACCTCCTAGGAGCGACAACTTCACATTTGACACTGTAGCCCTCCGAGTGTTATTTGTCGCTGCAGCGACTCACAAACACTGTTTACGGCGAAGGCTCTATGACTGACAAAATCGGATTGAACTGGATCGAGTTAGGTATCGTTTTATTTTACAGATTCAGAGCTTTCTCCGGAGGTCTGTCTCTAAGCGCTATTCATTTTAGTTCCAAAAATATTGTAGCAGACAGCTGACGTGCGTATTTGTAAACAGCTTGGTTATCCTCGGACCGATGACTGATGTGTTTTATTACGTTTATCATTGTTTTAGTGTTAAAAATCAAAAGTAGTGATATACGTGGTGCATTATAAGAAGATTTAAGTGATTTTGAAGGGCTGGTTGATGATCCTAAAGAAGTAGGTAGTGATATTGATGTAAATTATCAGCCAGATTCCTAGCTATGGTTAGGCTATGCATTCTTAGCTAAACGCTATGTACTGAAATCTGTTTTTTGCACATAACTTATTTATTTGCAAATCTACTTCCTTATATTATTATATATTTGTAATCCTCATAAAATTTAGAACAAAGTGGCTATTTTCAAATATTTGTAGGCCTATAATTTATACAATTTCATTGAGCGTTAACTTATTTTTTTTTGAAAATTTTTCCAAATATTTTTTTTTTACCTAAAAAGGTTTTTTGAAACAAATGTTCCTTATGTTCTATGTATAATATTGAAGCCCATGATTTTCCAAACAAAATGGTATATAGAACAGTATAATTAACATTGTTTTCAAGCTTCTCAGATCCGTTTTAATAAAACCTTGCAAATGAGCAAAAAATAGGCAGACATTAAGGCCAAAACAAGGGACACTCGGAGGGTTAGGTGAGTCTAAGCATAGACAAAAAAGTGAAATATAGACTGTCAGCTGTGCTGCGGTTACCATAGGTTCTGGTGAACACCACTGGGAGCGCCGTGTTTACGTAGCACGTACACCGTAACTACACGGCGCTCCCAGTGGTGTGCACCAGAACCTATGGTAACCACAGCACAGCTGACGGTCTATATTCAATTCTTTTTGTCTATGGTCTAAGCTGGTCTCCATTCAGACAATGAAGGCAAGCTAAAATTCTACTACAATTATCACCAGATCAATAATATGGTTATCTTCAAAAGATTAAGAGGTCTACTTTGATTGTGGAGCTTTTTAAACTCAAAAGCTCTTTGGACTTAAAAAAGTCTGAAAATATAATTGTATTACTAACCAGACGACTCGTATCTGGAGTTGGTGGCGAGAGTGAAGATAACGACCGGGTGTTTGTCATTCCCTCTCTTCTGTGGCTCGGTTCCCACACGACCCAACAACGTCACCTGGTTAACACCTGTTGATATAAAAGAAAATCAGCTGAGCGATCAATAGCACTTCAAAAAGCAGACTGGGTTGTACATTTTTTGGCTAAATTTATCATGCCATGTCCACTCCTAAATCTAGTATGATCAGAAATTGCCCATGTAGTTATGAAAATATTTTCTTGCTGAGAAAATGTTGGGTGCTTTCTGACAAGAACGGAATGGAATTTGTATTTTTGGAGTTTGATACGTGACCTATTTGAGTCGGTCAGAGTGTTGTCATTAAACTAGTAGCATACTTAACTACAGTACGGTCCACGAGAGTCTGCAGTTCAGGGAGGAGCCTATTTACCAAAAGCCTTCGAAGGAGCCAATGAGGACCGCACGCTGTTGCCAAATCTAATAATATCAGCTGATTTGAAAATGTAGTTTAGTATATTTTAATTAGTGTCAAAAATTAGTGAACAGGCGATGTTGCAACGTCCCGCTAGTCCAGTCTTGCTATTGGCTGCCGCCAACTGCAGAATCTCGTGGCCCCTAGTGTAGAAGTTTATCTCTTTTAATAAAATTTGTAAATTAATCTTAAAGAAATTATGAATGTGACTGGTAGTCTTGGGTAATCCCTAATATGGGTCCAAAATAAGAGGAAATTCTTTCCCAATTCCAATGTGATCTTTTGAAAGTGAAATCTCCCGCAGGGTACCATCTCAAATTAGACAGAAAGCATCTCGCAAAGGTACTCTAGAAGTCTTATGCATGTAGCTTCAATGGGTAACACACCGAACGCTTTTTTTCTATGCCAGTGGCATTTTACAAGAGTGGTCAAGAGAGACTAATGTTTCACAGAGGGGAAAACATAGGCTACTACAATTTTTTGGGGCTGAATCAAAACAGATTGGTGAGTTTTGAATCTGTTGTATCTGGCACATGTGATACTGTTGCTGTGATACTGTTGCTTGGCCTAAAATACCTACTTTGTATGGTCGCCATTTCTATTGAAAAGTATCCTGTAATCCAGCTACTTGGAGGTCACGAATTGTGGATATTTATAGGCATGCACTGTGGTTTCGATACTCCCTGGTGTTGATTAACGTCCGCACGAGTGAGTACCACGACTATCCGCAGTACTATCCTGATAATTAGACCAATTCGTATAAACCAAGGCAAAATGTGGTTTGAATTTCACTATAAACTGTAGGTCCCTTAGTTGCCATTTAGCTGTATGGGCTATTAATTAACAGCTGTGTCTAAGGAATGTCGGCCTTAGTCACTAACAAGAATACAAGATCGCACCACTCATCCTACACTCATCTCCATTCATACTTGGCTTAAAATACCTACTTTGTATGGTCCCCATTTAATTGAACAGTATAACAGTATTAAAAGTACAGTAATAAAATAGGTAATGACAGTATCAGTGACTGCATAAGTTGAAACTGTGCAGCTTCAGCCAGTATTCCTCTGAACCTGTACAGGCCTTGAGGCCTTTCAGTTTCGGCTCAACTTGAGAGGAATGCGTGACATACTCTGAATTTATCAAATTTATGTCAATAATGACGCAACAATTCTTGGCTGCGTTACAAACCAATAGACTTCTACCACTCAAGCCATTATTTCTAATAGCCCGCAGGCCTACTAGGTTCACAGGTGCTTGAACCTGAGCCCATTGATGTGAGAACATTTTTCCAGGTCAGTGTTCATCTTGTCGATGGCCTCACTCATGGAACCAGGCTCATAAGACAAGTGCAACTGGGAATCATCCGCATACAAGTGTGCAGTACAATGTTTTACACAGCTGGGAAATTCAACTGTGTAAAGCACAGACCCCAAAATGGGGAACATCTTTTACGAGGGTTCAGATGTCTCACTTCCCAATCTGGTAACCTGCAGTCGGTCGATAAGGTAAGAACGAATACAGGCAGTGAATCTATCACTAAATACATAGTAACATATCATTTAAAGCAGAACTTACATTTTTCATAACTTCTCATAGGTTGAGAATGACTGCCTGAACTAACATCTGATGCCTTGCGTTGTACTGTGAGCGCCAACGGTTGATACTTCAAGTCTAATCTTGGTACAAGAAGTTTTCCAAGCTAATACAGTTACCTAAGTTAATATTGATTTAACAATAGGTAGTGACTTATGCTAGAGGTTAAGTTAGGTGTTGTTTGTAAAGGTAGCTTAATAAATGCACCCCAAAATTCAGTTGTTTTTTTTTTTGTCCTAGGACGCTAGGCACAAGCCCAGGATTGTTTTTCACATTAGTTCAGGCTAGAGCTAGGGGTTGCCCCATTATCACTTAATTTAGATAAAATCCATTGGTGATTTGGCGGGATTTAAACCCAGGATCTCAGGGACCGAAGCCCTGCGCTCTAACCAATACGCCTACATTCAGATTAGGCCTAGCCTAAGCTATGTCCTACGTACCAGAACAAGACTAATAAACTCATTCCTACTTAAGTTTAGGGCTGCACTTTACTTTAGGTCCTACACTCATTCAAATGAAAATATTGATTGGTTAGTTAGGTAAGGTTAACCTTACATAACTAACCAAACGATATATTGAATGAAACAATTGAATAATCGATATTTTCATTCGGTTTTTTGTGTAGGACCTTAAGTAAAGTGCAGCCAGGGAGATTGGTTTAAGTCAAGAAATAGGCTTAGTCTAACCTAGCCAAAACCCAAACTTTCTAGCCTAAGTTAACTTATGATTAAGTTATTGTACTTAAAACAATTGAGTCTGATATAAATGTTTCTTCTAAGTGAATAAAACAAATTTGTGTGAACAATTTACACTGTGATTTGTGTAAACCTTTAATAAAGGCATCAAACTTTATAATAATATAGATAACCTCATTGCGTATAATTATAACCTCTCCAAGGCAATTACACCAAGGGTTTTGTTTGACATTTCTACAATAACATACCTGTCTGAGCATTTTTAAATGTCTATGAGTGCGAATTAATGTTGTTTAGTCAGTTATAATATTATATAGACCGCAATCAATACAGTTAGTTATCAAAAAGTAACCAAATAACCAAAACAAAACGCCGCGGTGCCGGGTGCCGGTTCGGTTATCGAATCGCGGACGCGATAATCATCTTTCGTTTCATCTTTGTTTTTGTCGGTATTTACTCAGGGGAGGTATAGAAGAGGCTACGATGACAGCTGAGATCTTCTTATTAGCTGAGGGAACGCCATTACCGTAACAAAACGTTCAACATCCATCGGCCTCGGTGGTCTATTGGTTAGCGTGCCGGGCTGATATACTGTAGCCCCGGGTTCGAAATCCCGCTGGTAGCGTTAACTTTTTGTCCAAGATTTTTTTATTATCAGCAAGTTTGGTTGGTTTGGTTTGGTTATTACAGTTTAATTTTATTATTAAGTCATTATAAAATTTTAATTGAGCAATTTCTAGTTTTATTTAATAAACAGAATTATTTTTCCGATTACTAAACTTTTGTTATATTATTTCTTTATCAGCAAGTTTGGTTAGTTCGGTTAGGTTATGATAGTTTAATTTTATAATTAAAAAATAGTAAAATTGAATTTGAGGCATTTATAATTTTATTTTATGAACAGAACTATTTTTGCGATTAGTAAACCTTCATTGCCAAAGTGCTCTCTACTACAGCGCTGTTCGCGGAGGAATTTTGAACTAAATGCCTCATTTGTACCTCCCCTAAGTCAGACCCGTTTTTGTCCCTTCCTTTTCTTCTTCTTTTCTAGTTTGTTAAAAAAATCCTGGCTTGGTTTATTTACCATGTACCCACACTGTTTCGTGTTAAAACACGACTGTTCAATACATTTTCCCCGGGCATTTTCGAAATAATGCTATTTAGGAAAAATGATTTTTGTTTTCCTAATAAATTGAGTTTACCGAGGTTCATGATTTAAGTTGGTGTGGTTAGATTCAGCTTGAATGTCTTGTTTAGTTATTTAAAGTTTAAGTTTCATATTATCTCAAAGTTGGATTCCTGTTTCTTAAAAAAAAAAAAAAAAAAATAGTAATGGTGGCCAGAACTTGCTATTTTTTCCAATTAGGAGCGTTTGGACAGATAGTGGTGTTTTCCAATTAGCTTTCTTTATTTTTTCTACAGGCATTGTCTTATCCTATTATAGGCTGGGCACTCCCCTTGAATGCATTTTTTCACCTCACTTCATCGTTAAACCTTGACTATACAAACATTAGTTTAGTTTAGTGCTTAATCTACACATTAGTGTTTATACAGGGTGAATAATAAGTCAAGACCCCCATCTAAAATTTGTTTAAGTAATTACTCAGTGATATCCTTTTGGTGGTCATGCAATCTTAGCAGGAAGTTTCATTTTATGATTTGGAAATTTTGATTGTTCCCCAAAAATAGGGGATTTTGAGGGTAACTCAATTTTTAAATAAAAATCCCCTTCAAGTGACGCCTCATTTTGAAGTGTTTACAAAAACTTAAAGAAAAGTGAAAACTAGAGGTTGTTATTTCTTCTCTATCCAAAATGATAACCCGTCAAACATTTTACGACTTCTAATCTTACATTAATATTCTTGGGTAAAAAAGTAATTTTATCTCCGTTATAAAATGCTCCTGAGTAAATAAATCCGAGTTATCCTTTGGTTGGCCATGCAGCCTTGGCAGGAAGTTTCATTTTACGATGTTAAACATTTTAAGTGTACCCCAACAAAGGGGGGATATTGGGGGCAGCTTAAACTTTTTAAACGTAAACCTTCTTCAAGTGACACCTCATTTTTAAGTGTTCAAAAAAACTTAAAGAATGGTGAAAACCAGAGTTTGCCATCTCTTCTCTATCCAAAATGGTAGCCAATATTACCATTATCTTTTTAATGCGTAGACTTTAATACTTTTGATGGGCTACCATTTTGGATAGAGAAGAAATATAGAGAAAGATATTCCCAGCCTATCCATTAAAGTTTCAGAGGTTTGGATCGCTTACTGATGTGCTACTAACTATCTGATGGCTAAAAACTATCCATAAACAAGCTACGCCTAACTAAAACAGTTTTCTTTTTCTGCACAGATCATGGGAATTTCAAAATAAATGTATACAGTTCACTATACTTTAAAGTAACTGTTTGTACCATAAAGACTAGTCTTCTCTCAGAACTGTGTATTGCACTTATTCGGAATGGGAATATGACCATTAATTAACAACTGAATATTTACAATGCTTACTAGCAGATAATTTGGCCCAAGCATGCGCACAAGTCCTTGGAAAGTGGTAAGCATGGAAAGTGGATCAACTCAAAATATAAAACATCAGAAAATGTTCATTACCATTTTTTATTAATTTACACATCTATTACAATTATTTTCAACAGTACTACTCATTTGGCTTTTACAAAACAACATGGTGAATAATTTTATATCAGGATTCTTATAATAAGGATAATTTTACTCTGAAGGCTGAATACGATTACAGCTCACAAAAATATCAAGGTATTAGAAATATATAAATCTAACATACAGGTTTTAGCAAGAATTACATTCATTCTGCCCAAAAGGAGGGCAAATAGAAATAAGGTGGAATTGTTAAAGTAGCCTAAGAGGATTATTTCAGGTATATTTTAATGTTTCACAATACACTAAAGGAGTTTAACAAATTATAATACTAGGAAAAAACCCAACCCAATACCATACAGTATTATTACTGTGATTACAATTTCAATACAAAATGCATAGCTGTGATGTGAATCTTACAAATTAAACATTGAAACCTTAGCCTGAGACTAGACCATATTGAACAAACTGTGTTAACAACATTTGTAATCTTATACAAGTTAATATTAATAATAATAATACAATATAATATCACTTCATGGTGTAATTTACAAATCAGCAACAAGAATAGGTGAGTCGCAAACTAAACAATGGTTAACTGCGATAAGGAAGGAGGAAATACACTTCGAGATAACGATAACACATCAGCATCACATGCCCTCTGTGCAAATCTTGTTTCCCGGCACAGGGGTTTTTGTAATGTTTATTTATTGAGTTTGTCTTTTTGTTTGTGATGTAAATAAATGTGTGACATCGATTGAAGACTTCCTCTGGAACAAAGTTTAATGTCCTTGACAGTGTGATGAAGTTCCCAATAATAATAATATAATTAAAAATACATACACTAGACTTCCAAAGTTGAATTACTAATTATGGTACATTAAAGGCAGTGGGGTTTGTCATCTACGCCTAGTCAGTTAGTTTGGAAAAACACCTTGTCCATTAAAGACCACTTTTGATGAAATACTTGTTTCTTTTCATAGTGCATTCAAAACGAAGTTACATGTTTTTGCTGTTTAAAATATACAGTGGGGTAATCGAAATCGGGTTAACCGAAACCCAGATTAACCGAAATTGTTCCATAAATTAACAAAGGTCTAAAATATAAGTACAATAAGTAATATGTAAACAGAGAGGCTCTTTCCTCCCTCGAAAGAGGCTTTTCCAACCCATTGAAACATTTTTGTAACTGAAATAAAACACTGTATAATATAGACATTGTTTTAAATCCATTTGTCCTACACACTGTGGTAATACATAGGCTATTTTTAGCATTTGATGGGTTAACTGAAAAATTGGTTATCTGAAACGTCTCTCCCCCATTTATTTCGGTTAACCGGGGTTCTACTGTAGGGTTCAATTTAGTACAACATTGTAAATAAATTTGTGATAAGAAAAATTAGTTTTGAATTTTTTGATAAATAAACAATTTAGGTAGTTCAGTTTCCAATTGTGTTTAAATAAATTTTGTACTTCCTCAATAACCACATAATGATTTAGGCTATAGATCGCAATATCACTTAGGTTTAATGAATTACTTAGTATAGACACCAACAAATTTAGCACCTTAACAGGATAGACAAAAACTGCAACCCTTTGGGAATCTCTGGAATAGCACAGTCTACCGACTTTATAAAGAAAAAACAATTTAGAGATACGCCTACTAGCGCATCTAGATCTTTAGGAAAGAGAAAAGACTATGACACCGCTGAGCTTCAACCATTTATGGAAGGGACTACCCAGTGGGTAGAGCAGTCAATAGCAGCGGACTTGGTGAGTGTTTTACTACTAAAGATTTTGGCACAATCACTTTATAATTCCTAGACTAAGTTTAACTAGAGCCATTTAATGAGGTTTTCTCAATTTTTTTTCTGGGAGCACTATAATTAAGTACCTTAAGAAAATTTCAGACCAATGAATTGTTACGAATAAGTTATTTGACTTACTAGAACATCTTTCCATAGTTTCTGGTCCTGGGGGCATTAAACCTTCCAGTACCCCTTCCCCATGTTTTTTGTTCAGGAATTTTAGACTTTTCCATTAGTCTTTTTACTTTAAGGCCATTCCAAAAAATCTTTCTGGAATCACCGGTAAAGTCCTTACTTCGAAGAGTATAGACATTGCAGTCATAGAGATCATCATCATCGATTGTAAAATCATCTTCCAAATCCAACTTATCAAAAAATAGACAGTCTTTAATAGAATATTTGATGTAATCTTGTGAGCAGTATTTGTTGGCATTATTTGAAATTATCTCGTCATGAATAATTTTCCACATTTGTTGATTGAGCTGAAGGTGTTGACGTAATAAAGCAGAGATCCTTTCCAATAATGGAGACATATTCTCTTCATGGATGGCACAAGGAGCACCTAAAAGCCTCACAGCATTCCTGTGTTCATTTCTCACCCAGTGTCTTACTTTCATGTGGTAGATATCAGTTAAAACTCTTTCATGGACTCCAAAACCATGAAAACAACAGTAATCTCTTAATTTTTCCAACAACATGCTCAAATACTCAAATGCATCTTCTCCTGGTAACTTCAGAAGAAACTCAACAACTCTTAACACTATTTCAGGAATACATTCAAACACACATTTCAGAAATTCTGTACTATTCTTAGTAGCTGTATAAAATATTTCCCTATACTCTTCAACTTGCTTTTGAATCCACTCTTGCTTCTTCGTCAATGGAATATCTCTGTTTTCCAATACTTTTTCTACACGCTGAGAGTAATTGAACTTCTTTGGAAGTTCCTCAAGGAAAGCTGTTATCAGAACATGCACAAACTTAATACGATTTCCACTGTCTGTAGTCGCAGTCAAATATGCAAAAGCTTTGCAAAAATCCACATACTCCTCTAAATAGTATCCAGCTGTTGGGATGAAAATGTTCCTACAAATAGTTTTTGCTAGTTCGTTTAACCTATCAGCAGAAATTCTTGGTGGGATGAATGCTAACCTTTGTAACGTAAATATTCCTGGTATTGCAAATGGTTTCTGGAGATATGTGTTTATTTTACCAAACAGTCTTTCTTCTTCTTCATCAGTTAAGGAAGCTGATTTAGTTTCTTCTTCAATTACACTTTTCTGAATTTTATAAAAGTAAATGTCTAAATTTTCCTCATTTCTACGTCTAATACTATTTTTGTTCCGTCCATAATAACCTCTATATTCAAATTCATCAAACGGATCACTGTCAGAATCATCAAATTCTAGTTCACGGTAGAACATTTTGATCAGTTCAGGTCTAACTGCATCTGTAGCATCTGTAACAAAAAAAATTACATTAAAAGTAAGAATCAAATGAGATTCTGTAGGTAACCTAATGTTACAAATAAGGGGTTTTTTACTTTAATTTTTCTTTAGAGCAAATATATTATTAAAATAGTTTTTTTTTTGCAACAAAAAATATGAAAATGTCCGCTATGATTCTAATACCCAACCTAAAACTTACCATAATCAAAAATGAATTTTATAAAAAACTTGGTGGCTCTTCGAAGTTATTGAAAAAAAATCTATAACAATAAATTTGACCAGTGAAAGTTGTAGGCTATAATAATTAAGTAGGTACTGCTTAGAGAAAATCAGAATAATATTTTTTCCAAAATCGCTCTGTTAACCAGATATCCGCCATTTTGTATTTTTTACATAAACATTTTTATCTTCTAATATTTTCAACCGATCTTTATGAAACTTTCAACAAAAAATTACAAAATGTCAGAAACACTTTTATTTAGCATTTTTAATCAACTATCAAACGATACCAAGTTCAAAAAGATTGAATAAGAAATAGCTGAAATATTACAATTTTTAGTTGTAAAATGGGGTAGAATAAGGCAGAAGCTAGCCAGGTTTGCCCCATTTTACAACAAAAAATTTTAATATTTCAGCTATTTCTTATTAAATTTTTTTAAACTTGGTACTGTTTGATAGGTAATTAAAATTCTAAATAAAACTTTGACTTTTTTCATAAAATCAGCTATTTTTGAGTAATTTCAGTTTAACATTTCTAAATTACCACCATTTTAAAAGGTTGAATGAAGATGAATTTGTTTTCTAACATGGGTCTCTTCTACATTAATATAAATACCAAGTTTCATAAAGATTGGTTGAAAGTATTAGAAGATAAATATGTTTGTATAAAAAATAAAAAATGGCGGATATCTGGTTAACGAAGCGATTATGGAAAAAAATGTTATTCTTGATTTTCCCTTTATTTTGACCCAAGGAATCACTAGGTAAAATATGTCCCCACCTTTTTTGAACACCCTGTATAACCAGTAATAGAATATTAATGATTTTATATCATTCTGTCATTGATCATCAAACTAATTAGATTTATGGTTTGTTTGAGAGGTAACTCATATCATCATTTGAGAGTTCATAATATCAGTATTCACTTTTGAATCTTTTGGTAAATTTTCATGAGTGAATCCCGGCATCATCTCAATATTGCTTACAATAACATAAAAATGCAATACATCTTTTTGGATTTAGGAAAAAACTTTAGAGGGATATGCATGCAGCATGAATTACGAATGATGTGAATGACATGATCCGATACGTCCATGTCACTGGCCCGGTCATGCCGGAATTAGTACATAATAATTATGCTAATATTTAGTACCTATTTCGTACTATTTAGTACCAACAAACAAAAAATTAGTACCCCACTCGGTACCGGATAACTAATTAATCTAGGATTCCGGGCCAGTGACATGCTAGCCCGGCCATTTTCGAATTTGATCCTAATATGTATACCATCATTTAGTACCTATTTTGTACTATTTTGTACCTCCGTTAATATAATTTGTACCTCAAAGAAAACCAAGCTACGGGCCCGTTAACTGTACAGGTCAATGAACCCTCAGCCCGGCCATGTCGTAACCTGTAGTTATAAGCTATGCTACTATTTAGTACCTTGTTCGTACTTGATTCCTCGTCGGATACCTTGATCCGATTTACCTACAGGCCAAATTTACTTTCTGGTTTGAACATTTAATAGCTTTAATTGATCATAATTCTTATTTGATTATTTACAATAGCTTAGAACCTTTGACAACTAAGTTAAATGGTTAATGTAATGGCTACTAAACTGGTAAATTTTGCGAGTTGAATGAATGAGATTACGAAGACAGTTTAGTTAGGTAGGATTAGGTTACTGACTAAAATCATGTTTGCACAGGAGTTTGGGAAAAGTTTAAGACATTTGTTGAAATCAACTGAGCGTTGTCAGCCAAATTTTAAAACATTTTCATATAAGCTTCGGTGTACACATTTTTCACCACAGTAGGATGTTTTTCAGCCGTTTTAGGCTACAAGGGTTAATTGGGGGCTGAAAGCTAAGCATTACTTTCCAGGGCCGAAATGCCAGATGTCTAGTCATTTGAGAACCGAGCAGGTTTTTATGGCCCTAGGGCTGCAAGACCAGCTGTTCCCTTATATAAGTTACAGAAGAACCTCTTTAATCCAAACCCCCATAATCCGAACGTGCACTAATCCCAAAACCTCATTGTTGTACTTTACACACAGTACAGTAGTTCTTTATTACATACTGTATTTATTGATTTATCACCATAATTATTTTGTCTACTGTAATGTACAGTACTGTTTATTCACTAGGTTTTGGTACCACTGTATTAAATAAACACTTTATTTTAATTTATAAAGCATTTTTCACTTTTCCCGAAATAACCACGGTCCATTTTAGCCAAGTTTTAGCTATTGTTATGTAAAAACAATAATATGTTCTGCAATTCGAAATATTTCAATAGTCCAAACTACCCCTGGTCTCAAATAGTTTGGATTAAAGAGGTTCTACTGTACTTAAAACAATAATGTAACGATTATTAATAATGTAACTTATCAAATACCGGTACACAAAGCATAAGCTAACCATAACTTATGCATTGCAATAGACTAGCGTCTACGTTACTATAGCGTCTCGTGTTACTGGTCAGGAACCGATGAGAACCTCTTTGGCGAAGGAGTTGGGTGCGTGACGTCAATCTTCTCTTGAGGGAACACCATTACCGCAACGATACCAAGGGAAGTCATCGGTGTTAGTAGCGTAGTGGTTAGCGTACGGTACTCGACTGATGACCAAGAGGTATCCAGATCGAATCCCACCGGTGACATTAACTTTTTGACATAGATTTTGCTTTGAATGGGATCACTTCTTAACTGTACATCTTTTGTTAGAATTTGAAGCATTTTTAATTTTTTTATGAACAGAACTATTTTTTTTTTTAATTAGTAAACCTTCATTCAATTTTTATCTTGTATCTTTTTTACATAATCAACAAGTTTGGTTGGTTTGGCCTAACTTAGCCTATAAGTTAGTGTGGTGAAAAAAGCGTTTGTACCACAGGCCGAAAGTGTTTTGCAGCTCTCAATCGGTTTAAGTTCAAGACTTCATCTCAAACTTAAAAAACTAGGCCTAGCCTATCTTGAGCCAGCAAAACCTAATTTTTGGCCCTAGGAATGAAATAAACTTTTTTTGGCCAAGTGCTGGCAATAGGCCTGCCCTTAATGATGCTAAACTTAAATTTGATTTGTAATAGGTCTATTCTATAAATCTGTTGTAGATTGTGGAAAACAAGGTAATTATTCCGTATAGGTTCAGCTCCAAACAAATTTTTAATTTTGATTGTATCTTTATAGTTTTTTACCTCCTGAATCCAAATATACCATTTTTTTTCACAGCTGATGAATATTTCTCAAGATATCGCCATAATAATATACAACATTACAATAAACAAGGTAGGATGGATGACATTTACAAGTGGAATGAACTATGGGTTAAGTAAACCAACAGCTGATTGTTTTCAATCATAGTCAAGAAAATGGAAGTGACAACTTTAATTAGCTAACTCTGATTCTGCAATATGAAAATCACCTGATTAAGTTACACTTTTCACTTTCTAAGACCAATAAGTTAATAATGTATTATTGTTACCAGTATTTTATCGTTATTAATGATTTATTGATTATATTTCACCGTTTAGAAATTACATAATAAAATGGTGCTATTCTAACATAACCTAACCTAACCTCTTGAATGTGTAAGCAAACTCCTTTTGATGTCAGAAAAGGCATGTCAGGGTGATAGGTCGTGCTTTATGTGAATTGGTGACTGCATTAAGTCCTTTGAAGATATGTTAGATTAGGCTCAAGTTAAAGTTTAGGTCATAATGTATTAAGTTGTAAGTTTATGTCGCCTGCAGACTGTTTTTGTAAAATTAAAATCCAGAAAAAAAACACTTCAAATTACTATTTCAAAAATGCAAGCATTTTTGAAATAGTAATTTGAAGTGTTTCACCCACTAATTTAATTGTGCAAAAACACCAGTCGGGAAGTTGCATAAATTAATGAGTCGGTTCATTATAACCTAACCTTTACCTTCAAATGCTTGCGCATTTTTGATATTGGTATTTCATTGTGTTTCACCCACCAATTTCAATTGTGCAAAAACAGTCTGGAAGTTGCATAAATTAATGAGTCAGTTCATTATAACCTAACCTTTAACTTACCTATTCTAACCTCATTTCAAAGGACTTAATATAGTCATGAATCCGCATAAAGTCCGACCTATCTTCCTCACATGCCTTTTCTAACATAAAATGTGATTTAAACATTATGTAAAAGGTTGGGTTGGGTTAGGTTAGATTAGATTAGATTATGTAATAGGTATAATTTATTAGTTGCTGATACATTAAATTAAATGCACTGTGGTACGTTTTCACTTTGAGACACAATGGGATTATGTAACTTAGGCCTACTATGGGATTATGCACTATGGCACGTTCAGACGTTGAGACATTAGTCAATGGTTGAAGATTGGAATGAGGACGATGATCATGTCGGCAGTGGCCTAGCTTCAATTACTGATATTTTACGTGAATAAATTCTATTTTGTTTTATAATTTACGTTCATGTGATTAATAGTTTATGTATCGTAGTTGATTTATTGTATTTTCTCAACAGAACCAAAGTCCAGTTTCTTTTAAAAATATATTTATTGCATATTGTAACTCTGATTTTGCTCTCATGGCGTCGTGTGTGGTTTTGTCTGTTTAGTATTGAATGTAAACAACTGATAGCTGTTTCCACTCCACAAACCTTCCACCCCTTTTAGTGTTAGTTACCACTAGGACTTGGACTCGTCCATACCACAAATATGTTAATAAATCAACAAAACTTAAGCTTAATATTAATAATTTAACTGTACGGCCACTTAGGAATCTCTCCGACCAAAACTGATTGCATTTTTGGATTCAGTGTTAAAAATACTGTAAGTAGACATATATCAAAATTACATCATATCCCAGTTTAAGTAGGGTAAATATTTACCCCATCGTATCTTGTTTATTGTAATGTTAAGTATGTTTTTACGGCGATACTATCTTGAGAAATATTCATCAGCGGTGAAAAATAATGGTATATTTGGATTCAGGAGGTAAAAACAATATAGGCTAGTAAGATAGGTATCAAAATTAAAAATTCGTTTGGAGGCACCTATACGGAATAAATACCAAACAAAAATCCATCAAAGTAGACAGTCGAAAAAATAATAGGCCTACCACCGCAGCTGATCAACAACAGTTGCAATGTTCGCACAATGAATTTTGTTGTAGCTGCTCAACGTGTATGTTAGGCGAAACTCAGCTTTAGTGCTTTTTAAAGTGGATGAGATAGCCTAGATTACTTCCCATAAAACCACGTAAATATTGTGAACAGCCTATCATCATCTCAAATTATCGGGTCTGACTTAGGGGAGGTACAAATGAGGCATTTAGTTCAAAATTCCTCCGTGAACAGCGCTGTAGTAGAGAGCACTTTGGCAATTAAGGTTTACTAATCTCAAAAATAGTTCTGTTCATAAAATAAAATTATAAATGCCTCAAATTCAATTTTACTATTTTTTAATTATAAAATTAAACTATAATAACCTAACCGAACTAACCAAACTTGCTGATAAAGAAATAATATAACAACAGTTTAGTATTCTTAAACGACATGGTATATTAGGTGAGGTCAATACTTCAGTATGATAATATTTTTGTTGGGCATCACTCACCTTATTGAAGTCACGAGAACGTAGTCCTTGTCATGTCACAATCATACACAGTTCATTGCACATAAAAATATACAAAAATAAAAATAAAAATAAATCCAAATTTAAAATATCAGACAAAAGTTCTCAACACCGACGTTTCGCCGCACCAAAATCAACGTGCGGTGTTTTCAAGGTTATTCCTCTTCTCACGCAATCGTTGTGAGCGCCTAACCACGACTGACGACCCCGGTGGTGGAGGAGGGGGAGGGGGGACTCTGTTATCAAGAACAGCTGATGGCATTATCTTCTTTTGTTTAGATTTTTCTATGCATCCTTTAATTTCTTTCTCTATTAGTGTATTGTAAACCGGGCTGATATCAATGGATGCGTTGGCTAATGAATCTTGATCTGAAGTAATAAACAAAGCCTCAATAATATTCCTTTTCTTCCAATTAGGCTCCTTGTATAATATACAGCTTTCCTCCCACTTTATACAATGCCCGGTGTCATGAACGTGTTCAGATATTTTTGAACCATAGGTTACACGTGTATCAACTTTTTTCATGTGTTCATGAACCCGTATGAGAGCCGGTCTTGAAGTTTGACCTACATAGCTACGTTTACACGAGCATGGAACCTTGTACACCACGTTTTTATTGTCATTACCACAGTTAGGAGGTTTCACTTTAGATACCTGTCTTCTTATCGTGTTTTTTGAGGTAAAGACCGTCCTAATACCTTGCTTAGCATTCACGCGCCGTATTTTCTCCGAAAGGTTTTTAATATACGGAATGCATACTGTGGCCAGAGGTTTGTTATCTTTAGGTGGTAAACTTGTATCAGAGCTGGATATTTTTCTTAAGGCTTTATTTATGAACCTTTTAGGGTACCCACTGTTAAGTAAGCGGTTTTTTATAGTTACTACCTCATGCTGAAAAGTCTGTTCATCACTACAGATTAGTTTCGCCTTTTTAATAAGCCCAATTATTAAACCTAATTTTACGTGGTCCGGATGGTATGAATCAAAATGCAAATATTGCCCTGTTGCCGTAGGCTTCTTGTACATACTGGTATGCCAAGTGTCCGAGGACCTATGTACAAGAAGCCTACGGCAACAGGACAATATTTGCATTTTGATTCATACCATCCGGACCACGTAAAATTAGGTTTAATAATTGGGCTTATTAAAAAGGCGAAACTAATCTGTAGTGATGAACAGACTTTTCAGCATGAGGTAGTAACTATAAAAAACCGCTTACTTAACAGTGGGTACCCTAAAAGGTTCATAAATAAAGCCTTAAGAAAAATATCCAGCTCTGATACAAGTTTACCACCTAAAGATAACAAACCTCTGGCCACAGTATGCATTCCGTATATTAAAAACCTTTCGGAGAAAATACGGCGCGTGAATGCTAAGCAAGGTATTAGGACGGTCTTTACCTCAAAAAACACGATAAGAAGACAGGTATCTAAAGTGAAACCTCCTAACTGTGGTAATGACAATAAAAACGTGGTGTACAAGGTTCCATGCTCGTGTAAACGTAGCTATGTAGGTCAAACTTCAAGACCGGCTCTCATACGGGTTCATGAACACATGAAAAAAGTTGATACACGTGTAACCTATGGTTCAAAAATATCTGAACACGTTCATGACACCGGGCATTGTATAAAGTGGGAGGAAAGCTGTATATTATACAAGGAGCCTAATTGGAAGAAAAGGAATATTATTGAGGCTTTGTTTATTACTTCAGATCAAGATTCATTAGCCAACGCATCCATTGATATCAGCCCGGTTTACAATACACTAATAGAGAAAGAAATTAAAGGATGCATAGAAAAATCTAAACAAAAGAAGATAATGCCATCAGCTGTTCTTGATAACAGAGTCCCCCCTCCCCCTCCTCCACCACCGGGGTCGTCAGTCGTGGTTAGGCACTCACAACGATTGCGTGAGAAGAGGAATAACCTTGAAAACGCCGCACGTTGATTTTGGTGCGGCGAAACGTCGGTGTTGAGAACTTTTGTCTGATATTTTAAATTTGGATTTATTTTTATTTTTATTTTTGTATATTTTTATGTGCAATGAACTGTGTATGATTGTGACATGACAAGGACTACGTTCTCGTGACTTCAATAAGGTGAGTGATGCCCAACAAAAATATTATCATACTGAACAGTTTAGTAATCGGAAAAATAATTCTGTTTATTAAATAAAACTAGAAATTGCTCAATTAAAATTTTATAATGACTTAATAATAAAATTAAACTGTAATAACCAAACCAAACCAACCAAACTTGCTGATAATAAAAAAATCTTGGGCAAAAAGTTAATGCTACCAGCGGGATTCGAACCCGGGACCTACAGTATATCAGCCCGGCACGCTAACCATTAGACCACCGAGGCCGATGGCTAACGAACGTTTTTTTACGGTAATGGCGTTCCCTCAGCTAATAAGAAGCCCTCAGCTGTCATCGTAGCCTCTTCTATACCTCCCCTGAGTAAATACCCAAATTATCATAGCCAACTAACCTCAACATACCTGTGAAAGAAAAGCCAGACCCCAGGCGGGAGATAACGATGCAACGGGTAACAACACTATTACTACTATTAGGACTTCAGGAACCTTTATAGCTAAGTTCTATTAAGTTATAATCATTAACAATCAATGAATAATCAGCAAACAAAAATGGGAGGTCATATAATGAAGAAAAGCACTGAGCGAGCGAACTACAACTAACTACTACTAAACTGACACTGACTCTGACTGAACTGAACTCTACTCTGGCTGAAATGAAACTGAAACAACAGGAACAGGAACAGGAACAGACAACTAACTGAGAAACTGACTAACTAACTGGAGACAGCCGATACAACAGACATCGTGATACAGTACAGTCTGATAGAACAGACGGACTACAGACTGGAGTGGACTGGACTGGACTGACACTGACAGCGACGAGCGACACCGATAGCTTTTTTTTTAAAGAGGTTGGCGCCTGGCGGCCTCTTTTAACCTTGCATTTGCCCGTCCACATAGACTTAGTGACTTAAGTGCCCGTGCGTGGATCGTTTACAGCAAAGCAAGGAGTGAGCCGGTACAGTACAAAGGTGAACTGTACTGAAATAGTATATTACGTTACTAGTCCTGAAAATAAGTGTTTACCGGACGAGTGTGGTCGTTCCCGTGCGAGACGAAGTCGAGTACGGGATTACCATACGAGTCCGGTACACACATTTTGGACGAGTTACGTACGATAGTTTACGCCATACTACTAAATCCGTACAAATCCTTATATATTTCCACCAACTAAAGGACTAACAATCACTAGTCATAACCTCTAAAGAGAGGTTATGTTTTTGTTTATAACAACTCACTGCCATCTAAATACAGTATAATCAGCTGATGGGTGTCCGGTAAAACTCATTGCAGTACAGTAGTACGCAATGAAACCCCATTTGAATAAGCTGGTGGCAAACAACTGTTTTCTGGACTAAATCCTTGCGTGGGAAGTTCGTCAAAATTATGTAGTGTGGCGGTGATATAGTATATTACGTTACTAGTCCTGAAAATAAGTGTTTACCGGACGAGTGTGGTCGTTCCCGTGCGAGACGAAGTCGAGTACGGGATTACCATACGAGTCCGGTACACACATTTTGGACGAGTTACGTACGATAGTTTACGCCAGACTACTAAATCCGTACAAATCCTTATATATTTCCATCAACTAAAGGACTAAAAATCACTAGTCATAACCTCTAAAGAGAGGTTATGTTTTTGTTTATAACAACTCACTGCCATCTAAATACAGTATAATCAGCTGATTGGTGTCCGGTAAAACTCATTGCAGTACAGTAGTACGCAATGAAACCCCATTTGAATAAGCTGGCGGGAAACAGCTGTTTTCTGGACTAAATCCTTGCGTGGGAAGTTCGTGAAAATAATGTAGTGTGGCGTAATAGTAGTTTACGCAACGATTGCGTTAAGTGAGTCTTTACGACACGAGTAGAAAATTTAAGGCACGAGCCTTGGCGAGTGCCTTAAAAACTTCTACGAGTGTCGTAAAGACTATTAACGCGAGTTGCGTACACTACTTTACCTACGACCGTTTTTTAATTACTATCAATCTGGATTTAATTACTAAAATAACTACTGATAACTTTTTAGAGAGGTTATGTTTTCGTGTATTGTCATTGCCACTGAAAGTGATGCAACGACTTGTTGTATAATCAGCTGATTTCCTGTAATTACGTGTTTGTTAAACTTCGTTAAATATTACATTGCTAGCAGCATTCTTACCATAAATAATATTGTATCAGGTACAATTCGGCAAATATTTCATTTATTTTTAGACTTCCACCAACTTAATTAAGAATACGCGAGTATTAACATGAACAAGTCGGATCAACAATTAAATTGGTCAACTGATCAGCTGATCAGCTGATTAGTTGACGTTCGAATCGAAGCATTACAATTTTAATTCTTTTCTCTCAATACTTGAACCATAGATAAAACTAGTCTATGCTTGAACCTCATTGGTCCGTTACCTGTGTGGATATGAGAAAACTATGCGGATATGAAATGAAACAATGCGGATATGAAAGTAAACAGCTGTAAAGTGAAACTTTTCAATTCTAAGAACTGGACTGAAATGGCTACTTTAAAAAACGGTCGTAGGTAAAAAATGTTATCGGCAGTGACCAGGATCCGAACCCATGACACTACTGCCTTGGGCCCGGAGTCCGCGACGCTACCGACTGAGCCACCGACTCACTAACAGTTGACATTGACAACGAGGGAATATTGGACTGAAGAGTTAAAGGTGGCCGTGGAGCGTACGCTAAGGGGGCTAGGGCTGACGCTAAGTGAGAGGAGTGATAGCATATATAAAACATAGTCTCTATGGCGGTAGTGAGTGACTGAGTGATGGAGTGAGAGTGAGTCTCCTCTCCTCTACTCTGCTTTTTCTGAGAAAAGAGTGAAGAAGATCATATGAAGATCATATGATGACAAACTAAATAGGATTCTTTTTAATACGGGCATAAATAATAATACAGTATATGCGCTCAGACATTTTTGTTTTTACGTGTGCACCTCCTAAATTTTACAAAATTTGACAACTATGCAAAATTCTTAATTTATAAATGTAACCTAGAATGATAAAATATGAATTTTTATAGTTTTGGAACCAAAACCAATACAAAAAATTTACTGCTCATTTTTCTTCAAATATAATTATCAAACCGCATATTTTGTGATCATAACTCTTGAATAATTTTGCTACTCCCGGAGTATTTTGGGTACCGGTATGTGTAAACAAATTAAAACATGTGTTATGTGTATCCACATTTTAATAAAATGATCTACACTCTAAAAGTATTGGGACCTGAAAAGTGATAAATTGTGCAAAAATTGTCATATGAACCTTTAACGTGTTCATCCCTAATTACCGAATTGCTCCAATATATTTAATTATCTGTTTTCCTTAATGTTTCTCCTCGCCAATTTGGAGACAATGCATTTAGAAACCTTGGTTTGGCGTTTGGCGAGTCGTCAAGTAGAATGTATTGAGTGGGAAGGTAAGGCTGCATGTAGGCGAAATGTGTTGGCCTCCAGTTGGTCTGGTCTTCGCCCACCTGACTGTGACAGCTGATCGGTTTCTTCCGGTCATTCAGCTGATTCCGGAATCATTACATTGTTGGAACTACACTTTTGGATTTTTTAAATTATTTTAAATATAATTTCATGCCATAAAAAGTTTTAAATCCGAGCATTACAATGGGATAAAAAAGAGTTAAAAGGGTTTAATAACATATTTAATCAAACTATCTTTTTAAAGAATGATTTCGAAATAGTGTATTATTTATGGAGCAATTAAGCCCCTATTTAACTGTTTGAATTCCAACAGTTTAATTTGTATGAAACACAAACTACAATTAAAAATGGTTGTGGGATCGAACTGAAAATAATTCTCAATATATAAATCAACAAATACCACTTAAAACATGTCTCTAATTTGGGTCTCCTTTACTAAAAAAACTTTATCGACGGCTGCATATGATGTAAAACAACGAAAGAAATTGCGAACCATAATCTCAATCTACTGGCTCAGCTGTTATGTTTCAGTTCTCGTAAGTCGAATTAAGTAGTCTTATAATACAGTTAAAAAATATATACTTGGGATGCTTAGTGATCTTGTTCCAAATCAATAATAATTTTCAATCGGAATAGTAAAACGTCAAAACACATACCAAAGCTTGATTTTGATTTGACAATGAGAAAACCACATGGTTTGTTTATACTGTTCCCATAACCTCGTTTTCATTATTCACATTTTATAGTAGTCGTATACACATAATTCTGTATGTTTATCTTTCATTGCAACAAGCTACATGGATGAAAATAAATACTCCGTTTGTGAAAATACTGTATTTACAGGCTGATGTTCATGTTGTTATTTGTTTTAAAAAGACAAAAGATACAAAGCTTGTTTGTTCTTTTAACTTCTGCTTGCACGGGGGTGTACGACCAACTAACTTACTATTGTACAAAATTTTTGTACACACATGGAACGTACGCTGCGAAAATCACTCTAAAGATAGACATTTTTAGACATCAACGCACAAAAACAGAACTAAATTTTACGTGATATTATTTGTATCCAAAGTCAATAATGGTCAAGGATGGTCCAGTGACATAAGCTATTGATGACTCATTGTGACTCCTACGTCACAAGTTCCCGGCCCGTTTACGATCGAGGTTACATGATAAAACTAGCTTGCTAGCCATTGTTTGGCAAATAACAACGATAGACACCTTTCTAGGTTTGGGAACGCTGTTTTGTTTGCGTCCTTTTTAAGCAGAGTGTGGGTTGACACCATGTTTCTATGAATTATTTCATCAACTTACTTACTAAGTAAAGAAATTGTCAGTACTGTAATAATTTAACTCAATTTAAAAATGGATGCCTACAACAATATACAGATATTAAGTAATGAGAAGATAGAATCGATGAAGTAGTCATTGACGTTGTTCTTCGTTTACCTTGTTTACTGTACCGTATTTATTTTTGGTTCTACAGTATTATTAAATGCAAATGTCTGACTAACAACGCTTACTGTACAGTATCCCGGAACTCGCTATACCAATATTTTATGGCATTGTTCCTGAGTAAGAAACATATCTAAATACCTATCATATTTCAATTGTCCGGAAGTCCTTAGCATAGACTAAGCAACATGTTTTATCTAGGTCCTTAGTTACTAACACAGCCACAATTTTTTTTCTCACTTATTAAAAAAAAATGTTAAAGATACGAAACTAAAAATTTGCACAAAAATGTATACAAACTAGAGAAGCCATACAAAATATGAACATTTTTCAAATTCATAAAACAAAATGAATGTGATTTTTTTTAAATTCATATTTAAATTGAATATAAATTTATATTTAAATAAAGCTTTTGAATTTGGGTTTTGAGTTATTTAAGAAACAACATTTTGAATGGCCGCCATTTTGTTTTATGAATTTGAAAATTTATCATAATTTGTTTATAGCTCTGTCTAGTTGTCATTAATGTCTGTGCAAAGTTTCACGTGTATCTTTACCCACTTTTCGGAAAACAATGAGTAAAAAAAACCAAATGGCGGCTTTCCGCACAACTTAAATATGATATTTAGATATGTTTCTTACACAAGAACAATGCCCTAAAATATTGGTAGAGAGTTCTAGGACACCCTGTAGAACTAAGTCTATTACAACAACGTGGGTGCCGATGAGAATGGATTTAGTTGTATCATAGAAAATGCACTAGAAAATTAAGAAGTTTCATATTGTGAAACGAGAACTAGTTAATTTGTATACACTTTTATTACTTTTAGCTAAACTAGTCCAGAACGTAACGAAATATTCTTAAAAACCCTGTGATAAATATTAATTTAACGACTGGTTAAAGTTGATGTGTTTTCTGACAACTATTATTTGTATTTTAACAACGATAAAAAATCAAAGCACCTTCCGCACACCTACGACGAGGACCGGTTTACTGGCTCGATGTCCGTATATGGAGTCTGTGACGTCATGTAGAAAGCTACATGACAAGTAGTCTGCATCTACAAGTCTCGTAGACAACATGAATACATTAAACCATAGATAAACACACTCCATTAAACACTTCAGTGACTAGAAACATGTGTCTACAATATAAATAAATGGTATCAGCAAAATTACATGCATTATCCGGTTAGCTTGAGATAAAAATAGTGTGTGCATGTACATGAATATACAGAGCTACGGACCCGATTTCGATTAAATGTTGTATGTGGGTACTAATTTATGGTATCTTATGGGGTTTTTAGCAAATTTCCCATATAGATAATAAGCTATTACCGTAGGTCTCATAGTAAGACCTAGACCATGATATTCATAGTATATTCATATTGAAGCGCTGTTGTATGCAGTTTTGCTGTGGCGTGGGTATTATGAAATTATGAAGTTTAATTAGGAAAATCACACATTTCAATAGTTTTAGAACACAAATTTTAACAGCGTTGGGAGTTGTGCCATCTCGTTTAGGGTTAAAAGGGAGATGGAATACTAATTTGCAATCAAAATCGTTGGAGCAGTTTTTTTGCGAAAGCCATATTTCCCTGTTATTTATAAAACTTAGGTCCTTATATGAATTTTCTAAATTAGAATTCCCGGTAACGACATTCAGTACACATTCAGTATACCAGCTGAGAAAAAAATATACAAAAAATGATCTCATGTTAGAGTACATAGATGTATTATATAATATTGTCACCACCTTCTTAAACTGAAATTCTATGCGATTCGTGATTATTTATTTACTTAAAGACTTATAGTGTCAGAATTGTAAAACCATTTATGCTGAATGACATGACAGCATAGCTTCTTCTATAATTTTGACGAAACAACGTCCTTCGTAAAAAAGACAACACGTAGGCTACAAATTTAATGAAAAGGCGTTATACGTCTACTTGAAATAATAATTAATTGTTCTGAAACATAGCATGGTAGATGGTGGTGTAACTGCTCGTAGAATAATGAGAAAGTTGTGGTTCAATAATGAGAATAACCAGATGTTTTTTGATGGTTGGAAACTGGACACAATTGTTGGTTTTGTTTATTGGGCTAGTAAATGATCCTGTCTAATGGAACCGCTGATCTTAGTCAGTAAAAAAGGTACACAGATAATCGCACTCCATTTTACACTCTCGTTGTATTCACAGTTTAAAAATAAATGTGCTCAAAGGTTTGACTACTTATGATTTATAATTCATATCTGTCCACTATTGAAGTGTGAACTCTGAATTCTAAATTATGAATTCAAGTTGGATAACAACTTCATTTGTTTATTTAGATGAAAATAAAACGATCTAGAAAATTACTGTATTACGATTTGCCAAAACTGAGTTGGCGACTACATCCACCCCACTGGATGCACTTGGTTCAGGAAGGAAGCCTCCAGAGGTCCATGTAAGGCGGCGCCTAAGGGCGAGGGAAGGTGGGCGGCTGACTCATGCGCCTTGGGCGGCTTGGGCGGCTGGGCGGCTTGGGCGGCTGGGCGGCCGCGGAGTCGAAAGGCGCAGTGTTGTGCCGGACACCACACAGATCGTAGTGCCTTACAGGATTATACCAAACAGGTACGTATTGTCTTCTAGGTTAAAATATTAACATTGCGGTTCACAAAACTAACAGTGAGAATAATTTGTACATTCTTTGAGACACGTGGCAAAATTTAGTGAGGTTGAATATGAGTGTGGAATTGCATGAGAAGATTTGTGTAGCTTCGTTAAGATTAGCTGTTTTCTTAGTCTGGACCATTTAAAAGCCCAACGAAGGACAGCTGGGTTTAGTTTCGAGCAATCGAAATACTAAAACTTTACTTACATTTTACCTAGTGATGCTGTATTCGTCATATTATATTGACCAAATATATCCTGTGTTTAATTATAAATCATAGTTGAATCAGCCTTTCACTTCTAATAAAGTGTGGCTGTTTAAGTTGTATTTTCTCAATAAGTTTTTCAGATAGGGCACATGGAAAATTAACCTTTAATGTTATCGTTTTGGTCTGGAGAAAATATGTAGATTTTTATCATAGCCTAATCAACACAAGTAGACTTCTCATCCCATTGTGAATTTTGAAGCTCATTTTTCGTGTCAAGTTCATATAGTGGTGACAATTTCATGGTTTTTGTTTTACTATTTGGTTATATAACTAGGGGACGAGTTATTATTTATGATTAGATAGTTTTATTTGGTTAATTGAGAGGTTTTACATTACAAGAAACAAATCGTAAACAAAACACAACTTCTAGTGCACAGGATAAAACCATAAAACTAACAATAAAATTAGCTTCAGCTGTTCTATAAGGATGAGAAATCTACTAAGGGAGTATGTTTTTATGATTATTCAAAACTGGACCCAGCTGTCGATCAAATGGCTTTTAAAAAACGGCTAAATAAACAGCTGACATTTTTGTAAAAAACCTACTCATCTCACTTCATTGTGCAATAACCCTGTATTCGTATTAGGCTTAAAATGGGCATTTAACGTCGCTGTCTTAAAATACCCCGCCGCAGCAAACCTGCAGCCGTTTTGTAGTCAATTTAGAGCATGTTTACATTGTATAGAGCGAAAAGTGTTATTGTTTAAAAAGTCTGAACTGTTTTTGTATAAGTAATTTTTCTGCTATGTTGTCTGTTATATAGTTACAAATAAAACAATTTGAATGTTTTATTTGAAGTTTGTTTGAACTTTTTGCCCCCCCCCCCCACTTTGGTAACTCGTAGAGCTTTGTAACGTAGATGCACCAGTAGGTTTCTAGAACGTTTAAGATTAGTTTTGAAGACATCAATACAATATAACTCGTGTCACGACATGATTCAGCAGGCACGAACATCAGCTGTTTAATCTAACTTCTTGATAAACTTTAGAGTTAAAGCTATAACATCTTGGTACCATTTGAATTGTTAGAGGTTAGAGTGCTCAAATAAATGACTCAATTCTTGGGCTATAGCCTTTAGTCAATTCTTTGACTGGGACGGGTGGCGTCGTCCTGTAATCCAGCTACTAGGAGGTCACGAATTGTGGATATTTATAGGCATGCACTGTGGATGCGATACTCCCTGGTGTGGATTAACATCCACACGAGTGAGTACGACGACTATCCGCAGTACTATCCTGATAATTAGACCAATTCGTATATACCAAGGAAAAATGTGGTTCGGATTCCACTATAAACTGTAGGTCCCTTAGTTGCCATTAGCTGTATGGGCTATTAATTAACAGCTGTGTCTAAGGAATATGTCGGCCTTAGTCACTAACAAGACTACAAGATCGCGCCACTCATCCTACACTCATCTCCATTCATACTTGGCTTAAAATACCTACTATGTATGGTCGCCATTTCATTGAACAGTATGAACAGTAAGTAGACTCGTCAGAATGAATTTGATGACATTACTATAAATCTAGTAATTGAAGCAGATGTTTTAGAAATTAAAGTAAATAAACGGTATCAGCAAACTCACACACACTCTCTCCCTATAGCTTGTCAACAATATAATAGGCAAGCGCTGGAAATAACTATGATGTTTTAAACATTAAACGTTTGGTGATTTGCAACTGAATTATATGGTATCGTTTTTTATTGTTTCTCATTCAAATGTTTAAAGTTAGGTGTGTTGCTAACCACTTCGGACTTTAAAGTGAAACTGAAAGTCACGAGTTCAATCATCGACGTTTAAGATCTCACTTTCTTCAAACCGTCCTTTAAAATAATTCGTACACTTAAAATGCCATAGTGGCATTCAGAAACTCATAAATCAAATATATTTCATCCTAGTGTTAACATGCGTTATATCATTATAATAGAACACTATAATAGACACTATCATCATATAATGTAATGTAAACATAATAGACTTCCCATGTAATGTAAACATTTGAAGCAAGAAACGTGGTGCCATCTGTTGAGATGGTTTACCAATATGATGACAATATTCTGTATTAAGTGATAAATCAATCAGCTGTTTTATATGATACTGACATTGTTATAGCAAACTTTTTATACTAGTGATCTCTTTCGGTATGAAATATTTAACACTCGAAAATCTCTATATAGCCATATTGGGACTAATGTATGCAGTGTGATCTGTTCTTTTATGTACTGTATTACGCCATCATAACTTCCGAGAAAGTTTAAATGTGGTAATTATGATAATACGACCTCCTGTACAAAGGTGTGCGAATGTCTTGCCTTTTTAGTAAACCTGATTCCTTACATAGAAGTGTTTGAATCCGAACAACAACCTATTGTTCTATTCTAAACTCTTTATGCGCACTTGATAACAATACGTTGTTTGTCGCTAAGGCTATTTATTGAACGCATTTTAACAATAGGAACTATTGACAATCTAGGACAACTGTTTTTATTTTGTACTTTATACAAACCCTCTCCTTTTGAAGGGAATAAAAATATTTTAATTAGTTCATGAACATGTATTAAAATTAAAAATCAATGCAATATTGAAACAAATACAGTTCTGGATCAAATTTTATGATAAGTTTTCTGTCTATGTTATTGTCATTTTTAATTTTTTATTTGTTATTAAATGCATGATTATTTTCCTCAAACTTCTCTTTGCTATTGTCTACTTAATGTACAAATGTAAATTAGCGTATTATTGTTGATAAATAAAATTCAAATAATACAATCACGGTAGTAGGGTACAATTTTTCATTTCATCAATCACGTTACTTTGGTGAACAAGAAGAATCTCGTAGAAGAAAATGTATCTAGATTTTTATGATAAAAAGGCCTTTCGAGTAGGAGAATCATTGTTTCGCATAAAATTCATCTCACCCAAGGAACATTTATTTTCTATTTTAACACATAATGTAAATTTAGATATGAACCACCAACGTCATTTCCATTATCACATAGTTAAAAAAGGCTTTAGAATCAAACGCGTTTGGAAGGATTTTAACTAGAGAATTGAGTAAAAAGGTAACATACTGTATCCACTAGTAAAACACATTTTTAGGCGGATGGTTACCTTTTCATTATAATCTAAACAATAGACTAGGAAAACACCGCTGGATGACTTAGTGGTTATAGTGCTCGCCTAACAATCAGAATGTCACCGGATAAATCTTAAAAAAAAGTCAGACACTTTTTGATGGTTCGAAACTTTTACTTTCATTGGGCAATCGATGATTTGAATAAAGAAACCGCGGGTCTTAGTCAGTAGCAAAGCTACACAAGGCACCTTACACAAAAAACCTCATCTACGGCACTAGCCTGGAACTGTTTAGCCCATTAATTCGGGCTAGGCCTTTTTAACTGTACTAGGGGTTTCCTTCTTATTTTTTTCCGAATACTAAAGCCGATCAAGATCTCAGTTGGTAATAAAGTTAATAATAATGATAGCAATAATCCCAGTTAGATCGACCGACCACCGTTTATTTGGACTCTTCAAGTGCCTTGAAATACATTAATTCGATTTCAGCACAATAAGCCATATCAAGATTCAAACACAATAAAACAGTCCGGTTTCGCTACAGAGGAAACCGCTCTGCCGTACAAGGAGCGTAATTTAGTTTCTTGTCAAATCGCGATGTTTTTCTCCCTCTGGTCCGACATCTGATCACCTTCGCGCCAAATACGGACCATATGAGTCAGAGACGAAATCAGCTGTTGGTGTGCCACAAGGTTGTTGCTTGGGACCCGACTTGTTTCGTGGCTTCTGGCTTCTCCGTTTACGGGGTTGGGCAATGACGGCCAGCTTTCTCTTGGCGAATATGCTGCTTATCAAGTACTTTTATGATCTCATAAATTACCTATTTGTAAAATTAAAAATTACCTAATTTAGACTGTAACAGCTTTCAAAACGTCTATTCGATTTCATAGTTGTATTGTTTAATGTTTTCATGGTTAATTTAGCAAAAGTTATTATGTACCAACATGTGACATGTTTATACGTGGATAATAAAAGTTTTTGTAAACCTTGAATGGTGAATAAACTTTTAATTTAGCAGGAAATCAGCAACACAGGATCAAATTTCAGTGGTCCACTTTCTATGCTGTCTCGTTTACATGAAGTGACATTATATCATTTACAGTAGTATCAAATACTCTTTAATTTTGGTGTCATGGACGTTTTTTTTCACTTAACCTCAGTATATAAATACTCTTTATCAATTTGCGTTGTCTCTAGAAAGTCTGAAAGTCCTACTCGTGTTGTGACTCAAAATGAAATCATATTTTCAACATGATTTTTTATTAATTACAAATTGCAGTCCTCTACTCATCAACTGATTCTAATAATTATTATTGTTTGGCTAAATGAAGCAGTGTTGTAACGTAAAATATTCAATTTTATGTTGCTTCTAGAGATAAAACCGCTTGCACTTGATACAATAACGGTCTAGATGTTTAATTTCCATCAAGACCTCTGTGGAATACAGGATACTAATCACTCAGAAATACAACCCCATACAATCTTTTTAGTACTGTGAGATCGTCAGAATTCGAATAAAGTATATGAGGAGTACTTCGACGATAAGGTCTTGCCAACTTTAACCATGTAAACATCCTAAAACATTATACTTAGGTACTGAGGTTTTGAATAAAAT